TTATGTAAAAGCTGAATGTCTTGCAATATGTTGCAGGGTCATATTCTGATCATAAAGAGAACTATTTCATTTCGCTGATAAATGAAAAGCTGTTTTCCTAAAAACATGAGATGCTTTGCATTCTTGTCCACAATTTTGTTTCACTTTAAACAACTGCTAACTGATAACTTGTTGAAAACTGAAATGAAACAGGATTGCATTAAACACATTTATTTATCAGCTTTTCCTACAGACTGAATGAAAACCATTAGGTCTTTGTTTTTCTTCCAGGGTTTTGTAGACGTTTTTAAATTATTTAAAATTTGTCAGAGAGTAAATGCTTTAGTATTAAAACCCTGTAGTTTGATTTGATTATACACTAAATTCTCAGTTTTTTTCATATTAACTTCAGTCCAATGTAAACAGCTTATTTGGTGCTAATACTTTGAATACTTTGGAGATGTGTTTAATGATACCAGTATAGTTTTTCCAGACACTAGACTTCATAGAAATTGGGGGGGGGGGAATGTGGGTTCTCTCTCAGTCTCACCCCAGAGAGCCAATGAGAGTCCAGGATGCGAGAGCCTCCTCTTGCCACTAAACACTAACATATGGGCCTCATATTGTGCTAGAAACATCACGCTGCAACTCTAAACCTGTGAACAATGAAAGAATCTGTATATCTACTGGCCATTTAAGTTATGATTCATTAATGTGTCATCTGTTGTTTTTTTATGCATTTGGATGCAAAACAGAGATAATTTATAAAGGGTTAAAAAAACAACAACATTATCTTTTGACTGATATAAGGCTTGATGTAACACAAACATTATGCAGCAAAACAACAACTTCTCTTGCAGGGAACTGAGAGATGCTGAAGTTTTGTCAGAGTTGTGATAGGCTGACATGTCTGCAAAGTGATTATTGTATAACAGCAAACGTAGTTCTCTCTCCTCCACCAATACCAGCTCCTCATTGGTGGGAGTGGGTTCAAAAACCTTCTGCTCCCCTTTTAAATTCAGGCATTCCTGAAAGTTTCCTTCTGGAAGCCGGGTCAGGTCAACGCAGGCAAGATGGTGAGTTATATTCACTGGTGACTCTTTATCACTCTCGTTTGTGATGTTTACATTGAATCTTTTATACTTTCTTAAACCTACTTATTGAAAATGTATGTTTTTTTCTATATAACAGACAACATACACAGACAAAGGCGACAAGGTAAATAATCAGATTTTTTTAACATATTATTTTTATATGCTAATGTAGGAGAATAAATAAGAGTGTTAATATGTTTTCTATTCTAAGATGTGCTTTTATCAGGTTTATTCAACAACTGATCAGTATAATCTAAGCTTACAAGGTTTCTATTGGTGTCTTTTAGCATGAGCAGGGCAGGTTCCTCTGCTTCGATCATCTGACCTTCTGGGTTGGAAATGCAAAGCAGGTAATCTACCCCATAAACGTTCATATTTCTGTTCCATAATAATCACAGCTGACAGTATTGTCATTCTTGGCATTGGTATCAGTTCTTCTCAGTGGTCAAGCAAAAGCAGTTCTCACTAGACCACACACTGATCCCCCCCCACCCTCCTCTATGTAAAAAAAAAAAAAAAAACTGCAGAAGAAGCAGGCACCAGAAGATGGAGCAATAACACACAGATTCAAAGCTTTTTACTTGTTTGAAATAAAGTCAGCTTTTAGGCATAAAGAACATGGAATGGTTCAATGATTATTGTGTCCACCAGGCTGCATCGTTTTACTGCAACAAGCTTGGATTTGAGCCGCTGGCTTACAAAGGCTTGGAGACAGGCAGTCGTGATGTGGTGTCCCATGCAGTGAAACAAGGGAAGGTAAGAACCCTGCAGAACCTGGAGGAATATCAGAAAAAAATGATGTAAACTTAAAAACAAATGTTTGGAGAATGATTGACAGGTGATTTAGTGAGGGAATGACTGCTGGGGATTATTAAAATCAACAGCATCTTTCTTCAGACAACTTTCATAGATCTTCTTTTGCAAACCTTCAGAGGTAGCAGCTTCTTTCATGTAGTTTCTGTTTTCTCTGCGTTTTACAGATCATTTATGTCTTCTCCTCTGCTCTCAATCCTGGTAACAAAGGTAAAGTACTGATCAGCAGCAGCCACTGCATGCTTAAAGACAAATTCTGTCCTGAAGAATAATTTTTCAAGTTGGCCCAGAAATGATCAACTAAAGATGGTTTCAGTTCTCATGATGCAGACCAATATATTCCCATCTGACCAGATGCTAAACTGGAATTTTCCTGGTATTTTGAATAACAAATATGTTATTTTATCATAAAAGTGGAAAAATTTCTTATTAATAATATATTTATGAAAATCTACATTTTTTTGACTTTACAATAAGCAACAATACAAGGGAAATGTTAACCTTATATTATCATAGGGTTCCAACACTTTACTTATTTCAAATCACCAAACTCTACCAAAATGCCTGAGTTATCTTACAGCAGCTTTTAAAAAAAGGTATTTAGTTTTGTTTTTAGCGCTCGGAGCATTTAATTACCAAAAAAAATTAAGCATTGCAAACAGAAGTTGGATCTTAGCTGGAGATTCTACAGGTTTTGAAACAACAATCTTGAAACTAACTCTTGGTTTTCAGTCCTATAGGGCTATGTGGTGGATTATTTACATCTAGATTCAGATCAGACTCAACAAATAGTTGAGCCTCCTTGACTAAGTGCAGATTTGTAAGAGAGCGGTTTTCAAAACATGACATTTTGTGAAGAAACATAAAAAAGCTTTATTTAAGCTCTGCTTAACATTCTAAACTTTAAGAATCATGGATAGAGTTTAGCAAGTAGTGAATAGTTTTATTTGGAATGATTTAGACACCGTTTCTCCAAGCTATGCAACAGTTTGCGTTTTTTGTTGTTGGTATAAATAGGAAACATTTACTATGTGGAAAATATCAAAAGTGACGACATATGAACCAACAGAATAACTTAATGCTTGTTAGATTTTATTTTTTTGCCCATTTACAAAATGGGCAAAAGAAAAAGTTCGAAAGAACAATTGTATTATTCAATATATATAATATGCATTTCTAGATTATTTAAAGATGGGTAGGAAAACAAAGTCTGAATCTATGCGGCTAAATAAAGTGTGTTTTCTCAGAGATGGGGGATCATCTGGTGAAACATGGAGATGGAGTGAAAGACATAGCGTTTACAGTGGAGGATTGTGACTTCCTGGTTCAGGTAATGCAGCAACTTTTAAACCAATGTTTCCCATTAAGGTAAAGGCTTTTAATAAAATTATAAGCCTCCAATTTTATTTTCAACAGAAAGCTCGTGAGCGAGGGGCAATGACTATCAAAGAGCCCCACACCCTGGAGGACAAGCATGGGAAGGTCCGGCTGGCTGTGCTGCAGACGGTATGTCAGGGCTCTTAATTCAAACCTAATATTTTATCTATGACAGTTCCTTAAAAAAACAAAAACAAAAATAAAACAATCCTTTAATTTTTTTGCAGTATGGCGACACTACCCACACGTTTGTGGAGAGGACGGGATACAAAGGCTTGTTTCTGCCTGGTTTCCAGCCGCCTCTGTTCACAGACCCTTTACTGGCCAAACTGTTAGCGAACACTTTGCTTTGAAATATGAGAAACCTTCATCAATTAGAACTTTTTTTGCGACTGCCTGCTTCTGATATTGTTTCAGACCAAGTGGAAAACTGAATTTCATCGATCACGTTGTGGGAAACCAGCCAGACAATGAGATGGTTCCAGTTGTAGAATGGTAATTATTGGATCTCTCTTCATTTGCACTCGTGATAAATTCAAACCATTCCGCTGCAGAACTTTACATTAGAGGGAGGAGAATATGGGGAGAAATTACAAGCTGTGGGACTCTTACATAACTCTGCTTCTCTGGCAGGAGACAGAAATCAGGATGACTTTGCAGTTTTAAGAAAAGCCTTAAGTGGTTCTGCACATATGGAACTGGTTTCATCCCTATTAGTCTGAAAAAGACATACCAAGCCTGAAATGAGGCAGGGCTCTAAAGGACTGATCTCATTGGCCAATCCATGTTTTAAAGAACTTGTTTTTATCCATATCCCAGCAGAAAACAGAAATTACTCATTTGAAATCAATCAAAATGTATAAACTGAAAAACAAAATGTATAAAGTGAGAAGCTAGAAATAAACTGTTTCTGACTTGTTGTGTACTGAAGCAAGACTAAGCCTGAAGATTTATTCCCTTGGATCTCACTATCTGGTTGGTTGATGGTTCATCAGGTATCAGAAGAACCTCCTCTTTCACCGCTTCTGGTCGGTGGACGACAAACAGCTGCAGACAGAATTTAGCGCCCTACGTTCCATCGTAGTGGCCAACTATGAGGAGACTGTGAAGATGCCGATCAACGAGCCGGCAATGGGGAAGAGAAAGTCTCAGATCCAGGCATGTTTACTGAAAAAAAAAACAGAACTTAAATACATGGACTTATGACAATAAAAAAGTAGTTCTCTTACAGGAATATGTGGAGTACTATGGAGGTCCAGGGGTTCAGCACATCGCCATGAACACATCAGACATCATAACATCAGTAAGACTTTAAAACTGAGTTTTTTTAAGCCCTATTAGGCAGGAAAACCTAAACAATTAACTGATGAATCCCCTTCTGGCAGATCCGTAACCTGAAGGAGCGAGGCACTGAGTTTATGACAGTGCCAGACACTTACTACGAGCAGCTGAGGGAGAACCTGAAACACTCTAAGGTCCAGATTACTGAGAGCCTGGATGTCCTGCAGGTCAGACCTTCACCAGAACACAACTAGCTGACGTGTGTCTACATCCACTTATGTCTATCTCTCCTCTTTGATCCTATCGTTTACAGGAACTGAAGATCTTGGTGGACTATGATGACAAAGGGTATTTACTTCAGATCTTCACCAAGCCAGTTCAAGACCGTCCCACGGTTTTCCTGGAGGTCATTCAGAGACACAATCACCAGGTGAAGACAGCCCCAGATTCTTAACAGATTTTCTGTTTACCAAATACTTATCTCTTGTTGATTTTATATTCACAGGGCTTTGGTGCAGGAAACTTCAAGTCTCTTTTTGAAGCTATTGAAGCGGACCAGCGGGCTCGAGGAAATCTCACCATCCTGACACCAAATGGAAATACAGAGATCATGTGAAGCAAAACCTTTTTTTTTCTTCCTCTTTATGACTTTTAAAACTCAAGATTTATTCATTGTTAAGGTTAAAAACTGCTCAGGTTCTCATTGATTTACTGCATCCAACTTTAATAATAAAATGCACATAGCACCATGTAAGTATTTCTCAGCTTCTTTATTTCTTTTTTCCTTTACATTTAATAAAAACATTTAAATGCTATAATCCATTTTGATGTTGAGAAAATCCTACTTGGCAAATCTCCCAAAGCATTCATTAAAAAATAAAGAGTGAAGGGCTCTAAAGTGGATTCCTATTTCTACTAAATATGTACAGTACAGGCTTGACTCAAGCCAAACACCATTAAAGCTCTCGTAAATGAAAACATTCAACTATCATTTCAACTCTGAGCTTAGCAGACATTTAAATGTTCTGAGTCTAGAAATGTATATCTTTGTACATCCTCTTGAATTAAATACTTTCCATGTGCTCTCTGGTTCTTGTTTACTTTTTTCAGCAGTTTCATGATGTATTTTGAAAGATTTTATACATGGTTCGTTTTAGATAAGCTTCTCCGAGCCGGCACAGACAAATCAATGTCCGAACAGTTTTTCTTTGTTTTTCCATTGTCTAAAGAGATTTTTAAGTCATATTTCACTGTACGAACTCAAACTGTCTGCAGCTTTTATAGCAATTTTGAGTTGTAAACATGATCCAGATAGGGAGCATTGAAGGCCACAGAGGATTTCAGCTAATAAGAGATCAGTTCAGGGATCCTCTGCAGGTATCCGCTCCACACAGACAAGGAATCTTTGTTTCCTCGATGGGAAACTTGTAGTCGTAGGTGATTTCTTCATCGACGCCTATCGGCTGCCGGGAGTAAATCACTATCTTCTTCTGAGACTCCACTGTGATGACCTTTGCGTAACAGTTAGGCTGAAAGATTAAAAAAAAAAAAATCCAGCAAGAGAAATGCTTAAATTCATAGTAAAATAAAGAGGGTTTTAATGCTGATTGGTTGTGTTCAGAATGAAAGAGTCTAGGTTTGTACTCACGTTGCAGCTGTGGTTGATAAACCTGGCTAAGTTTCCACATTTTGTGGCATCAATGATGGTGTCCTGATCAACACGGAATAAATAGCTGCTTCCGATGCCCTCCTCTTCATATCTCTGCTCTCTCATGTCTGCAATGACCTACAGATAAAGAGCGTTTGTAGTGAAAGAGCAGAGTTTGTCACTCCTGCTATATTCAGTCTTCAGGAAACTACCAAGAACAACCACAGGCTGCCTTAGGAACAACTTAGAGAAACATTCCTTGGGGATTATTTTTCTAAATCCTATCTGTGGTATTTTTTTGAGAGTTGAATTTATCTCGGATAGTTTTACCTGTCTGACGAGCTGTCCCACATACTCAATCACCATCTCATCTGCTGCTATGGGCTCCAAGGCAAACAGGCCCCACTCATGGATCAGACTCCGACTGAAATAAATCTTCTTCTTTCGAAACTGATGGGAGATATGAAACGATTGAAGCTTTATTTACAGATGCCAGCTGGGTTCGATAAGATCAGATTTTGTGTGTTTGCATTATCTGATGTAACAAAGAGAAACAGACTCAAAGTAAAACATTGAAATAGAGTTTAAAGACAAATAATGATGATGTTCTCCTGAGGTTTCAAGCTGGTCTAATACAGTAATGAGGGAACTCAACACAGGAAGTTTAGTCTGAGTCTATGTCCGTCTTCTCAAAAAGCAATAACCTTCAATTTCTAAAGGATATTTAACACGACATTATAAATTAGGGGTGTGAGATGAGGCTCAAAAACGTATCCCGACGCTGGCCTTTCATTTCAGACGATATGGATTATTATTGATTAATGTTTTGTTTACCTACTTGAAATAAGGACCAGGGAGAAAAGACTGAATTTACATTAACTCTATCTTAATGTAAGCTTTAACCTGCAGCACTACTATCAACCTTGGTTAGTTTGAATATGGGAGGTTGCAAGGCTAAATCATCTCCTTTGTCTATATCCCTCAGAATACCATGTGGTTCTCAATCGGAGCTCAAAGGAATTATTGAGAATTTTATTCAACATGTTTTCTGCTGATATTGATCAGATATCTATTGCATTATATATAAATATTGATTTATTACCCAGCCCTATTTTAAATAAATAATCAAATGAACAAAACACCATAATTAAAATGAAAATGACTAAGGTAGTTGTAAGAGAAGTTGTAAAAAGATCTATGTTTAAGAAATCCTTATAAATAAAAATTTTTTTAACAATTCAAAGATGAATGCTAATTTCCACCAGTTAAAAACTTTGTTTACCTTAAGCTGGTTAAATTTAACCAGGTCACTGTCACAGCTGAATGAGGACAGCAGGCGGCGCTGTTCGGACCTGAAGTCAGATCCAGAACGAAGTGATGTGGGGTGCTGGACAGGGATACATGAGCCCTGGAAAAACACACATTTGATCAAATAAACTCTACATTAGGCTCTAAGCATTTACTATATTCCTCTCAGTACCTGAGTCCCTGTAGGGTGAAGATCAGCAGGCTTTGCACCAATGAGGTACTTTATTTTATCCTTCCTGCTAATTTTGTAGAAACCTTCACTGCGAGCAGAACCCGTGCTGTGGACAGGCTGGTTTTCTTCACTGCTCTCTGCTGGGATCTTAGTCAGTAAACAGGAGTTAAGGAGGAAGGTAACAGATTGTGACACAAATATAAAGAATGTGAACACAAGGAGCATCAAAAAATATTCCTTTTTGATACCGTATATTTTAAGCATTTGCAAAAAAAAAAAAAAAAAGAATTTAAGAAAATATTTTTCAATACTGCAGTGGATTTAAGAGGTGTTTATTATGGAAGCCCGTTTCCGCCACTCTGTAAAAAAAAAAAAAAAAAAAAAAAACTATCTCAATATAATGAGATAGTAACTCAATATAATGAGATAGTATCTCATTATAATGAGATAGTAACTCAATATAATGAGATAGTATCTCATTATAATGAGATAGTATCTCAATATAATGAGATAGTATCTCATTATAATGAGATAGTAACTCAATATAATGAGATAGTATCTCATTATAATGAGATAGTAACTCAATATAATGAGATAGTATCTCATTATAATGAGATAGTAACTCAATATAATGAGATAGTATCTCATTATAATGAGATAGTAACTCAATATAATGAGATAGTATCTCATTATAATGAGATAGTATCTCAATATAATGAGATAGTATCTCATTATAATGAGATAGTAACTCAATATAATGAGATAGTATCTCATTATAATGAGATAGTAACTCAATATAATGAGATAGTATCTCATTATAATGAGATAGTATCTCATTATATTGAGATAGTAACTCAATATAATGAGATAGTATCTCATTATATTGATATAGTTTTTTTTTGCTTTTTTTACCAATTTTTTAAGTTAAAATTGAGTATTTTTGGTCAATAGCTCCCAGGTCATGTGACCTATTGACCCCAAATCAGTGTGAAATTGTTCTACTAGTCTCTGTAAATGGGGCACACTCATTTGTTTTTCATTTTAACTCTTTTTTTATTTTTTACCAATTTTTTAAGTCAAAATTGAGTATTTTTGGTCAATAGCTCCCAGGTCATGTGACCTATTGACCCCAAATCAGTGTGAAATTGTTCTACTAGTCTCTGTAAATGGGGCACACTCATTTGTTTTTCATTTTAACTCTTTTTTTATTTTTTTACCAATTTTCTTAGTTAAAATTGAGTATTTTTGGTCAATAGCTCCCAGGTCATGTGACCTATTGACCCAAAATCAGTGTGAAATTGTTCTACTAGTCTCTGTAGATGGGGCACACTTATTTGTTTTTCATTTTAACTCTTTTTTGTTTTTTTTTACCAATTTTTTTAGTTAAAATTGAGTATTTTTGGTCAATAGCTCCCAGGTCATGTGACCTATTGACCCAAAATCAGTGTGAAATTGTTCTACTAGTCTCTGTAGATGGGGCACACTCATTTGTTTTTCATTTTAACTCTTTTTTATTTTTTTACCAATTTTTTTAGTTAAAATTGAGTATTTTTGGTCAATAGCTCCCAGGTCATGTGACCTATTGACCCAAAATCAGTGTGAAATTGTTCTACTAGTCTCTGTAGATGGGGCACACTTATTTGTTTTTCATTTTAACTCTTTTTCTATTTTTTACCACATATGGACACCCTTATGCTTGAACATGGTGTTCGTTATGGACAATCCATGACGAGCACAGAAGTCCAACAACAGAACACCACTCGAGTTCAGATCGGGGCGACCATTCCTCCCAACCATGCCCTTCCAGGTCTCACTGTCATTGCCCACGTGAGCGTTGAAGTCTCCCAGCAGAACAAGGGAGTCCCCAGGAGGGGCACCCTCCAGTTCTCCCTCTAAGGACTCCAAGAAGGGTGGGTAATCTTAACTGTTGTTCGGCCCGTTAGCACAGACAACAGTCAGAACCCGTCCCCCCACCCTTAGGCGGAGCCCTCTCGTTCACCGGGATGAACCCCAACGTACAGGCGCCGAGATGGGGGGCAACAAGTATGCCCACTCCTGCCCAGCGCCTCTCACTGTGGGCAACTCCAGAGTGGAAGTATGTCCAGCCCCTCTCAAGGAGACTGGTTCCAGAACCAGAACCATACGTCAGGTGAGACAGACTATTTCTAGCTGGAACCTCTCAGCCTCACACACTAGCTCCGGTCCCTTCCCACCAGCGAGGTGACATTCCACATCCCAAGAGCCAGCTTCTGCAGCCGAGGATCGGACCACCAGGGTCCCCTCCCCCGGCCAACACACATTGCATACGACCCTTATGGCCCCTCTCACGGGTGGTGGGCCCATGTAAGTGGGGACCCAACAATTCACACTGATTTTGGGTCAATAGGTCACATGACCTGGGAGCTATTGACCAAAAATACTCAAATTTAACTTAAAAAATTGCTAAAAAATAAAAAAAGAGTTAAAATGAAAAACAAATGAGTGTGCCCCATCTACAGAGACTAGTAGAACAATTTCACACTGATTTTGCATCAATAGGTCACATGACCTGGGAGCTATTGACCAAAAATACTCAATTTTAACTTAAAAAAATGGTAAAAAAAAAAAAAAAAACTATCTCATTATAATGAGATACTATCTCATTATATTGAGTTACTATCTCATTATATTGAGATAGTTTTTTTTTTTTTTTTACAGAGTGGCGGAAACGGGCTTCCATAGTTTATAACCCTTCATTATTTTTAGACTTTTTCTAACTTCACATCAATAAAGATTTTACATATTTGCAATAATATTTCCAGCTTTGGATCACTGGAACTAAGTAAAGAAATGTGTACAGAAAGCGAATTATGCTTAATAATTCTTAATAATATCTTAGAAAAAAATAAAACACATAAATGACTCATCCACAGGTGTGAATACATTTATTTAACAATTTTTTGGTTTTTGCTGGAGCTGAAACTGTAACGCTACGTCTATGGCTTTCAACATCTTTAGCTCATTTATTTTTTGCTAAATTGCTCAACCTCACTCAGGCTGCAAACATAGCATCCCTGAGCTTCCATTTTAAAATGTCACAGACAATGAACCAGATTTAAGTCTGGACTTTGACTCTAAAATATGATTATTCCAATATAGCTCTGGCTGCTTGATCAGGAATCTTTTTCTCCCTCCATAGTTTTACCTTCCATCCCAGTCTCAAGTCTCAACATCAGTGTGTTATACATTTATGAGAAGCAATTAGTTAAATAACTCTGTTACTATGTAATGCCATTACCCCCAAACACTGACCATTTGTATATATCTACCTAAGTAATAATTTTTTTAATCATCTAAACAATGCATTCACGATCCAGCAGAATGCACTATTTTTGCTTTTTACTTGGATTTTCACTTCATTTGGATTTAGTCTTTACATATGCATGGATATACGTACATATATATATATATATATATATATATATATATATATATATATATATATATATATATATATATATACGTAAAACTGTAACTGGAGCGTGTAACAAAAGTAATTTCCCTCTGGGATTATTAAAGTATTTCTGATTCTGATTCTGAATAGAGAATAAAAGGATATGAGGATGAGGGCTCCAGACAGTTTCACTCAGCCACCCAGCACCGTCATCCTGCTCTTGTAGCCTTTCATAGACACTCTGAAGATGTCTGGCATCCTCTTCATCCAAACCCTCCTTCCAGATATTATGAAGGATATTAAACTCCTCACATGACGAACGCCTCCTGAGAAAGTGCTGCTGAAAGGAACACGACCAGTTCACTCCTTTTAATAATCTTCGATGAAGGTGGGCCCTCTTTCTGCGCTTCAGGCTCCTCCTCAGTTTTTTCCTCCATATAACTTTGTCGTCGTTATAAAGTCCAGGCGTGTTCTCAAGTCCCTGCAAAGGTTTCATTCTCACACCTGAACTTATGCTTTCATCGTTTCCATCTGCGAAGCTGAATGAAGATTCAGAGAGACTGGATGGAGAGGACAATGGGATGGGAGAAACACTAAGAGGGCTGTCATGCAGCAGAGGTAGAGGAGGGAGCGTTTCTGTTTTCCTCTTATGGACTACATCTCTTCGAGGTAAGAAAATGTCTCTTCCCGGCGTTTTAGGGGGGGTGATATACGGATTGCTTGAAAGTGGTAGAACATCTGGGGGACTGCACAGAGGGGAAAACACTGTGTTTCCTTCAAACGTTTCTGCTATGTGACCAGCCGTTGCTGGAATGGAGCTGTGAAGATTCCATACGCCGCTTTCCTCCCTCCCTGGAGTTTTGGGTTTCTCCTCGTACAGGTAGGAGGTGGGTAGGAAATCAGAGGTAGCCACAAAAACATTGCTACTTGCAGGGGAGAGGGAAATGATTTCATGGGCTTCGTCTGAGTCTATATTCACCAGTCCAGCAACAATCCCCTTCCCTGGTGTGGGTGGTCTCTCCTCCTCATCCAGAGCTGGAGATGCTGGTTTGCTTTTTATCAGATTGTCAGGGTCACTGTCCACCAAGCTGCCAGTGGGGGTGAGAGGCCTCAGGTTGTCTAGGATCTCCAGACACTCTGTGCTCCATCCAGGACCAGACTCCACTGGTTAATAAAACATAAAAAAATGTACTTATTCATTTTAATAGTTATTATGGAGAAATTACTAAACTTTTGATAAAAAAATTGACCTGAAATCACAAAGAAAGAATTACCTTCTAGTCCTAAAGATGAAATGAGCTCTATGTCTGGAGGTTCTTGGTGCTGAAGATCCACACCACTGCTGTCTTTGAGGCAGCCTGTATAGTTCTCCTCTTCTTCATCCGCATGGAAGGACTCTAAAGCCTCCTCCAAGTCTAGATCCAGCTTAGCTCCAGGAGTTAGAGGAGCAGTGGGGGTCCCACTAAGCTCTGGCTCCAGTGAGTCTTCATCAGACGATATCACTATGCATTCTTCCCTGCTGTTATCCTCCTCCTCCATGTCCTCATGTTCAGAGCTGAGGTCAGAAGACGAGTCATCAAACCTCTCTGAAGAAAACGAGTCAGAGGAGTCCGATGAGTAATCACTTTCTTCTGAGGTGCTGCTCACTGGTAATCTGTCTGCAGGGAAATAAAGATAAAGTATTATCTATCGACTAGTTATTCTGACATTTTCTGCGATGCAGCCCTTAAACATACCACTTTTTAGGCACCGATCTTCATCTCTAGCTAGACAGACAGCAGGATCCTCTTCAGACCTTTCCAGTTCTGACGTCTTTTCTTTACATCCCTGGTCAACATCCTCTTCATCATCTCTGTCAGACTAATGAAAGCATCCCCTTTAATGCCTCCTCACAAAATTAAAACTTGACAGTTCATGATACAAACATTGATAAACATTCATTTCTATTGTAGATAGATTCTAACACAAGATGCACCTGTTAGGAATCCAGTTTGTGTGGGTTGTGTTTTTGTGTGTTTTCCCTCCACCACCAGGTGGCGCTCTTTCACACAAATGTGGATGGTTGCCTCCTTACCTGAGGACTCTTAAACTGCTGACTGCCACTACCTCGACGCCAGAGTGTTTGCCAGTTTTGGGTACTCTTGCCAAGCTGAGTTTTGCTGAGTCAAACTGAGTTTTTGTCAACCTGAGTCTTAATCCTGTTGTTTTTGTCTCTGCCTCTCAGCAGGAAGTCATCCTGCAAAGTGGATGTTTTGGCCCTTCTCCCCCTGAAAGGATCATCTAAGCTTCAAACTGAGCTGGGAATTCAAACTGGAGGTTTGGATCTACTTTTCCCCAAAGGATTGTTTGAGCTTCACACTGAGCAGGGGATTCATCTCCACAAGATCCGTTCAAGTACCGAAGGAAATCTAAGTGGTAGTCAACTCCTACGTTCCTCAAGGAAACAACTTAACCTGGGTAAACCCTGTCCACCCTCCAACTAGCAAACCAATTTCTGGAACAACCTGCACCGACTGGATTCAAAGAAAGACAGCTTTTCTGGAAACTTAAGTCCTGTTGCCTTTACTCCCTTTTGAAAATCGAAGCTCAAATTTCCCACTGAGCCCAAACTAACTACAGAAACTTCCCCTTCTTTTTTCAGTCCTGGTTCGCCAGTGTTCAGAGCAGCACTGGACCCATCTCTACCAGTTCTCAATAAGCCTGTTAAACCTTCCCCTGGCATCTCTGATTGGTTTTCTGCATGTTGGTCAGATCTTTGAATAAAATCATGACAGCACCAATCAAAGTTTTGAATTTGGATTCTGATCAGTTTTTTGATTAATTCAATTTGATTTCCCTTTATGAGGGATAATCTAAGGGGACATGATTCAGTTTTTTTGGGGGTTTTTTTGCCTTCTTACAGAGACAGTTCATTTGTACAGATGAGTGAATTCCATATTTTCTGAGAGTTCAACCTCTATCTGGGACCTGTTTTGGATTTTGTTACTATTTTCTGATCAATTAACTCGCTACCATTAATAGAGTTTACTAATCTATTGATTTCGCAACCCTTAACCCACCAGCATCACCGATTGGCTGTTTCCTCCCATCAATGTCTCAGTGCAACTCCAGTTATAATAAATGAATGTTATTGTGCTGCAATAACAAGTTTACAAGCATTTACCATAATCTGAGGATCCTCCGCAGGCTTGATAACATCTATTTGCTCTGATGTCTGGTTGCTATCATGATGTGTTTTGTCTTCTTCACCTTCATCATCACTGTCCAGCTCTAAGGGTCTAGCGTGTCTTCGTTTGGCTCCCTCAGCTGCAGATTTCTCAATGTTATCCTCCTGCTGCAACTTTAAAGCTGAATGGAAGATTTGGAAGCATTTCTGTTAAAGGATTTTTTTAAGGTCTGCTATAAAATATTAAAATATAAAAACTAAACCTTACCACAGCTTTCATGAGCGGAATTTGACTTGTTTTCTATTTCTTCTGATCGTTTTCGTTTTACCTGTAGGGAAAGAGTGTTTTAGAATCAATAATTCAATCACTGTGCAGACGGAAACCTGTGTGTTGAATATTAGAGGCATATTTTACTCTGAACGATGGCAGAGCAGGCTTTTTCCCCCTCTCGCTAATACCGCTGTGAAGATTTGTTTGTGTTTTCCTTCCATCAACAGCTGGAGCTCCACTTTTCAATGGAGAAACTTGCATCTTGAACAAGGAAATAAACAACCTTCACGTTGCAAAAATATGCTTTGATGAAACAAAATAAAAAGAACTTGAAAACAACAAACTAACCTTTTTCTTTTCTTGGCAGTCCCACCAGTCCTCAAACGCCTTAAAAGCCACTCCTTCAATCGCTCTTCGCATGATGTCTTTCCGAATGACAGATTTCAACTCCTCCATAAGAATTTCTAAAACCTTTTCCACGGTTACCTTATAGCACTTTTCCTGAACAGGAGTGAAGTTTGGTGGCGGCACAAAGGGATTAAAGGAGGGAAAAGGCGGGACGAGCCAGGGCGGGCGAGGGAATGGGAAAGATGCACTGCCATGCCGTGGAGGTTCCCCTCTGAGTAAAGGTGGTACAGCTACAGGGTATATGGGTAAAGGAGGAGGAACAGGTCGTGACCCAGGTAAAGGTGGAGGAGGTACCGAGAAAGTTGGTGGGGGAGGAAGGGAGGGAGGAGGTGGGATAGGGGGAGGTGGGATGGGGATACCCCGAGGTGGGATCCAGCCTGGAGGAGGGATGGGGATGGTGCCATTCGGCAGGCGGGGAGGGACAGGAGGAATAGGTGGAAGGAAAGGGGGGGTCGGAAAAGAGGCTTGTGGAGGATGAGAACATCTGACTGGATCTGGAGGAGGAGCTATGGGAATGTTGGTGTACATGGCAGAGGTAGATGGAGATTTAAGAAGTGATGATCTGTCTTCTACAAGTGGCAGAGGTCGACACCTGGTTATATTTGAGTCCACGGCATAATGTTCCTAAAATAAAACATGCAATGTAAACATTCTAAACTTTATTTTATCAATTTTGTAGCAGACTAACATTGTGACATAATAGCAAAGAAAAAGTAATATCTGCTCTACATCTGCATTCAGTCCCATTTACTGAGACATCTCTAAAAAAGCCAATGCAATAATCTGTGTTCAGCAGAAATGGCTTCCAGCTCTGACTAAAAAGAACATTAGAGAACAAACAGCATCATAAACAGGTTTGATTAAACCACCGAACAGATAAAACATGTCAGGGAAAAGTTGGAGGGAAGTTTCTGATTACAAAATATTGAAAACCTCGGAGATAGAGGGCTCTGTTTAATCAATTATCTTAAAATGAATATGGGAACAGGTATGGCATGTTGTAACTGTGGAGGCGCTGCACAAATCCATAAATATGGCCTTTATGGAAGAGGGTAAAACAAATAATAATTAAAAAAAATAGAACATCTGAAGTCCCTCTTTAATTTTTCCAAAAGACTAATTATGTTTGACAAACCTCCTGGGAAAGTCAGCTGCAGGCTCTACATGAGCCTGATTAATAAACCTGCTATCAAAACAAACTCTCATGAGGCCATGGCAAACATGTGGGAGGTGCTGCAGTGATTAGATCCATACTTCCTGAGCCCCATCCACACTACAAAACATGGTGCTGACAGCATCATGCTGTGGGAATTATTTTCTCTAGCACTGGTCAATGGAAGGAAATGTTGCAGGGTGTTTGCCTATTAAACAGAACAGGTCATAAAAATAGAACCAGAAAGCCAACATTATGGCCTAGAATCCTGTAAAAAAAAAATTCAATAAATGAAAGGCAAAGTTTAAAGCGATAGATTTCTTTAAGCTCTTTAAGGAAAGACAAAAAGAGTAAACTAAACTATGGTTTCTAGAAGCATTAGAGTGATAAACAGGCTCCAAAAGACTTGCATTGCAAAAATCATCTAAAAATGTGAAAAAATATCTTAAATTAAGTGTATTTACCATTAATTTGAGTAGGTAAATAAGATAATTTGCCAATTGAAGGAGTATTTTTAGTCTTAAAATAAGATAATTAAATAATATGCACCTGAAATAAGACAATGTAATCGTTTTTTCTTATTTTCAATGTAAATTGTCTTGTTCCATTTGCAAAGTGTCTCAATTACCTCCTCAATTCAAGAAAAAATGCACTTACTGCAAGAAAAAAATGACTTATTTAGATTTCAATTTTTTGTAGTGTGAGAAGTCACATAAACACAGTGAAATTTTTTATTTTTTTTTTTTACTATTTTCAGGGGCCCTTAATGCAAATGCATGGAAGACTTTTAGGATTTTAATTTAAAAACAAAATACAAATAAACATAAGTATATTTGTCTTTTCTTCCAGCTAACCATTATGGACTAGTTAGTGTTGGTTTTATGCATATTTATCCCACTGAAACAATTTGGCACATCTGGTAATCTGATATTTGTGATTTGGTGTGTTCTCCATTTTTTTTTTTCTTTTTAAAAATTTAGATTCATGTCCAACAGGAATTAAATGAATTAAAATGTCATGTTATCCTATTTAAGAATACTGCATCAAAATAGATGGTTTTGACTCATGTGGTATTGTTTTCTTTTTAAGTCTAACTACACATAAAATCTAACAACATATATAACTGTTTGGGAGTTGTGAATTGTGAACCAGATCAAAGAGAATAAAAATATTTGAAGGACGTCATATTGACAACGCTAAAGCAAGAAATTACAAAATCTACCTTTGAGGAAGAAATCCACTGCGTTATGTTGACATCTTCCTCATGTGTTTGATGCACTCTGCTTTCTGAATGTTCCAGCTCAGAGGATGTGGGAGACTGGGAGTTTGCTTTAAGAAACAAAACAGCTTGATTAGTTTCATCCTCCTCGTTTTCGGGGAGCGATGAACTGAAATCCTTTGGACGGCGATGGCCGCTGGTAAAGGATTCACTAGGTGATGGGGAGCAAGAAGGGGAATCATCTGAGAGAGGAACCTTAGGAGTGTATTGAGGTGAAGAAGGGCTGTCTGGAGAGTCTCCTTCAGGCTTTTGAGTTTTGCATTTAAAATATAAACTTTCAGAAATCTGACTGTTTATCAGCAGATGTTCAATGCGCGAGTCCAAACTCCCCACCTCTGGGTGACCCTCATTGCTGACGTGTCGACCATCAGCTGTGAAACTATTGCTGTGGACGTCGACAGGGTCACGGGTGTGAGGTGAAGTCACAGAAGAAGAGCTACCCATGTCTGCAGACTCCTGAAAGGAGGAAACGGGACTACAGGAAGGCTCCTTGTAGGCAGAGTATCTGGTGTTGTGGCTCCACATTGTGAGCTGCTGGTTACTGATTTGTTGCTGATTTAAAGTTGGATTCAGAAGGGGGAGGTGGTTAGACTTTAAAATGAAACTGACATTTGAAGCTGGGTTAGATACCCTCTGATGCTTCGCCTGTTTTTGACGACAGAGCGCTCGTCTTAAATGTTTGTGAAGGCTGAAGCTAGATGGCTCCCCCTGGAGGACAGGCGTCGCCTGAAGGCTGGAGTAGCAGGAGTCCTGGGAGAGAGGAGTCGCAGAAAAGGAGGGAGTCCGGGGGGTTCCCTGAGATTGTGGTGTTAGGCCAAAGCTGCAAGGAGTGTCTTGCCAAATGCTGGAGTAGGCTGTGTCCAAGGAGAGGGGTGTAGCGATGCTGGTAGGACTGGAGGCAGCTCCTAACTGTTGAGCAGCAGCGCTGGGCTGAGTGAAAAACAACAACATGAAAAGAAAAGATTTTTCACTATCTGATCTGAAATTTCAGGATCAGTGTTGAAAGGATGCTTTAATGTTTACCACCAGGGTGTCGACTAAGCTTTGAAGAACGCGCTCACTGCTCCCCAATGGTAACGTCCAGGGAGTATACAGGCCGTTAAGCAACAGCTGAAGATATTTCGTTCTTTTCTGACCTGAGAAGATTCATCTGAGAATTAGTCACTTAATCAAAAACAAATGTGGCGACTGAAAACTGATTAAAAAAAAAAAAATCCAATTTTACCTTTGGGATCTATTTCCACATGTATAATATTTCCCATCACGGATGTTTGATGAAGGTGCTCCATTGCGTTCTTTGCTGCTCTCACCGAGTCAAAGATGACCTTCGCAACTCCCAGGTGTTTCTTGTTGTTTGGATTGTAAAATATTTCCACTTCTTCCACTTTACCATATTTCTGGCACATATTGGTGAGAAATGTTTCTCTCACATTATCATTTAACCTGCAAAATGTCAATTCCTTGGGAGGGACAGGCCCGATATACCACTCATCAATCTGGAAAGAAACACATTTAATTATTATTTTTTTATTTGCACCACTGTAAAGTTATACCTTTAATAACTGTTTAATTTGTCTATGATTAAAAAATATATATTTATTGATCTGTAACAAAAAGTTTAAGGAAGTTAATTTCAAAAAAGTCATTAATTGTAAGCTATAATTTGCAAAGCCCATAGACGGACATTGAAGGAGGAAAAAAGAAAGAAACCTTTATTTGAAAACCAGATATTTACAAGAGCACCTTGCGTTAAAACTCAGTCTAACAAGTGTTGTTTTGAAACAATATAAATGTAACTTCTGGCGAATAGCGCAGCAATGTCCCAATATGACAGGAAGGAATTTACACTTCAATAATGCAGTTAGTTAGACAGTGTGTTGGAGAAATGTACTGGTGTGTTTTATTAGAAAGGTCAGTGTATACTTATTCAGTTATTCAGAATTTTTTTTCCATTTGAAACCAAAAATGAAAAAGTTTTATTTATTTATTTACTTATCTTGATCCTATACTAAGAATTAGAGACTTACTTGTGATTTGGGAGGTAATGACTTGGTGCCTCCTCTAGGGGGCGTAAGTAATTATCTAGTACCCACAACAGTTATTATTTATCTATTTATTAATTTTTTGCTTATGTCCTGATAGGGGCTGATAAATATAAAATTAGGATAAACATATGCTTAAATCTTTCTATTAAAAGACCAAAATCCTTTAATTGTTTGCAGAAAACTGCTGATAAACATCCATGTTTGTCATTTCAACTAACTGATTTGCTCCTGACTGCAAGTTTGATGGTGATCATAAAAAGTACCTTGAATTTAGGAAGCAGTAGATCAGTTATGTTGTGTTTACTCCACAGACGGCAGACTCTGGGATCTCTGACGGTCTCCACAGGAAAAAGACCTAAATCCTCAACCTTACAAAGAAAACACGTTGTAATTACAATGGAGGATAAAAAAAAAAGATTTTCACATTTTAATCAGAAATTTAACAGCTAAGGAGGAGGGTAGGAGTATTAATAGGATATCATTACTCACGGGGATGTTGAAATGTTGTCCATCAAAGCGGCAGACTTTGTATAATCCTTTAGTAATTGCAGGGTCTATGATCAATTTGCAACTTTTCCAGTCCAGAGGAGGTGTATCTGTCTCTAAATCTTGGTTTTCGCTTTCCATTACATTAAACAAAACCTGTAAAAACGTCCAAATCAATCCCATATGGTGTCATTTTGTACCACGGTCAATGGAAGCTAGCAGAAATGAGTCCTCCAGCTGAGGTTAACACACCCCAACAGGTGATGGAGAGCATCACCTGTGTCCTTATCCGAAATATAAAGATACCTACCTAAATACCCGAACCAGTGTCTAATCGAACACTTCTTGTCTCGCTTACTTTCACCGAAGTTCTCCCTTTTGATCGGTCAACATTGTTGCAAAGCTGTTGAGTTTCCTGCGTGTTTTCTTTTATTTATTTTTTTACAGGTCGTCGCTCTGGTAGGATCATGTATTCATCCGCCAGGAGGCAGGGACGAATCTAATGTAGATCCTCAGGCTGGGCGGAAGAACACCATGAGGTAACTGTAAATACAATTGGAGAAAAAAAAAAAGAAAAAAAAAAAAAATATATATATATATATATATACTTGTGTGTACAAAATGCCAAAATAAAATATGTCTAAGTCTAAGTCTGTCTCTAAGTCTATGTCACTTTTACAATATCTTAAGACCTCTGTCATAATCACTGACAGAGTTCAACTTTTACTATGGCCAATCAGATGGGCAAAGTCAATACAGGCACACAATATTTGATCGTTTACATTGAGTATGCACATTTTGTTAATTAGATTCAACCATGTTAAGTCTGATTACCTACTTAAAATCAAGAGAACTTACCTTTATTGGCATGATAGTTTTTAAACAAATTTACCGAAGCAAAAGTACACACAAACAAATACTATATTTTTTTCCAAATTCAAATTGAATCTCATGAAATTAAAATAGTAATCCTGTAATATATAGAGTCATCACAATATAGCAATATTTGTAATGTAAGAAAGGTTTATATATATATATACCATTTAGACCTTATGAGCCTGTCTTTTTGTGTGACAACCTGTACATATCCGGCCTCTAGTTTAACACTCTGGCTCTCTTCACCCAGAATCTTTTGTATCTGTTACTCTGAGAGGATGGTAATAAATGGAGGGATTACATTAGTACATTTGGGGAAAAACAAATTTCTTATATTCATGTCATTTGGACAGGAAATAAGGAAATTCAATTAAATGAATTATAGTTATATAGCGCCATTTCACAACACATGTCATCTCAAGGCACTTTACAGTTCACCAGATCATACAGTCAAATTGATTCAAAGTTTTCTATTTAAGGAAAACCAGTTGATTGCATCGACTCATTGACTCGAAGGCAGTCCCTCACCCTAAGCATGCTTGTAGCGACAGTGGAGAGGAAAAACTCCCTTTTAACAGGAAGAAACCTCCAGCAGAACCAGGCTCAGGGTGAGCGGCCATCTAACTAAAAGATCTGCCTCCTATTCTACTTTTAGAAATTCTAGGAACCACTAGTAAACCTGAAGATTGAGAGCGAAGTGCTCTGTTAGGAACATAAGGAACAATCAGATCTCTGATATAAGATGGAGCTTGGCCATTTAAGGCTTTATATGTGAGAAGGAGGATTTTAAATTCTATTCTTGATTTAGCAGAAAGCCAATGAAGAGCAGATAGGATAGGAGAGAGATATGATCTCTCTTTTTGATTTTCATCAGAACTCTGGCTGCAGCATTTTGGATCAGCTGAAGGCTTTTAACTACAGTTTGTGGACTTCCTGATAGTAAAGAATTAAAATAGTCCAGCCTTGAGATAACAAATGCATGAACTAGTTTCTCCACATCACCCCTGGACAGGATATTTCTAATTTTTGCAATGTTCCTCAGATGAAAGAAGGAAATTCTAGAAACCTCTTTGATATGGGATTTAAATGACAAGTCCTGATCAAAAATAACACCAAGATTTTTTACTTTATTATCTGAATTCAGTTTAATCCCATTCAATTGAAGTGACCGAGTAATCAGCTTCTTTTTCAAAGACTCTGGTCCAAAGACTATAACTTCTGTTTTGTCTGCATTCAGGAGCAGAAAGTTAAGCGTAATCTAGGTTTTTATGTCTTCAAGACATGCTTGTAATTTGTAGATAGATATAGCTGAGTATCATCAGCATAACAGTCCAAATAGGTTTCATTTTCTACCTACCATTTGTGACAGAACCTACAGATTCTTTCTGATCATTTTAACCATTGATTTCTAAATTAACCAACTTTAACGGTAAATTGATGATCAGATAGTCTATATTTGGTGAGTATCTGCCTTTTTTTTTTTTTCTTCCCACTTTTATTTATGCTTTAACATGTGGCACAATGTACAGATGGAGCAACAGTTATACAGTTAATAATGTACCTTTAGCATACAAACATAATTGGGCTAGAACAAACCCAAATAAACCCACATACAAACACACACTCAATACAAAAAAAAAAAAAAAAAAAAAAAAGAATAGATAAAGAAATAAGCAAATGATCAAGTCAAGGCAAGCACAACGAGATACCGGGGACAGATATATATATAAAAAAATAAATAAAATAAATAGGTAGAAGTAGAAAGGTCCACAGTATTAAAATTATATAAATGTTTTCCCTCAGTCCGTACATACTAAAAAAAAAAAAAAAAAAAAGAAAAGAAAAACTTCTCAGGTGCCAGGGGACCCTGCTCTTAATAAATCAGACAGACTTAACTCAAAGAAGAAGACAAAAGAAAAAATAGATAAGAATAATAAACATCAGCTACATACATGCAACTTTATCAGTCTGGAATATTAGGGAAATCAATCTTCCTAAGGGCTTTTAACAAGGGACTCCACAAACCCAAAAATCTTGCGGAAGAGCCTCTTAAGGTAAGACGGATCTTCTCACGTTTAATAAAATACAATGTGTCTCGAAGCCAGTGGATGTATGATGGGGGTTCAGGCAACTTCCATTTCATTATAATCACTCTCCGAGCCAGATAGGTCAGGAAAGTCAAGGAGGACCTCTGAAGAGAGGACAAGATGGGCTGTGGAGGTGCAACCCCAAACAACGCAATCAAGGGACAAAGCTCAAATTTTACGCCAAAAACGTACGATAGAACAACAAAAACTTTAGACCAATAACTAGAAAGCTGAGGACAGAGCCAGATGGTGTGGATCAAATTGGCTGGAGAATGTTGGCATCTATCACAGGCTGGAGTAACGCTGGGGTAGAACTTGGCTAGACGTGCTTTAGTATAATAAGTGCGATACACAAGTTTGCACTGAATTAGATTACGTCTGGCACAAATAGAGGACCTGTGCACCAATGACAAGATAAGTGTCCAGAGATCCTCTGAAATTTCCCGTCCAAGATCTTCCTCCCAAAGTGATCTAAGGGAGTTCAGGGTGTGTGGACGCAAAAGCGTAATTTGATTGTAAATAAGAGAAACGGCCCCCTTCAGTTTGACAATAGGTTTCAGAAAAGTGTCTAAAGGTGAATCCCCAGGAAGGTTCGGAAAATTTGAATAAGTAGAGCGGACAAAACTGCGCACTTGTAAATATCTAAAAAACTGACATCGCGGGATATCAAATTTCTCGGAGATTTGTTGGAATGAGGCGAAAGTATTATCAATGTACAGATCGTAAAAGGTTGAAATTCCTTTTCTCCGCCATGACAAGAAAGTATCATCTGCGAGGGACGGCGAGAAGGTATGATTCAGGGCTATAGGGGCATAGACAGAAAGAGATTGCAGACCAAAATGCCGCCTAAATTGCCTCCACAGTCTTAAGGATGCGTCAACTATTTTATTAGAGGTATAAGGATTAGTTGAAGATTGCAATGGTGAATGTAGTAAGGCTGCCAAGGACACAGGTTTTACAGAATTTGCCTCTATATTAAGCCAAGCCGGAGATGAAGGGCTATCTGACCGGAGCCAGTATCTAAAAAGTCTAATGTTTGAAGCCCAATAGTAATATCTAAAGTTTGGCAAGGCCATCCCCCCAAGCTTTTTAGGTCTTTGTAAGAGTTCAGTGCGTATACGAGAGGCCTTCCCATTCCAAAGAAATGTAATAATTATACTATTGAGTTTATTGAAAAAGGACCGTGAAAGAAAAATAGGTATGCACTGAAATAGGTGGGAAAAACGTGGGAGGATGTTCATTTTGATTGAATTAACCCGAGCAACCAAAGAGAGGCCAAGCATTGACCAACGATCAAAATCTTCCTTAACACGCAATAATAAGGGGGAAAAGTTAGCTTTAAAGAGATCCTTATATTTAGATGTAATCTGGATTCCTAAATAGGTAAAACTCTGATCTATTACCTTAAAAGGTAATGTACGCAGTGGGTAGTTCTTAGCCAAAACCTTAATTGGGAATAATTCGCTTTTGCTGAGATTTAATTTATAGCCCAAATTTGACAAGTGTGGCAAGTATAGCAGGAATAGATGTACTCAAATTTGAAATATACAGGAGAAGATCATCAGCATATAAAGAGACCTTTGTTCCAATACCATTCCTCTTAATACCTATGATACTTGCATTACATCTAAGCGCAATTGCAAGGGGTTCTTTTGCCAAAGCAAATAGTAAGGGACTCAGCGGGCAGCCCTGGCGCGTAGAGCGATTGAGGCGAAAGTAGTCAGACTGACTATTATTTGTCCTAATTGATGCATGAGGGTCAGAATAAAGTAATTTAATCCAAGACAGAAACTTTCTTCCGAAACCAAATTTCTCAATCGAGTAGAATAAATATGGCCACTCAACTCTGTCAAAGGCCTTTTCGGCATCCATAGATATCACAACTTCTGCGGTACTAAGAGTATCTGCCTTTTAAAGGGACATTTAAAGACTGTTACTAATATGCCAATTAAAGTTATATTTAGTTGATTTATTGATTTGGTTTCCAGTTTCCACTGATGATAATGTTTGTCATTATTTTGGTTGTTTTCTTATTTGGATATAACGTTAATTTGAAAGACAGATCCTACTTGCTGAATTGTGGTAAATCTAAAAGTTCTCTTTTTTATTTGGATAAGGAATGGAAATTGCCCCAGTTCTGCTATAGGTGTTGGGACAGTTTCTGTGAACTCTGGACATATTCTTACAGAACTCCAGGTAAACCTTTTCAACTGGGTTTGAGTTCCATTAATTAAGCAAAAATCTTGCTTCTTTTGTAATTAAGATTTCTTGACTGACAAATGAGTCTTTTTTTTTAACCTAAACCAGTTTGCTGCGTGATATTTATAACTCTCTTTGTTGTGTTAAATGAACCCAAAGCTGGACCTGTCCAAATCTGACCCAGGAATAGGTTCATCATAAATTGGATGGTTTTATTAACCCATGGGTGGCTACTCCTCTACATTTTATGACTATGTTTCTTTCAATGTTCCAGCACAATCTCATTTACTTTGTAATCATTTGAAGAAATAACTTGTGTGCCAACAGCATGGGTGTAGTGAGCTTTTCATAACTACTGCTGCAAACAAGAAAGGCATCAGGATCAAGCAACTCTGTCCACTAAACCAAAATAAATGCATTTCTGGCAAACAAAAATAAACCTTTAACAAACAGTTAAATCAAGAATTTCTGCTTTCATCAGCAGTGACTTAGAGAGTTTTTGTAATGCATGCTCATGGCAGAGCAAAAACTTACTTTAACCACCATGTCAACACATTTCCTGTGTGGTTTATCATATCTTGACCCAATTTTAGCACAAGCTACTCTCTGCAGTGTTTCATTTTGCTGAAATGCATTTGAGAATGTCGTGCAATTTTAAAACAGATTGTAAGCAGACATTTTTGTTTCAAAGGATGCTAGAAAAACACAGAAACAAAACTGGAAATGTTTGATTTAATGGACATACCTTTAAGCTGTGCTTAAAGTATACAGTTGATTCCTTAAATGAGGACAAGAAAGAACCACAAAAAAAAAAAACTGATTCTAAACTTTGCTTCTTCTTTTTTTCTAAAGAGTGTTATGGAAAAATGCATTATGATTTGATCATGACTTATGTGTTGTTTTTATGTTCAGAAATAACCTTAAAAATAGACATATGGTGAGTCACAGTTCTTTTCCTGCCAGTTGTTGTTGACAAAAAAGATTTTTCTTTTAAATTAGATCTGATCAAGAACATTTAAATGCTCACAATTATAAGCAGGACAGATTTGGGGGAAACTGTAAGCAAACATCCAAACTGATAATATAACAATGCAATAACAGCACAATCTTGATATCAACAGAAAAAGTGTAACAATATATATCAACAGTGGTGTCACCTTTAAAATTCAAAGTGCAACAATATACTTTGTAACGACAGTATCTCATGCAGCTTTGTTACAGCGTGACAGCAGGACAAAAGAGCAAGAGCTACATTCTGGAAACAACAACTACCTGCAACATTTAAAAAAGGGAAAACAAAGGTGTAACCATGCTCAAGCTTGTAAACTACCCCACACTATGTACAAAACAGACAAACTGGCAAATAACACTTTCAATACTTTTATGTCATGAAAAAGTTGTTCAAAACTAAGTCCTTGGTTTTACAGTAGATTTGGTTAAAGAAAAGAAAAAAGCAACAGTATGAAACTGAGAAACTGAAGGTTAACTGCTTTATACCTCAATCTTGATTTCTTTTTTTAAATCATGTGATTAACTGTGAAAAATGTACAAGTAGGGTTGTGCTCTGTTTATGAAGATGCAATTTTTTCATCAATGCACTTCTTGCGCTCCCATAGCTCAGCTGGGAATCAGTTCATCCATATTTGTTTTTAAATTAGTTCACATAACTGATGAATTAGCTCACTGTTATTATTATTTTTGAGGAAGATTGAAATAGATTCTAGCTTTGGAAATAAGGTTTGGCATTTTTTATTAACTTAAGGGGGAAAAAAAGATGAATTTGATTTTGTAAGAAAATAAAGGAGACTATATTTTTAAAGGGGTCATAGAATGATTCTATAGGGTATATGGTGCTGGTCCTTAAGGTCTCTGAATAGGGTGTGTAACATTTGGTTGGGCTGAAAATGGCATGTTTGCTGTTCTATGAGCCCTAATGCAAGCCTGGTTAAAAGCCCTAGAATGAAACAGGTTTTCTTACTGTTATGGTATGATCATGAATATTTAGATGAGCTGTGCGCTGATTGGTTGGTTTACAACGAGCAAAGCTGCTGAGCAAAGACGCATCATAGCAACAAGCACTCACTCTGAAACATCGAGATTGTTGATATGGTAGGGTGACCAGACGTCCTCCTTTTCCTGGATATGTCCTCCTACTTTTCATACCTAAAAAAAATGTTTTGGGGGAATTTCAAAATCGTCTGGGATTTTGGGATGGGGGCAGGGAGCCAGAAGGGGACAGAGTGACCAAACCCGACCCGGTGACGGTAGCCTGGTCACAGGCAGCCTTGTGGGCTGATCTGTATGTCAATTTCTGGGCGTGACAAAAGTACAGGCCAGAACCGAATAAGGCAACATCACCGAGTTTACGTCAACTCGGAGCTTCGTTTGGATTCGCCCATTTTATGGTGGAAGTTTAGAATTGTGAGATTTGCACAGAAAGGAGGTGTCGATGGGGTTTGAACTTCGTTCATTTCACCCACTTTACTATCGTTATTCATCTATGACAATGTTAACTCGGTTTTACGTTCTATGACCCCTTTAAGTCATATCATCCAGCCCAAGCTACAACTGAATGCTACAATATCGGCATACAGTATGCTGCTGCTATCTAAGAAGTAAACAGCATTGGGTGCTTTAACAGAGGTATAAAAAATGTACTGGAGGCCTAGTACAGCCTGAGGTACTGAATTTGTGTAGATACTGATATGCCTTATCACTGTCTTCATCTAAGAACATCTGGCCTTTTTGAATCTATTCAAAAGAGCACATGTTCACATTAAAATCCGACATTGAGCTTTCCCTCATCAACTATTAGACACTCAAAGTAGAAGATACAGTCACTTATAAATAAACAAAATGGCTGCTAGAATAATAATAATAAAGCAGAGGTCTTTATATTAAAGCAATAAAGTGGACTATTCACCCGAATACAGCAGTGCTTTTGAGGTCTGAACTCAAAGGTCAAGGATGTTGCCGACTGATATCAATTCCCTGCCATATAAAAGTAAAGCAAGTTTCGTAAACATGCAAATAAATAGCGAAAGTCGGAGCCGTGACATGCAGCGTTCCTCGGGTGGTGCTCCTACATTCAAACACTTCTGACACATTCTACCAACACAGAAATGAAGCCTTTAAAAGGGAACTCTAGATGAGTGGGTAACAGTTAGGCAAAATCTTGGGCAGTCTTCAGCTCGTCGTTCTCAGCCCTGTGATTCAGCAGTTTCTGGAGCTGAATGACTTGGTCCAGCTCTCGGATCTGCCGGTCTGTTTTGTGGCTAACAAGTGTGCGGTAGAAGTGGACAGCAAAGATGATGAAGACAATTCCGAACGGCACCATTATGCAGGTGGACGCGATGGCCGCCGCCTTGCCGGAGCTGATGGTGGCATTTTTTCCCCCTTTGTTGCTATCGAGCGGCAGGAACTTCACCCAGCACAGGAGCATAACCTCAGTCAGGAAGAGCAGGGTGCCGATGACTGTGGAGAAGGCCCAGGCCAGTTCTATGTAGCGGTGCATGCGCTCATGGGGAGACTCGTTGACTGAGTTGAGGTTGTGAACGTTACTGACAGCCTCCAGATTGGGGAGGATGCAGGTGCTGATCATGAGGGCAAACAAATGGACGGCGACCAGAACGGTGGTGCAGGCGCTGAAGGCGACCAGCAGCCCTGGGGGATACTTATACGTATCCTCCTGCTCCAGCTGTACCTCCACCATGGCAACCTGGGAGGGATAATCAGGAAAACATTCATTCATACAGATCATACAGAAATTAAATTACACACAGGTGGAGCCTTAACTGATTAAAGACGAGCAGCAGGTTTCACTGGATTTTATTTACGGGGCAGGGGCGGGTTTAGGAAATTTGGGGCCCTAGGCAAAAACAGGCATGGGGCCCGCTGAATTGACCCATTATAGAGATACAGAGATGTTAATAGAATAGACGTCCATTCTGCAGGTTTCGCCCCTCTCTTCTTGTCCCTTTTCTTGTTGTTTTCCTCTCTATGTTTTGTACTGAGCTCACTTTTCATGCGGTCTCAAAAGGAATGGAAGATTTTTTTCAACTCACTAAGCTCACGTAGCCAACTGCTCCTTCCTGTGTTTCCAAAGAGGCACTGTAGACAAGCAATGATTTGCTTATCTGTTCTCCATTTTTCATTTAGATGAAATAATAGTATAGAATCATGACAGCAGACAAGATAGAGGAGAGCAGGAGGCGGGGTTACCAATCTACTTGCTCTGGAGAGCAGAGTTCGCTGCTTTTATATGTTGTCGCCAAAGTCTCCACTAACAGAAAAAAGTCGCTAGATTTGGCACTAGGTGTTTTTCTGGAATAAAAGCACTAGAGGGGTCTGAAAAGTTGCTAAATATAGCAACAAAAGCACTAAGTTGGCAACACTGCTCTTTGCATTGTTTGTTTTCAACTGGTTTGCTGCTGTCTGTTTGGACCTTTCTGAATATTTGCAGCAAATGGACAGATCCAATTTGGTGGACACTGAAGAGGGGCGGAGACACACTTAATATTATAGTTTCATCAAAAACATAATTAATTAATATTTATGGGGCCCCCAGGAACTTGGGGCCCTAGACAACTGCCTAGTATTGCCTAATGGTAAATCCCCCCCCCCCCCCCCCCCCCCCCCCGTTAGAGGTAGCCTATCAGATTAAAGGAAGCTGAATAACTAAACGTTTACTAAAAATGAAACACAATTTCTTATCCACTGCTTTACCACATTAAATCTCAATAGAAAACAGTAAATATCGAGATTTCACCCAGAGAAGCTGTGGAAAGGGTGTGAATACTTTTGCGCTCGTCGGGTGGGCACATTTGAAAACAATAATCTGCGTCACACACGAACTGCGGCTGTCCGCGTGGAGTTGCGAGTCCGATCAGGGAGAAAATGGACCCACTTTTACTCACCATTGCGAAACCGGACAGGAGAGCCGAGGTGCGGCTGGTGGCTTTCAGCTTAGCTCGGCTCAAGTACAACTTTCTCCAGGAGAGCGCCTGCATGGAGTGCTCGTTCAGGCTCATTCTGACAGCTGTTCCAGGACAGACCGAAAACTTTTCTTTAGGAGACACAAATGTTCCCAGGACGGCGCTCTGCAGCAGGTTCCGCGTCCGCGGAGGAACTTTGACTCCAAACGGAAACAAAAAAATAAAACTTCTATGAAAAAGATCCTAAAATCAGTAAAAAAAAAAACCTTCTCTCCAACAGCTGACTGTTGGAAACTATGAAGAGGAAACTCAAGATACCCACAATCCAACACTCCTCACAGCCGCTGCAACTGTCAGGTCCTCCCCCTCCCCTCTCCCCTCTCCCCTCTCTGTTTCTGAGCGCTAGGACTGCCTTCTGCTTTGCAACAATTAAACATCAACACCATTAAGAAAAATGCTTAACACCGGGATTTTTCAAGTACTCACACTTATGTGAGTGTGAGAATGAATGTGAGTGAGTGTTATCATTATTATTATTATTATTATTATTATCAGCATTATACCATATTATTATTGTTGTTGTTATTATTAATATTGAATTAGTATTACTACTATTATTATTATTGTCACCATCATCATCATGCATGTGCTTGGCCCACTAAATGTATCAAATGACTTGCAATAATATATGACATTTGTGGATTTTTTTTTTTAAACAAATCATATAGTTTGACATTTCTCTGAATAATGAAAAAAAGAAATACTAATAATAATAAAAACAGGAAAATACCGAGGACATGACCTCGGTGTTCTAAATGTTGGTAACGGGCCTGCTTAAAACTATTGATCTTTAGCATTTACTATTTTCAAAGAAATGGACACCAAGCAAAAGTTTGATTAATTAATTGCAAAAAAAGAAAATGAAAAACAATGGACTTTGTTTCCAAGTTTGAAGACGTTTCCCTTCCCATCCAGGAAGCTTTTTAAATTCAAAATGTCAGGAATAGCGTTGAGTTTGAGGTTTCATACAGTAGCCCATCAAAACCTTGTTTTTGTTATTAAAAACAGGCAAATTGTAACAGACGAAAGCGTCCATTTCTTTGGAATGGGGGTCATTTGGCTTCTTTTCTTAGCCTGCAATGCTCCATACCAGGTTTGGACTATTAATCCTAAATTCAGGAACCTGTAACAGTAAATAACTCAAGGAGCTCAAGAAGTAATTTGATGTTAACTAATTAAATGATGCATGCAGTGTATATTGGTGTGTTGTAAACATATGGGGCCCACCCAGATAATGTTGCTTACGGGCCTATTGTTGTGTTGTTATCTCAGTGGGTGCATGATGGGGTTTTGCATCTGAAGGCTTACGTTTCCCTTCTTACGTGCATTGTTGCCAGGTTGGGATGTTTCAAAATTTTCCGATTTTCACAGGGGATTGTTGGCCTGCTGCATAGGCGAGGTCCTCCGCTACAGGGAGCTGCAATGATAGCGGGAATGCATTAACTCAATTGCTGCATTGGTTTCCTTCACGCCCCTCTTAAACCACCTGTTTTCTTTATCCAAAATGTGAACATTCTGGTCCTCAAAAGAATTTCCTTTGTCCATAAGGTGTAGATGTACAGCAGTCTTTTCCAGAGGAGACCGCTCTTCTGTTTTCAGCCATGCGTCTGTGGAGAGGTTGTTTGGTTTCTCCGATATAAAGACCAAAGCATTCCTCACTGTTACCAAAACAAAAACAAGGCTTTTCTGGGCTACTGTATAAGGCCTTGAACTCAATGCTATTTCTGACATTTTGAATTGAAAAAGCTTCCTGGATGGGAAGCGAAACGTCTTCAAACTAGGAAACAAAGTCCAGTGGATTGTTTTTCATTTTCATTTTTCGGAATGACTATGACCTGGATGACTGAGAACCTTCACCAGCATATTAATTACTTCTCTCATTTTATTAAATAAAAAGAGACATAAAACAAATGAGATTCTGAAATGGATATTTTTTTCAAAAAATTTGAATAAGTTATAAGATTAATTAAAAAAAATGGGTAGTTAAAATTGTATTCATTTCTATGCCCTACATTTTTTTGGGGGGGGGCCAGGTTGGGGTTGTTTTTGTCATCCGTTCTGCAGAGAAGGTGATTGGCTGCAGTCTCTAGGATCTGTACGCCTCCAGGACTCTGAGGCATGCAGGGAAGATTGTTGCTGATCCCTCACACCTCTGGCAGGAGGCTGCGGTCCATCAGGACCAAAACCTCACGTCACAAGAACATTTTCTTCATATCTGGCACGAGCCTGTCCAAATGCACCTCTCCAAAATTGTAGGTGACACAGACAGTACCGCAAACAGGAGGCCTCTGATTGGTCTAATCTACATCCTCTCTACACTATGCGTACTTCCTGTTTCGTAATTTACCGGCTTGTTTTGTTTGTATGACCGCCGTTGTGGAAAACGACTCGTGAAGTTGGACCAGCTAGAAGAGCGAGGAGCCGCGAGAACGCTAGTACCGCTCTTTTTCACCCTCATGTCTCTCTATTGTTGCACAAACTTGGCCCTTGCGTTTTTCAACTTCCTCGCCGCCTCAGCTATATCTAGACCCACAGCTAGTTCCTCATTTATTTGTGGTTTGGAATAACATAGCTTCAAAATTTGGCATAAATCAAAAATATCTGCGACACACTGCTGCGGAAGTATAACCAGCCATTGACACTTAACATAGCATATCCATAACTTCTGCCTTACATTAACGGACAGTCTACTGTGTATATAGTATATACAGTGAGGCAAAAAATTATTTAGTCAGCCACCAATAGTGCAAGTTCTCCCACTCAAAAAGATGAGAGAGGCCGGTAATTTTCATAATAGATATACCTCAACTATGAGAGACAAAATGAGAAAAAAAAATCCAGAAAATCACATTGTCTGATTTTTTAAGAATTTATTTGCAAAATATGGTGAAAAATAAGTATTTGGTCATTTACAAACAAGCAAGATTTCTGGCTCTCACAGACCTGCAACTTCTTCTGTAAGAGGCTCCTCTGTCCTCCACTCGTTACCTTCATTAATGGCACCTGTTTGAACCCGTTATCAGTATAAAAGACACCTGTCCACAACCTCAAACAGTCACACTCTAAACTCCACCATGGCCAAAACTAGAGAGCTGTCAAAGGACACCCGAAACAAAATTATATACCTGCACCAGGCTGGGAAGTCTGGATCTGCAATAGGTAAACAGCTTGGTATGAAGAAATCAACTGTGGGATCAATTATTAGACAATGGAAAACATACAAGACCACTGATAATCTTCTTCGATCCCCCTGCTTAAGCCTGTACATGTCAAGGCCCATCTCAAGTTTGCTAGAGAGCATTTGGATGATCCAGACGATGACGGAGAATATCATATGGTCAGATGAAACCAAAATAGAACTTTTTGGTAAAAACTCTACTTGTCGTGTTTGGAGGAGAGAGAATGCTGAGTTGCATCCAAAGAACACCATACCTACAGTGAAGCATGGGGGTGGAAACATCATGCTTTGGGGCTGTTTTTCTGCTAAGGGACCAGGACGACTGATCCGTGTGAAGGAAAGAATGAATGGGGCATGTATCGTCAAATTTTGAGTGAAAACCTCCTTCCATCAGCAAGGGCATTGAAGATGAAACGTGGCTGGGTCTTTCAGCATGACAATGATCCCAAACACACCGCCCGGGTAACGAAGGAGTGGCTTCGTAAGAAGCATTTCAAGGTCCTGGAGTGGCCTAGCCAGTCTCCAGATCTCAACCCCAAAGAAAATCTTTGGAGGGAGTTGAAAGTCCGTGTTGCCCAGCGACAGCCCGAGGACATCACTGCTCTAGAGGAGATCTGCATGGAGGAATGGGCCAATATACCAGCAACAGTGTGTGAAAACCTTGTGAAGACTTACAGAAAACGTTTGATCTCTGTCATTGCCAACAAAGGGTATATAACAAAGTATTGAGATTAACTTTTGTTATTGACCAAATACTTATTTTCCACCATATTTTGCAAATAAATTCTTTAAAAACCAGACAATGTGATTTTCTGGATTTCTTTTTTCTCATTTTGTCTCTCATAGTTGAGGTATATCTATGATGAAAATTACTGGCCTCTCTCATCTTTTTAAGTGGGAGAACTTGCACTATTGGTGGCTGACTAAATACTTTTTTGCCCCACTGTAGCTATGTACTATGTATTGCATATAGCTATAGAGTCTGTATTCTGTATATATAAATCTATTTTGTCTGCACCATCAACACCAAGTCAAATTCCTTGTAACAACAAGGCGGTTTGAAATATTAAATGAAAACCTCAAATATAGCATATCAAAACCATAATCAGATCTCAATATGACTTTAGCTAAAAGTCCCTCAACACAATTTTCGATGTTATGAAATAAAGTTTTACTGAGGGACCTATCATTCAGGGTTTCTGTGGAAGCACATATCATTTATTTATCATCAATTGATTTAGTATTATGTCTTTACTACAAGGCCTTTACTGGGGCCAGGACCAGTTTTACAGGAGCCCTGGCTCCCCGATGACCCCTATCTAGGACCGCCCTTGCACAGTGGAGCAACACCAACACGCTGGACTTCAAACAGCATGGATTTCTGTCTCTCCACTCTTCCTCGAGGCTCCGGGACAATGATTTCCATATGAAATGCAAACGATACTTGGATGAAAAAGGACTTTGGACCACAGAGCAACGCTCCAGTTCTTTCTCTCCATAGAAAAGATGCTTGATCTGTGAATAGCAGCTCTTTATTTGCAGCCACCCAGCCTCTGTCCACTCCTCATCAAGCTCCCCCTGACTTCTTAAAGCGATTTTTTTTTTTTTTTTGCAGTCCTTTCAAAGTTACTGGTTGACCTTTTCATATCACTTTTCTTTCCGCACATATTGGATACATAACTGTAAGTAGATACTTTTTTAGCAGCAACCTTTTGCAGCATACGCTCCTTGTATAGAGGGGTCAGGGACTTTCTTCTGAAAATTTATCAACTCAGCAGTCTTCCTAATGATTGTGTTACCTACTGACTGTTTGTATAAAGTTGTTCTTGTTCTGCTTGTGTGTCTGAAAGCAATCAGCCTACTGTTTTAAAGCATGATGCTGGTTTCTTTTCTGTTGCAGAGCAAGTTTGACAGAAGAAAGTTTCACCTCTTTTTTGGAAACAAAATTTTCTAGTTGGGTGGTCACTCCCAACCTTATATAATAATTAACAAAAGCCTTTGTTTAACAAGCAGAAACCACACATGGTAAACAATTAGGGTATGTTTGAGTCCTGACCAGCAGGGGCAGCTGGACCGTCTCTGTGTTAACGCCCCTCCTTGCAGCAAGTTTCGGTAAAGAGTTTAACTGATCTCACCCATTATATATATTTATTGTCAAATTACAGGAGAGTAAGTTTTGAAAATGTAGCTCCAACATGTGAATTTCATCTTTTACAATAAAAATTGAACCTTTTTCATGATATTCATATATTTTCAGATGCACGTGTAAAATATATCTGTGCAATGATTTAGTTACACCCATTTCACTGCTTTTTAACAGAAATAGCAGAGCAGCCAATCAAATTCTAGAAATTAAATTTTATAACTATCAATATGTGAAATAGATTACTTGCTGCCTTCAAACTGATCATTATAATGAGGAAGAAAATGTATCTAGATAACCTTAGATGTTGTTGGTGCTAGAATTGCTCGAATGAATATTTCAGAAACTACTAAATGTCTGGGATTTTCACACAGTGAAGAATGTTTGGTTTATTATTTTACTATTTGGGAAGACAACCATTAAGCAGCATCTGTGTAAAGGTGCTTTGTTGATTATTTATTTATTTTTAAAAGATAATTGTAACATAAACCTATTAAATAAACCTTACATGATCCATATTTTTGCAAATAAAAAAGACTATTTATTTGCAGAAAATTAAATGTATTGTATTAACATACAGGTAACCTGATTATAATGCAATTCAACAAATAAACGCAATGTATTTGAAATGAATATACTTGTTAGCATTAAATATGAGTAAGTATATTTTATTAATACTAAATACATAAACTTAAGAGTTGTGTCTTTAAATAAATAAGCTATGAATATGTTGTGTTAATGTTATCTAAAAAAAAATAAAATGGGTTTTCTTATGGAATAAAATAAATTAAACCTTAAATTTGTGGTTTAATATTTTTGTGAGTCTATCAAAGTGTAGAAGCAAAATGTAAAAGGAGCTGGTAAGTGTACAGTTTAGTGATAAATATGCAGTTGTTTTATATGTATTGCACATCTTTCAGGATAGTGTCCCACTACTTTGTTTAATTAACTTTTCTTGTATGTCCACATAGTACACATAATTGCTCTGTGATTCACCGTTACATAGTAGTTCTGTTGCTGTAATCAAACAAAGCCCAATTGTAAGGGTGGTATTTGTACTCAATACATGCTTATATATGTATATGAGCTTACCTCAATTTAATTTTCTTCTCTTTTAATTTAATTCCAATAGAGTAGTTTTTTTTTTCTGTGGACTAGTATGAATTAAATAGTTAAATAATAAACCAAACTTTAAAAAAAACACAAATGAGATAAAACAAGTGCAATACTATAAATTACACAATTCTGAATTCCAACAGCTTGAGGTAGAAAGGTATGCAGTACTTTTTCTAATGTGGTTTTATTTGGCTCAGAGCAGAAGTGGAAAAAATCCATAGAAAAGCTGTGAAGAGTTTATGAAGCCAAAGAAAAGTATATTTATTTATGCAAAGAGCAAAGCATTTTTTCAGGAAGAGAAAAAGTTATTTTCAGTTTAAGAGATATTCATCATAATCTGAAATTTAGGTGCATTTTAAAACCTCAGGTTAGTGGGAGGACATGTCAGGAGACTTTTTATAGTTCGGATGTCTGACGAGCTGCCTGAATGGAACATTGGAGAAGAAAAGTAATGAATAATAGCATTAATATTATATATTATATTCTTTATTATTCTAAGTATTATATAGAATAATAAAGCAGATTTTTCTCCTCTAGATTAATTTCACCTGTCAATGATCTCATAAAGTGCAAAACAAACAAAAATGTACATCAATTTGAATAAAATATATGCTCATTTAATTTAAACAAATAGAGTCCTAATTCTCTTTAAACAGATAGATTCCGTATGAATACAAAAATAAATGTAAGTTTGAGTTTGGTTGAAATAAATGATTATGACATGAAAAGACAGATAAACTCTATGAACTGAGGAGATTTAATAAAATGCTAACTAGCATCTCAAATATAGATGTTAAAAATACTGTATATTATCGTGTAAGAAACATTTTGTTTCTCAAAAATTTACAGTATGGTTTCAACCAGAAACTGTTTATTGCTAGAAAATATGTCTGTAAAACATTCAGTTCCCTTCACAGTTATCTGCATGTCCTCCTGTCTTCCCTTTTGCACGTGTTAAATTATCAATACATTCCTTGTATACATAAAAAAAAAAAAAAGAAAATAGACTAATATGTCTATTTGAAAAGTAAAAAAATTTTTTGAATTTGACTCTTTGGTAGTTTTCATGAACCCAATAGATAAAGATAAGCACTTAGGTCACAAAACTAAAACAATGAAATAAAGATTAGGAAAATGCTTACAACCCGTCTGTAAAAATTCAATAGCCAATAGTTTATTAAAATTGTAGATTAGAACCTTAAGTAAGTCAAGGAAACAAATACAGAAATGTGTGGGGGAGAGTTCTCTCTTTTTTTTTTTCATACAACTTTATTTGTTTCTGCAAATAACAATACAGAGCAACCATATTGCACTATAGGAATACACAACCATTATTTACAGACATTTTCAACAAGTATAAGTTCATATTTTTACCAGTCAAGTAAATAACCTCGTTATGTGCAAAACAAGAAACAATAAGGAAAAAAGACAAGAACAAATAAAAATAAACTAAGATCTTACATCTATTAAACAAAAGTTAACGCTAGGGGGAAACAGCACTCTAAATAATATCGAAAAGGACAAAGGCTTCTCGAGTTTTGATTGCTTTCTTATTTTCTGATAATGGGGGAGAGTTCTCTTGTATGTGTCACTCTTTACTTCCTGTAACAAACTTGCTGCATTGTTACAACTTTCAGCCCGTTTTTAGAAATTCTAAATTAAAATCTGTTAAGGCACTAAATGTATTAGTTAAATTGATTACTAATCAATGTATATAACTAATGTATTCTCTAGATTAAAATACATATACACCTGTACTCCTTGTTATGTCATATTTCCTTAAACCTTTTTATGTTGTTTTTAAGTTGGATATTTCTAAAGGCTGGAAATATTCATAAACTAGTTTTACATTTAAAGAAAAAATTCCACAGTAAATCTCTTCTTTATGGTTCATTTGGGTTCATCTATTTCTTTAGGGTTTTTGTCCCCAAAAGTGTTCAAGTTCTATTTTTTTTTTTTGTCACAATTTTGGTGGACTACACCGTGCATTATTTTTTTCCCTCTCTGTCGTTGTTTTGACTAAAGGATTAAGGTGAAGTGGGATTTGCTTTTAGAATAGAATAGCAAATCACTTTAGTGTTTCACAATAAGGAAATTGAGGTGTTACAGCAGCAAAAGATTACAGCAAAAGTGGTCACACAAATGTGGACCTTAAAAAGTATATAAGGACAACAGAAAGAGTGACAGAGTAAAAAAAAATAGAATAAATAAAAATGAAAAACTGAAATATTGTACTGCACAGTGTTTTTACAAATATAAATATTGTGCTTCTGAAGAATAGATAATCAATATACAGTTGTGGACATTTTTACAGTAGTGGATGTGTAAAAATAGAAGCAACACCAGAGATGTGCAAAAAGTATAGCAGCATGTTATTTAGATGACTAAGAAAGAAACTGTGCAAAAATTAGCTTGAATGTAACACCATATTGAAAAATATCAATCACTTTGTCTTTCTTTCCTCAAATTTGTTTCATCTACCCCGTAAAAGTAGAGGGACAAAAAATTGAAAAAAAGAAATTGTAGTAGGCCTATTATCATATGATAATGCACTTACAATGTTTATAGCGACATTTTTTTCACTCTTTAATTTATATTTTTGTCCTCAAGATGATTCCAACTCAATTCTTGATTGACCCCAAAGGGGAATTAAATATCTCAGGTGTCGAGATGAAAGACTTAGAGTCAGGACCCTACACATGTAAAACTGCTGTATTTGCATAACCACAAACATTTTCACAGTGGGCCCCCATGCTGACTTGATTATAATGAAACATAGATATTTTTTCCACAATGAATGGAAAACAAACTATTATCTCACATAGTATAAGTCATGTTGCTATTTTATTCTTCAGTTATACATTGTATTTTCTGTCTATTGCTATCATTATTATTTCATCTCCAGCTGTATTGGTATTTGTATAGTTCAACGTTTTCTTTTACTTCTTACTTAACAAGGACCCATTTCTGAAAATGAATTTTAGTCAGTTTTTGGTCTTTAACAAAATTTTATGTACTGTGTCAGATGATTGAACTACATGTTAACAAGCTCTTCATTTAATGATTTTTAGCTGACACGTGTTTTTACCTTAATAGCTATTTTTAACTGACACTAGTTTTTTGAATTGTGTAAATAAAGTGTCAAAAAAAAGGTCAGAATTCAGCGCTGTACCTTTAAGAGATACGGAAGCATAGCATAGCAGCTGCTGGGCTGTCCGTGTAGCTGCGTGAGAGGAGGAGGAGGGAACGAGCTTAGCTGGAGGCCATAGGAGGCTTGTTCAGCCATGTTGGTTTCCTTCTGCTATTCACAAACGATGAGAGGAGAATCATGGCCTTGTCAATGAGCGGAGACGATGAAGAATATGAGTCAGAGTCCGAGCAGGTACCCCCCGCTACACTCCATCCTGTCGATTCAGTTTTTCTTCACTTCAAGTTTAACGAATTGTTAGAAAAATGGCGGTTTATTTTTTTTGTTTGTTTTTTAATGTGGCTGCTTATGGTTAACGATAACCCCGCTCTCCTGTTCAGTAAAAGATGGGAAAATGGTTTTATATAAAATTAATCACATGTAAAGACAGACATGAAGCTAAGTATCGGGTACATTTGTCTATATGTTTATTAGCTGTGATAGTGTAGCTGTCCGGGACACACCGTGTTCCTTTGATGTTAGCTGACCCATTTTGAGCTGCCCATTAATACAGCGCAGCTTCGGTCCAGTCATGATTTAAATGATTTCCTGTGAGCAGAAACCTCCAGCAGACACCAGCTCGGCTTTAGGATCTCAAACCTTAACCTTGACTCAACCTCTTGGTTGCTGGCGAACACCAACAGGCCACGTTGGACATAGTTTTGCTTTTGATTCATTTCCTCACTCTTCCTAAACTTGTCCCACCACTCTACGCCTTTAAGAAAGCTTTAGGCGAAATGTTGTAAAGGCAGGGAGCGGGGAGGGGGATGGGGAGAGGGAACAATGAAGTGGCTTCACTCCTGGTGCTTAGTGGACCCCTGCCCCTCAAACTGGGGGTACAGATCCCCCCCTAAAAAATGGATGTTTATCCAAAAAAGAAACAAAACAATGTCCAGTAGCTCTGCTCTCAAAAGTTGTTTTATGGCAAGTACTTAAGTATGCTGGTTACAGTTCATGAGGAACATTAAAAGTGCTTATGTAAGATCCACATCATTGTGCTTGCATAATATTTGTACCCACAACAAGTTCCATTATCAGGACATCAACGGTGATATTTTCAAGTGTTTCCAGTCTGACACGTGGTTCTCCACAACAGCACTTGTTGTTATGAGGACTTGTTCCAGCAGATGATGAGCCTTGTGACTTTCTCCTACTGAAGTCCAGACTGAAGCTGAGTCAGAGTTCACAGCAGATCTCTCTCTAGCTGGATTCAAATTCCTGTCATATTACTGCAGAGTTGGGAGTCAAAATCAGCTGATGCAGCTTTTGCTGTAGGGGTCATCTTCACCAAATGTGTGCATTTTTTTAACTATTTAAAGCAAAGCATTAATGTAAAGTGAGGTGTTTAGATTAATATTCACTTTTGTTTTTTAATTTAGATTTATTTATATATTTGACAGGGACAGTGTACATTTATAAGCATTCCTGCAAATGCACCAAAATTAACCAAAAGGCTATTTTTTTTTCAATTTTCCCTGGATAGATCTTAAAATTGTCTATCTAAAAAAAAAAAAAAAAAAAAACAACAGTCAGCATTTCACAAACAGCTATGGCTCTTTAAAAATGATTTTAAAATATAGAATAAATGTTTGCTGGACTACAGATTTTAGGTTAATAAAATGGAAAAAAAAAATACTGCAGAGACACTAGTGGAAGCATTGTTTGTTAATGATAAACATTCAACTAATGCTGAAATTACTGATGTGTTATGAGCCAGTTTTTTAGATGCTTTTTGAAAACAGTTTATGTTGTAAGTGATGTTTTGAGGGACCGAGTTCCATTCCTGAGCTGCTGTGACTGCAAAGGCTCTTTGACTAAAAGCACTTTTATGCAGAGTAACAACACCGTCTCCTCTATCCGACCCTCATGTTGCTGTCCGGACTGAGCGGAGGAGATGACAGACCGGGGATTATTCTGTAAAACAGACAGAGGTTTGCATACTTGATGACATTTTCCCAGCTTAAAAGCTTGTGTTTTAGTAAAATCCCCTCACTGTTGTGTTTACATGTGAAAACAACGGCTGTCTGATATTCAGAAAGGACAAACTTAAATAAATACCCCTTACTTGTTCTTCAACAAGATGCAAAGGCTGCCTCTCTATAAAGAAGCGTTTGTAATTTGGTTGCTTAGATCCATATCAGGTGTGGAAATAAAAATGATAAAGAGCCAATCCAATTAAACAGATGTGTTTTTAATATCAATAATTAATCATAGATATTTTGAATAGATTATTACAATTCAATGTTAACCTTATGACACAAGCACTGAATTTGACCTTGGTTTCACCAGCCCTTAACCTTCAGACATTTAGATGTAAATTTGTAAACTTCTAAGGAAAACAAATCTTATATTCACCTCTGTGAAAAGTCAAACATATTTGTTCCACTGCTTGTGCCCACTTCCTCTGCCACTAAAAGCAACTATATTCTCATGTTTTGCTGACTTAAATTCAGCACATAACCGCTTTCTCAGCCGATTGCTATCATCTGCTGATGGTCTGCTCTAAAGAAAATTTTGATGTGTGTCTCTGATAATCTCCACCCACACCATGCTGCTTTGTTATGTTTTTGGTTTGATCATAGGTCATGGTTTGGTGTTCTTCTTTCAAGTCGGCTCGACGAAGGGGCGCTATCTCTCGTCCTGTAAAACAGTAGTAAACGGTTGTGATAACACAGGCCAGGCAAATGATGAAACGGCTCGACTAAAACGCTCCGAGTGATGCTTGCGGTCAGACGTCCCTGGAGCAGCTGCTCATCCCTCAGTGTTTCCCTCCCACATTGAGAGCAGGTTTTAGCATAATATTTTGTTTAGCAGCATTTGGGTCTTTGCCAGGTCTTTATTTTCCAGTTCCGTATTTTAAACTTACCTAATGTAGGGATACCATCAACTCAGTGGGGATCTTTACTTTTTATGTCTCCTATAAGGTGGCAAAGATCAGTGGAAAATATTCTGGAATTTAACAACCATATCAAAGCCAGAAACAAAAGGATTAGGCACAGGGATTTAGTCATGTTACTATTAATGATCTACTCTGAATGTTTTCAGTTGAAGTCATCCAGGACAGGTTTCACCCTTCCTTCTAGATAAAGCTGCAGTCATCATTGTTCTGAACCCGGATTGGCCTGTTGTCTTTCCCATCACAGATTACCTGTTAGACCCGTCCTTTGTGTGAAAGCGTCTTTCTTTTTAACAAAATTGAATTCCACTTCTGGTTGTCACAATCACAATGAAGGCGGAGCTGAGCTTTTAAGCAGCAGTAGTAAGTCAGCAGTGTGGGGAACGAGCACCTGTAAATGTAACACTTTAAGAATAAATCAGAAAGATGTTCCCTGCCTCAAAGGAAATCATAACCACCTCCAGTGAGTTTATTTTTATCCATCTGTCTCTCCCCTATTTAAACATTTGCCACCAGCAAGGCGAACTGTTGCCTAGGTAACGTCTCCTGCAAAGATGAAAGGAACTGAGATGGTTTATTTTCAGAAACAAGGAAGATGCTTTTTTTCTTTCTTTTCTTTTTAAAAGGCTGATACTGAAATTTCAATATGATGAGAATGTGATAATCAGATTCACATCATTCAGTTAAATCGCATCAGGAAGCTTATATGTTTAAATTACAGCTACTGTATGATTCTGTGTGCTGGAATGCTTTAACAGGTTAAACAGATCCATCACTTCCTCTATTTAGATCTAATTTAATCATACTTTGGCCTCATTTTTTTCCTGGGTTCTTTAGAGAAGGAGACGTTGGAGATAGGATTTATTTTTTTAACTGGGTGATTAAACAATTTTAACATAGTTATATAAACACCATCATCCTCAGGCTGTAGTGGTAGTTTTTGATTTTTCTTAAGAGCTGCTTTGAAGTCTTTTCTCTTTTCTTTTAGTTCTTCCCCATAAAGTCAGAACAGGGTTTCTTAAGACTCTTGAAAAATCATGAAAAACCTTAAAATAAAAAAAAATATATAAACAAAAATATAAAAAATATCCAGGTTCTCCATACTAAGGCTTGAACTACACTTTATTCTTTCAAACGAGCGACTGATACTTTTTTTTTGTGGTGGACCAGCATTATTTAAAGACGTTATTCTGTTTTCTGCCTCCTTTGATATGATCATTATAACAGTTGTTACACAAATCTAAATTTAATCGACAAATAAAAATGATAAATGAAATAAAGATTAAACATTAATGAAGAGAAAATGCAGGAAGCAGCAATGCAGGTGCCTAATGATCTCAAGACATGACTGCTGAATACACTAATTTGGCAAATGCATGCACTTATACAAGATGATCGCAAAAAAAAAAAAAAAAAAAAAAGGTGCTAACATCAGCCAAAAATATTGTCTGTTTGTCTGTGTCCATCTGCCTACAATAGAGGCAGCTGTGGTAAATAGAGGAAGGTTGATTTTACATCTAGAGCCATTGTACAGGCTTGGTGGGGAAAAAAACAATATTTACATTTTAAACTTGCACAATACATCTTTAATTTATGTAATATCCAGTAGCATTTATATATTATACAGCTACAGCTATCTTTTATTTTTTATTGCTTTTAAAATTTTTAAACAAACAAATGTTTGGCGTTTAAAAAAAGCAAACTTTATTGCACATTTTAAATTAACTGTAAATGGCAAAAACACGTAAAACATATCCGTAAATATACATGTGATTAAATGGTATGGAGAGTTTTGTCTTAATTACTGCTGTCAGTAGGTTATTCTTTTAGCAAATAGACATTTTTATGAATATTACTCTAGGTAACCATTTAGTTAAGAAATTAGTTGAATATTATTTTAATAATCAGTTTATTCATTTATTAGTTTTAGCCCTTATCAGTTATATATTTATATCAGATAACTAGATTTTGTATTCTATTAAATGATAAACTTCAAATTTAAACTCGATGAAACTGCATCAAGATGTATGTTCCTGTTCTAAACCGTTGTTTCTGTATAAAGACTTAAAACAGAGGGAGTACTTAGCTGTTTGGATTTATAGAGCAGGCATGAATGGAAGAAAAAAAAAACTTTTTTTAGTATTTGACCTGCATCTAAAGGTCATATCTGTTTGGGTTTTATTCATTCAGAAGCAGAAAATATCAGAACTTCCCGTAGAGCTGAAATGAAGAGAACATGCGACGCTCGTTCAACATTGACAGACTTTTCCAATAAACCACCGTAACTGTTTGTCTTCCAGCAGAAAGCAGTCAACCGGCCAAAGCCAAAGATGGGAACGACGTCGGCCGTCAAGCTGCCATCCAACCGCAGCGCATCAGGAGCCAGGCGCAGGAGAACACGCTGCCGGAAATGCGAAGCGTGTCTCCGCACAGAATGTGGAGAGTGTCACTTCTGTAAGGATATGAAGAAGTTTGGAGGGCCGGGGCGCATGAAGCAGTCCTGCATCATGAGGCAGTGCATCGCGGTGAGCCATTGTTGAGAGGACTCGCAAGCTAGCAAACGACACAAGGGCTTGTTTGTCTAGAAAGTGGTTGGAATACATCTGATATAAATAAGCATTTTTATTTTGTTTATGCTTTTCTTTTCTGAAGAATTGTAAACCTCTCAGAAGTGGAGCATCGTTAAATCCTGCTTGTCTTGTTTGTCTTGTTCTCTGCAGCCTGTCCTGCCCCACACAGCGGTGTGTGTGGTGTGTAAAGAGGCGGGAAAAGAGGATACGCTTGAGGACGAAGAGGAAAAATTCAACTTCATGCTGATGGAGTGCTCCATCTGCAACGAGATTGTCCATCCCAACTGCCTGAAGGTACGCAGAGCTGCAGCTGGAACACGGCGGTTATTTGTTCTGGAAATTGTTTTTCAATGACTTCACTGCTCATGTTGCTCTAGGATTATAACCGCTAAAGCCCGACGCTGTTATGAAGAAGGATGTGACTTCCAGAGTTTAAATGTTATTAATAAAAGACTAAAGCTGCAGTTGTTAAGTAGACTTCCAAGGAACAGAAACCCTGCTTGTCAAGTTAGAAACATGCTTTTGCTGCGGTAGGCGTGATCAGACCCGCTTTATAAGACTCTGCTACCTCTTTAGTTGGTACCAAAGAACCAGAATGTCATCAATGTTTTATGAAACCATCACAGTTAAGAGAAAGCTATTATAAAAAAAAAACAACACACCATGCACACCGCATAAGTTGAGCTACTTCCTCTTGGCATCTAAAAGCCACTTCCTCGTTATGAACTAAAAACAATTCAATTGTGTTGACATCTGTTTGGACAACCACCACTCTTGGACTATTTTTTTTTTTTTGATTTATTGATTTCGCTGCATTTTCACGTTGGTGGCAGCATCATGCTGTGCCAGAGACGGGGAAGCTGGTCAGTATTGATGGAGCAAAATGGACGAGTTAGATCTTCCCTGGAGGAGAAGTTCAGATTAATCTGAACACCCATTTCTATTGATGGACTTTTTTTTTTACCCATCTAGAATGATGCAATTGCATTGAATTAATTGTTAATTCAGTAAATTATTTTTCACAATAAAAAATACTATTAAAGTCGAGCAGAGATCCAACTGTTATTACTTCCCTGCTTGTTTTGTTGTTCCTTAATACGTCAGGTTGGACTGCGCCGACCGGACAGACGAGCGCAGCTCGCAACAGTCACTTTCACTTGCCTTGTTTGTATTGGAGCTGTGACATGCAGGACTCTGTTAAGGCTTGTTGTTGTTAAAATTCCTACTTTCTTTTTTTTTTTTTTTTCCTCCGTTCCTTCATCAGGTGAGCGATGCCTCAGGTGTGGTGAACGATGAACTGCCTAACTGCTGGGAATGCCCCAAATGCAACCACGCTGGCAAAAGCGGAAAAGTGAGTAGAATCATACAAAGGCCTTGCACTTTAATCTTATCTTGCAAAGGTTAAAAAGCGTTCTTGTGACGTAACCTTGGTGATGAGGAGAAGAGCTGCTGCTGTTTTCCTCTATTATTGAGGCTTTCAGCGAATCGGCTCTATATGTGAGGATCTGCCGGACGCTTCCTGTTAACACTGCTGTTAATGAAAGTCCCTCACATGACTGTATCAGGACAGAGGCAGGAAACCCCTGACTACTAAAAACTTTAAACAGGCTTCCTTACATAACCAATCAGACTGTCCGGTCATAGTAGGCTAAAGGTATAAAGTCGTCTCCCCTGTTTTTTGTCCCCTCTGGTATTGAAGCAAAAAAGGGGCCCCGGGTTCAAGTACGCCTCCAACCTTCCCGGCTCTTTGCTGAGGGAACAGAAGCCTGTGAAGGAGGAGGGGGACATTTCTTCTGGGACGAAGAGGAAGCCGGACAGGGACGAGACACCCAGGTACAGAACCGAGGAGGCTCTCCATCGACAGCCGCCGCTGCTCTCCCCCAGCGGCCTGCCGAGGCCCAGACCCGAGGACAAGCTGAGGAAGAAGAGGAAGCTTTTTGATGATGACGAAGAAGATGACTTCAATGTGAGGAAGAAGGTTGGTATACCTACAGCAGCAAAACACAGCAACGACGCATCACATCTACATCATAACAACTGCGAGAATTCTTAAGAAGCTGTTTTTAGCGCCAAGTTTTTAATGTTTTTCCATTCAGGTGGACTTCTAGCATCCTGTACACACACAGTTGAAATGAATGCTACTGATTTGTGAATCTAAAATCAAGACATATGCAAAAGAAGTGAGAGATAAATCATTCTAGTCAAAGTCCAGACTTCAAGATTCAAACTGAAGACCGAGTCATGTTAAGTAATTGTTGCTAAATGTCTCTTCTGCAGGAGAAGACGGAGGACTCGTATTTCTCTAAGCTTCTTCCCCAATTCAAGACAGAAAAAGAGGAGGAAGACGATGAAGATGATGACGCAGGAAGGGAGCATCACTTCCGGAGCAGTGTAGACAGGAAAGGCCGCTTTGGAGAGGCAGAAGAGGAAGCGGATTACAGGGACTCGAGGAACGACTCTCTGAATTCTTCCATTAAAACACCACTTGGAGACAGCGACCACTCTCACTGCAGCTCTCCGCAGGCCGGCCCCAGCAGCGAGGGCGGGAGCGAGACGCAAGAAAAGGGGCCTCGTCCGAAGGCTCGGCGCAAACGTCGCCTACCCAACAGGGAACTGAGCCGAGAACTGAGCAAAGCTTTGAACCAGGAAATCCAGAAGACCGAGGACTGCCTGGCCAATGAGAACCGGCAACCACTAAAGGTAGAACCAGAGATGGAGAACGAGGAACCAAAGAAGCTGTTCCGCAACGGTAACGATCTCGGCGACCAGCGGTCTCATCTGAAGACCAAAGAGATGAACGGGAACACCTGGGACCTGCGCCACTTTTACCCGAGTCAGATCACCCCTCTGGGCTTCAACCGGAGCACCCCGACGACCCGGCCAGTGCCCCCCCGCTCCCCTCCCAAGTGCGTCCAAATGGAACGGCATGTAATCCGGCCTCCCCCCATCAGCCCGCCTCCTGACAGACTGCCGCTGAAAGATGGGAAAGCACACGTCCTGCAGCGTGAGGTGTGGATGAAGATATTTGGCTATCTCTCTCACAAGGAGCTCTGCGTCTGCATGAGAATTTGCAAGACATGGAACCGATGGTAAATATACCGTATGCAGATCATGAAAAAGAAGCTTTCAGCAGCTCAAGCTGATTATTTTATTTCTTTTGCTCTGGTCTACTGATTTTTGCCTAGATAGAAGCCCACATTAACCTCTATGGTTTTATTGACTTATAAAACAGCAAAGCTCACAAAGAGGAAATGAGCTGTTGAATAGTTGATAGCGGCACCGTTTTGAATCAGGAAATGAAGGGTGTGTGAAATCGCCCTCATACGCATCCAACCATGTTACTAAACTTTGAATGAATGAATCACTGATTGATGCCCTCGGGTCGCTTCCTAGATCCACCAGCTACAAAAAAAACATTTGCTCCTCAGGTCATTACCATTAGCCATGTTTATCTTTTGCACTACTGTTCACCAATTTAATTCAATTCAGTTTGTTTATATAGTGCCAATTCACAACACATGTCATCTCAAGGAAATTTATAGAGACAGTTCAACCAGATCATCCAGTCAAATTGATTCAAAGTTTTCTAAGGAAAACCAGTTGATTGCATCGACGCACTGACTTGAAGGCAATCCCTGACACTAAGCATGCTTGTAGCGACAGTGGAGAGGAAAAACTTCCTTTTAACAGGAAGAAACCTCCAGCAGAATCAGGTTCGGTGTGAGCGGCCATCTACCGAGGCCGACTGGGGTTCAAGGAGACACAAGCAGAGATGCAAAAGGCAACTGTCAACCAGCTCCACACGCTGCCCCGTCTAGGAAATACACAGCAAGGCAGACGATCTCAGAGCCAGCTCACAGGTCAGAGGATAACCAGCCAGAGAAACTGGACTACACTGAAAAACAGGCCGATCCAACATCTATAGACAAAGGTGTTGATGGCAGCAGCACAGCTGATATTTCTCTCCACAAAGGCGTCACAGCCAAACAGGGACAGGCCAGGTGAAGCTACTATGAAGAAAAAGCAGAGAGAGCAGAACATTAGACATTGAACTAATAAATTCTGCAGAGTGCGAGAATAGAGACAGATTGATGAAAAATGGGTCCACCAGATAAGCATCAACAGTTTTATATTTTACGGGAAATCTGATGCCTTTATTGTAAATGAAACACAAGTGTGAAGATTAGATGAGTAGAAAAGCTCAGCCTGTGTTTAACATTGGTTATGAAATGTCTGTGTGAAGCATCCTGCAGCAGGGATGTGGATTATGTGCCCTTTAGCTGATTTCTTTTTCTCTATTCCTTTGCTTTCTGCTGCGAGCAGGTGTTGTGACAAGAGACTTTGGACAAACATCGATCTGAACCGCTGCACCTCGGTCACGCCGCTTATGCTGAGTGGGATTATCCGCAGGCAGCCAATGTCCTTAGACCTCAGCTGGACCAACATTTCCAAAAAACAGTTGAGCTGGCTTATCAATAGATTACCAGGTACTTGGATAAGAGTTCATTCTCATAATTTGTTGCCTTGTCGTGCATTAGTGATGGGGGATTAAAAAAAACAACAACATGGCTGTAACTTTCAGGTCTGCGGGTGTTAAAGCTGTCGGGTTGTTCCTGGGCCGCCGTCTCTGCTCTCTGCACCTCCAGCTGCCCCCTTCTGCGCACTCTGGACGTCCAGTGGGTGGAGGGACTCAAAGACGCACAGATGAGGGACCTCCTTTCACCTCCCACTGACAACAGACCAGGTAGGATGCTTGAAACGACTGGAAGGGAAGATTTAACCTCAGACATAATGATAGAAAGTTTGGGTTGTTTTTTTGGCTTTGAGGGTAGAAGTGTTTGCAAACAGTTTTAGTTTTAAAGGCAGATATCAGCTTTATTTTTAAGAGTAGGTTTAGTATTAAATGTAAACTAATAAGCCCCGCTGCATTTAAAAGGTCAGCTGGATAATCGCTGCAAGCTGCGGAACGTGGAGGACCTGCGGCTGGCGGGGCTCGACATCACGGACGCATCCCTGCGTCTCATCAGCAGACAGATGCCCCTGCTGTCCAAGCTAGACCTGAGCTACTGCAACCACATCAACGACCAGTCTGTGAATCTGCTCACCGCCGCAGGAACCACCACCAGGGACTCCCTCACAGAAATTAACCTATCAGGTGAGACCTGCATGTAAAGACCGAAAGGAGCTGCAGGCATCACACATTCTTGCTGTTCTGTTATTTGTAGAAAAGTAAGCCGTTGGCAACACGTTTAGGAGAATTTGTGACCAATAATCTCTGGACTGAAGGTTTCTTACACAAATTTGCAGATTAAAAGTGATGGATTATTTATCGTTTTTAGCCAGAATAACACAGCTTCATCCCATTGAGAACATTGGTTTGAATCTGGTTAAAAGAAAACCAGATGTTTTAGAAAACCGACTATAAAACCCTCTAATCAAGATGGTTCTTAACCTTTCTGATACACTTTACCATTGATTACTGGTACAACTTTGCTAAATCTCAAATATGTTTGCTAGTAACAGGAAACCAGACCCTGTTTTGGTTAAGAATCAGTTCTTCTGGGATACCACAGTATCTCTTAAACAAATGCACACAGTTAGCCTGGCTGAAAGTAGCCAGAAATGGTCATCTGTCTTTGGTTTATCACTTGTAGAAAGCTGGGAAGTGAATCATTTTCTGCAGATTTTGACCTCATGTGATCCAACAGTTCTGCAACAGCACTGTCTTATCAGCAGTATTTATTTTGTAGCTAAAAAAATCACAAATTTTTGTTTCTCTGGATTCTTAAATTCAAGCATCAGTTTAAGTTTTAACCCAAGTTTTAGCTTAATTTAAGATAGATTTAATGATTTTGCATGTCAATATGCAACACTTTGAGCATACCAATGCTACTTGTGGGCTGCTCTTCTCTAAAACTCAAATCTGCTATTTAAGAGGGTCTGAACCGTCCCTGAATGAGTCAGTGGATCCAGAGCTCCGCTTTATTGCAGTCTGAGCTCCTCTTAACCACAGAGCTAACTAAGCTAAAAGCTGTTTCCAGGCAACAAAACAGGTATGATCTTTGATCAGACACCTCTTTGGTTTTGTGATACAGGATTTAATCTAGGGTGAATGTTGCTGTGACTTCTCAGTCTGCTGTTAGTTTCAGAGCAGCTAAACTTGGAAGTTACACTGAACAAAAGTTGCAGAGTGTTGCTTTAAATAGAATTACTGTATGAGAACGTTAACTCTTTTGTTTAAAAAAAAAAAGGAATGAAAACAAAATCAAGATGGGAAATGGACCTTAATTTTTTTAAATTAAACTTCAGGTTCCACGTTGACATTGAGAGCAGCAATTTTCAATTTGCTGCGAGTAGTTTCAATTAGGCCTAATGATTCAAATCAGCGATTTGTTTGACTCATCATTTAAATTTTCACCTCTTAAGTTAGTGAAACTTTGAAGATGTTTTCAAATAATAAATAAACAGAACCTCTTCATTGCTGTTTGCTATTCTGACTGCTGGAATTTATTCCTCATTAGGAGCATTACAAATGTTTAAAAAGAAGCTGTTATTTTAGGACTCCGCTAAACTGTAGCATAACTAAATATTTTCATTTGATCATAAAAAAATAAAAGAAGTCTGGAAAAGACTGAAGGCATATCTGCTATCCTACTTTCTAAAAAAAGATGTATTGTCAAGTCAAGTCAGCTTTTATTGTCACTTTCTTCATATGTACAAGACATACAAGGGAAATGAAATTACATTTACTCTCTACAATATACAAATATACAAGACTGACATTTAAAAACTGACATAAATTGTATTGAATGTCTGGAGAAAGAAAACAACTCCTGTGTTTATAGTGAATTCTGAGATGCAAAATGTGCAAAAAAAAATTCCCTAAATCAATGTAAAACTGAAAACTTCTCTTTTTTCTCATCATGTTTTAGTTTGTAACAGAGTCACGGATCATTCGTTGAACTATTTCAAGCGCTGCGGCAGCATCTGTCAGATCGACCTCCGCTTCTGTAAGCAGGTGACGAAGACGGCCTGCGAGCACTTCATCGCAGAGATGTCCGTGAGCGTCCCGTTCAAACTGAAAGAGGACAAGCTGCTGCAGAAGATAAGCTAGCTTCTAACGGGACAAAAACCAACGTTTTCAGACTGCACTTAAATTGCACTTAAGTCTCTGAATCACTGTTGTCATGGAATAAACAGAGGGAAGTTTCTGTGAGGTGATATTCACTGGACAGAAGAAGAGGGGAAAAGACTGCATGTATTTCTTTTTGTATTCTTACTTTTATAAATATGTGGTTGTATTTGAGTTATTTTATCGGTTTTGTTTTCATTTCCAGCATATTTTTGTACGAGCATTGAAAAGGTTTTCTGTTTCTGGAGCTAAAATATAGTAGACTCTTCCGTCGTTATAAACAAAACTGCTTCTTTTTATTTTTTTTCCCCGTGTGCCAAATTCTGTTTGACGTTAAAGCTTCAGTATATCGAAAAGAAAAAAAACATGCATGTGCTGTGTTTTTAAATGACCATATCTACATTAAATGGATAAATTAGAAATTTCTGTTACACCCTCATGTTTTACACGAACCATGTCAAACTGCTGAGGGCTTTCCACAGGTTTTTCAGCAATATTTCAATATTAATTTATTGATTTTTTTTTTATTTTATATTTTTTTATTACAGTTTGTATTTATTGGTTTATTCAGTGACTTGACATAGGTGTCTTACATGCTTGGTTCAAATGGTGTGTGTGAGTAATTTATCAGGGTGGTTGGTGTGTTTTGTCCCAACCCTCCAGTTTGTGTGTTTTTGTCTAAAAGTCATTTACAGCGAATCGATTAACGACTTTAAGGCAGATAACCTCACACAACTATATGGGCAACTAATTATGACCTCTGCAAGTATTTGCATTCATTTAAAATTATACTTCATACAGTAGGGTTTTTTTTCTTTGTGCTGTAAATTTCTCGCCTCAGGTGAATGTGATTATGTTTATACATGTAAATCAAAAAAAGTGCTCATTTGCATTAAAAGAACTTTAATTTGTACCATCAGTCAGACTTTTTTTAATTCCTTTAAATGCACGTTGTCTGTCTATATGTAAACAATTACTGCTGCTTTCACTGTGGGTTTTTGACCCTTTCTTGGTCATCAGGAGCAGAATCACAGCTTTTAACTAAAATATATTTTTTTTTTTACTTCAAAAGCTTCGTAGTTTTTCAGCTCCAGATCTGTGTTTAATGGGGACGTGTTCAAAGTTTTTACCGTTATAATTTTGAGAGAACTTAGACAAACTTGTCATTTAGTGTACACTTGGACAACTTTTATTGTCATTTTGTAAACATGGAATGTATATTAAAAAAAATGAAATTTTATTCAGTACAGCTTTTCAGACAGTAAATGAACATTTCCATTCCATAAAGCGCAGCAGTGATCAAATGTAAACAGTTTGGGAGAAAAAACATGGTGCATATAAAACGAAATTTGTAATGCGTACAGCTTTTCAGCAGTGAATGAGCAGCTTAGCAGTGAAATTTCCATTTATAAAGTACAGCAATGATTAAATCTAAACTGTGTAGAAGAGAAAAGGAAAAACAGTTTAAAGTCATAGTGCAAAAGGCACTAATTGTAGAAAGGTTTATAGCAGTGAAAAAAAATATGGTGCAGAATGCAGTCGAACACTTAGCTGAGTTCTATTTAAAGGGATTTGAAAATTCACCTAGTTAGAGTAAAAGAAAAAAAAACACTTTGTTTTTTACTTTTTTTTTCACCAAGACTTTTTTAACTTTGTTGGAATAATTAATTGATAATTGAACTTTATTGATCCCACATTGGAGAAATTTACCTCTGCATTTAACCCATGTCCTCAGGGAGCAGTGAGCTGCCATCTTGCGGCGCTCTCGGAGCACATTTAGGGGTTAAAGGTCTTGCTCAGAGTGGCAGTCTGTGGAAGTGGGGCTCAGACTCAGAACCTCATGACTGTGACCTGGATGACTAAGAGTCTACGATATGCTTTCTACTACCATTCACTATACTATACAGTACTACACACTCCTCAGCATGGATCCTCATAGTATTTATTGACTGTCCTTAATGTTATACACTCACCGGCCACTTTATTAGGTACCCCATGCTAGTAACGGGTTGGACCCCCTTTTGCCTTCAGAACTGCCTCAATTCTTCGTAGCATAGATTCAACAAGGTGCTGGAAGCATTCCTCAGGGAGTTTGGTCCATATTGACATGATGGCATCACACAGTTGCCGCAGATTTGTCGGCTGCACATCCATGATGCGAATCTCCCGTTCCACCACATCCCAAAGATGCTCTATTGGATTGAGATCTGGTGACTGGGGAGGCCATTTGAGTACAGTGAACTCATTGTCATGTTCAAGAAACCAGTCTGAGATGATTCCAGCTTTATGACATGGCGCATTATCCTGCTGAAAGTAGCCATCAGAAGTTGGGTACATTGTGGTCATAAAGGGATGGACATGGTCAGCAACAATACTCAGGTAGGCTGTGGCGTTGCAACGATGCTCAATTGGTACCAAGGGGCCCAAAGAGTGCCAAGAAAATATTCCCCACACCATGACACCACCACCACCAGCCTGAACCGTTGATACACGGCAGGATGGATCCATGCTTTCATGTTGTAGACGCCAAATTCTGACCCTACCATCCGAATGTCGCAGCAGAAATCGAGACTCATCAGACCAGGCAATGTTTTTCCAATCTTCTATTGTCCAATTTCGATGAGTTTTTGCAAATTGTAGCCTCAGTTTCCTGTTCTTAGCTGAAATGAGTGGCACCCGGTGTGGTCTTCTGCTGCTGTAGCCCATCTGCCTCAAAGTTCCACGTACTGTGCGTTCAGAGATGCTCTTCTGCCCACCTTGGTTGTAACGGGTGGTTATTTGAGTCACTGTTGCCCTTCTATCAGCTCGAACCAGTCTGGCCATTCTCCTCTGACCTCTGGCATCAACAAGGCACTTCCACCCACAGAACTGCCGCTCACTGGATGTTTTTTTCTTTTTTGGACCATTCTCTGTAAACCCTAGAGATGGTTGTGCGTGAAAATCCCAGTAGATCAGCAGTTTCTGAAATACTCAGACCAGCCCTTCTGGCACCAACAATCATGCCACGTTCAAAGTCACTCAAATCACCTTTCTTCCCCATACTGATGCTCGGTTTGAACTGCAGGAGATTGTCTTGACCATGTCTACATGCCTAAATGCACTGAGTTGCCGCCATGTGATTGGCTGCTTAGAAATTAAGTGTTAACGAGCAGTTGGACAGGTGTACCTAATAAAGTGTCCGGTGAGTGTATATAGGCTAAAATCTGTTACAGCAGTCTGCAACCATCTTCTGGCAGTTTTTGGCAGAACTATTTAAAGTGGCTTTCGAGATCCCTGATCTGACCTTTTAATCACCTCCTTCCAGAGGTTGGTAGAATGCCCAAAAATATACCTGATTAAGTGCAACACTATCATAGAGTAAAAAGTATCAGCCCGATTAATTATTCAGGAGGGAAAAGTACTCTGTAAAAAGGCTGCTCTGTTACTGAGTTACTCATAACATGTGATATTACAAATCATTAAAAGAGACAGACCAAAATGTGAAGGTCTGTAGAAATTCCAGCATTTTAACAACTATAATAAAATAATAATAGAAAAATAAGCCCACACTGTTGAAAACACATTTTCTGAATACATTTTCCAGTAGCTCTAATATTTACTACTTCTTGAATATTAACTTAAATGTCATTGTAGGTTTAAATATGCCTGCATACAACCCCCCTGACTAAATTTAACATAATATTCAGCTGTGTATCTTTGTCTAAATCACTCAAAATAAAAATAAGTGACACTATTAAAAATGGACAAACATTTTATTCAAGTAAGAGTAATGATATTTTAAAATAGTACTCAAACGTATTATTATATATGCTGCTGTAAATCTACTTGTAAAAATTTACTTGTCAAGATATTACTCAACTAATTATAACAAGTTAAATTAGTTACTATTAGTGTTGAAACGATTAATCGCGATTAATTCATTATATAAATAGTCGTCAACAAATTTTGTAACCAATCAATTCACTGGATTATAGAGGCTCTAAAACAAGCCTTAAGTTTACAGAACAACCCTCTTAGAGCACTAATTATATCAAAATGGTTGAAAAATGTTTATTAAAATTTTGCATTTAAAATGAAGAAAAATAATTTTTTTTGTCAATATGGTCTATCAACTGGAAAAGTTTGAGTTTCACTTTAATTTAGTAAACAATTTTCTTTAAGGAATCTTTGGCTATCTGATTATCAATCGAAAAAATTATCGACAGATTAATGGATTTGTAAAATTAATCGTTATTTGCAGATCTAGTTACTACCCACTTCTGGTTTATTTTGGGGTATTTTCATCGGTTTAATTGTGACCTGTATCTATTCCAACATCTGTTTCGAAATCAGTGTGTTGGAACTTTATTTTTCATCTGTTAAAAAATCAGCATTTATCATTATTCTTCAGCATTTTCCCAGACATCAAACTTCATTTTTCATTTGTAAGTAAATTACTCTAATAAGGTTTTTGATCAAAAAACATGATTCCCAGTTCTTTTCTCATAAAAAAAGCTTGATTGGTTGCAATGACTTTTTTTAATTACTGTAATTCTTTTCCTAAAGTGTCTGTTTTTTCTCCTTTCATGCCTCCATCAGCTCAGTAGCGGATTTTTTTTTTTTTTTTTTTGTACAATCTGGCTTTAAGGTGATAGAACTGATTCATCCCAGAACTGTGCTCTAATTGTCACCAGGTGACCATGAACCAATTCAAGCAGTGAGTAAATGCTTAGAAGAAATCAATGCCTGGATGTGCCATAATTTTCTTCAACTGAATAAAAACAAAACGGAAGTAATAATCTTTGGACCAATAGAGGAGAGATCTAAAGTTAGCACACAGCTTCAGTCGCTTCAGCTAGTAACCACTGATCAGGCCCGAAGTCTAGGTGTAGTGCTGGATTCAGACTTGAACCTCCAAAAGCATTTAAAGACAATTACAAGGTCGGCTTTCTATCACCTGAAGAACATTTCCAGGATTAAAGGACTAATGTCTCAGCATGATCTGGAAAAACTAATCCATGCGTTTATTTTTAGTCAAATTGATTACTGCAACGGTGTTTTCACAGGTCTGCCTAAAAAGTGGATCAGACAGCTGCAGCTGATCCAGCACGCTGCTGCCCATGTCCTCACTAAGACTAAGAAAGTAGAACACATCACCCCAGTTCTAAAGTCCTTACACTGGCTCCCTGTATCTCAGAGAATAGACTTCAAAATACTTCTGTTAGTCTATAAATCTCTGAATGGCTTAGCACCTAAATACATCACAGACTTGCTATCAGTGTATCAACCCTCCAGACCACTCAGGTCTTCTTGCTCCAGCCTGCTCTGCATACCTAGAACCAGAACTAAACATGGAGAAGCAGCATTTAGTTCCTATGCTCCACTAATCTGGAACAAACTTCCAGAAAACTGTAAAAGTGCGGAAAGCCTGAGATCCTTTAAATCAAGACTAAAAACACATTTGTTTAGGATTGCCTTCGACTATTCTAGTTAAACGGTTCAACAAAAACATGTTTTCTTTAATCCAACAGTTTTTAATATTCTTTTTTTGTTTCTGCCTTTATTTTATTTTTTTATTTTTTCCTACTTGCTTTGATTCTGTTTTATCTTCCTCTATTTTAATCATGTAAAGCACTTTGCATTGTCTTTGTACTGAATTGTGCTATACAAATAAATTTGCCTTGCCTTGCCTAATTTTCCTAGTTCTTCATCACACATGATTTTTTGGTAACGCTCTCTTTTACAGTACTTCAATAACATGTAATGAGATGGTAATCACATCGCAAGTTATACTATATTACTAGGTAACAAGAAAAACTTTATGTAGAATTTTAGTAAGTACTGAAATTCAAATTTTTGGCAAACAAGCTCAGGCTACTTAGATTTCAGACTTTTATTACCAAGTAACTAATTTTCCTTTCATTTCACCTACAGCAATAAATCAGTTATGTAGTAAAATGCAGTTTATTACTTGGCATATAACAGAAAAAAAACAAACCTAGAAGACAGCAAGCCAAACTTGAAAACTAAACTCTTATTTATATGTAACTCGAGATCAGTTTTATGTGTTATGCTTTATTTACCTGATCATGAGTTACAATTTAGTGCGTAATCTGGTAGTAGTTAGTGGCCAATAATAGAAACCGTTATGTTGTAACCTAATGGTAATTACCCACCAAATGTCTCCATTGTTTCATAGTGACATACATTTGTAATAGAAAAATGCCAGTAATTACTTAATTTTGGGGTGATTACCAAATCAAGTAAAATAGTGTGTTACCATATTATTTATTACATGGTTAATGATGTACTGTAAAAGAAAGCGTTAGAGATTTCTCTATTTTGTAAGAAAAAGTGGTGGGTGGGGGGCATACTGTATATTAAGATCTTTCTTTAGCATCAATTTGGAATATGTATGACAGTAAAAAGAGAAACATTAATTAAAATCTTTAATTTAACCCATAATACAAAGTTCAACATCTGCAAATACAAAGACCACATGTTGCACACGAATCCACCCTCTCTAAATGAAAAGTCTGGTTTGCTCTGCTGCTCTTTGTGATGGTAGAGGACATCAGTACCGTGACTGCAGCATGCTTCGTACCGAGGGAATGATGTAAAACTACCTGTTTTGCTGTGGTCCAGTGGAACGGCAAGCGATGAACATAGATTCAAGCCACATAAAAAAAAATAAAACAATATTTAAAAAATAAACATTTTTGCAATCAATAAACACACGATTCAAATCAAATGGAAAAATATAGCTATATACATCCTATACAGGCTGATATATGTACAGTTAGTCATTATGGTAATATACTTTCACTTCACTCAGCTGTCTGTAACCTCACATTAACATCTTTGAGTAAATAGTTTCATTTATCATGTCTTATATATCACCAACTTAAAAAAGCATGACATTTTTGATCCAACAACCTAATAAAATGTAAGTTTTACATCAAAATTCAGTAAAAAAAAAACTCCCAAAAGAAACAGGGAAGATTGGATGAGTTAGCACCGGTTTAATTCGAGCCTCCTGTTTGGTGCGAAGACCCGACTATTGCTGTGACCTAAATGAAACACATTAAAACAAGCACTTATTTTATGAAAAACTAAATCAATATAATTAATAATGCATCTCGTAATACAGAACCATCAATCAGTTGCATGTAAGATAACTGCAGAGCATCTGCTCCTATGTGCAGCACAACATTTACACAGCAAAGCTCAACAAATCCTAATTAGCATCTCTCATCAAGCATTCAGGAAGAAGCGCACATTATCTTAGCCATTATTAACTGTCATGAGGTGCGGTGGGTTGTGAGTGGTGCTGCATTAACGTGGAAGATGAACAAAGTGCTTTGTGATCCAACCTGCTGAAAGGCGGACGTGATGCTGTCCTCCTCCAGCTGAGGGAAGAATATGAGCATTAAGCAAGACAGTGACCGTTTGGCACCTACATTTTCCACATCTGCTGAGATTTCAGTGCAAGGTCTTTACTAAGATATGTATTGACTTGCAGAAGTAGGCAAGGAGAGTAGATCTGAAGAAGAGCTACAGTTTACAGGCAGAGATGAAGATTGTGTGTTAACCAGTTTGCGTCCGAGTGGACCTGACATTCTTTGCTTTGAGAAACAGTAGAAAACCAAGACAAAGAGAAGGAATATCTGAAACAAAAGCATTGTCCTCATCTGTTAACCCTTCAGTCTTAAAAATATTTTTGTGTGCAAATGATACAAAGACCCAGTAAATCCAAACATCTGAAAGTGAGGATTGTAAGATTTGTAAATGTATGAGCTTCCTTGGAGAGAAGCTCTTGATTCAGGCCAAGTGGTGCGTTAGCATTTAAAAACGTGCACGGCCCTCACGACGAACTGCCTGCATATTGGACAGTGGTTCATCCTCTTGCCGCAGTTGGTGCAGGTGACCAGGTGACCACACTCCAACAGAACGCAGTCGATCACGGCGTCCATACAGATCCTGCAGAGGTTGTCGTCCTGAAGCTTTAGCGGACATTTCTCCCCATCTGCAAGGTGGAGACAGAGGAGGGTAAATGTGAGGCCAAAGCCAACAACCAAAAGCACATAAAATACCTTCAAGTTACAGGAAGCGTCTCATGCAGAGAACTGTGTTTCAGTAACCTGCAGAAGTAGTTTTCCACTTCTTTTAGCATCGCAAGCATCACCTTTTTTTGGGCAAAAGTCATTATGTGTGAATTCTATTTTAACTCAGTTTACTTACCGTATATAGCGCCAATTCACAGCATGTCATCTCAAGGCACTTTACAGAGACAGTTCAACTAGATCAGGCAGATTGGTTCAAAGTTTTTCCATCTATGGTAAATTAGATAGTTATGATGAACTGTTCTGCATGCATTGGAATCTGAAAGCGACTAAGACTCAACTGGATCATAACGCCACAAAAAAAAAAAAAAAAATTAATAAATGTGTGGTCGCTCTTGTTGCAAAGTCTGCTTATTTACCCTTTATTTTTAACACACATCTCTAAGGCAAACACAAGTTTGGTTTCAGTAGTAGTGCCCATGAAGATCCTGTCTACCAATTCCTAAGAGCTTTCTCTTATTTGGAGCCACTTCCTGGACTGGATGCTTGGAGTCTAAAGAACGACACCAAATAGCTCTTTAACAGTTTAGTAAAACAAATAGAGGTAGCACCTGGAGGAACTGTAGACACGTTTGTCAGTAGTTGTTCACATACTGCTGCTGAACCCATTTATACCACCAGTTGTAAGTCAGCCAGTGTGGTTCCTTTTTGTTCAAGACTGCAGGAATTCACACTTTTTTAATGCTGAACCTTTAGAGGTCGTCTTGGATCAACCCCAGGCGTTTAGTAGCGAGAATTAACAGGCTCCATGTCACCTTTAATGGTAATGGATATTCTTCCTTATACCATCACACTACCTCCTCCAAAAGATGTTTGGCACACAGGATTAAGGCTCAGTTATAGTTGGACGGCACACAAACCTGAACTTCATGCTGACGTTTGTTCAGAATTTTCAGAAACAAAAAGTAGAGCCTCCACTAACTGTAGTACAATAACCCCACTGATGTGTGCACCATCAAAAATAATTCTCATCAACCTGAAACTCTTTCTTGCAAAGATTAAAACTAACAACAAACTAAAACTGAAGAAGAAATGTATTTGTGTGAAATTTTTGCATGCCTGTCACTCTGGACCTCATGCCGCCCGCTGAGCCAGATTGATAATCTCTGGTACCCTCGGTTTACTTCTACACATTATCAATCCAAGACTGCTCTCATTGAATCTGTTTGGGAAAAGCAGAACTTTCCAGCTGATTCTGCAAAAAGACATCTAGTGTTCGCCTTTCAGTTTGGTTTTAGCCAATCAAGGTAGCAAATAAAATATCTAAAGCAGCAGAAGGCATGAGAAGATGTATGCTTGGAGTTATCTCGCTGTTCCGCTTTCAAAGATTGAAATCGCAGATCCTGATAAAACAGATGTGGTAGCAGCAGCTGCGCGTGCGTCCTTCTGCGCTGCCATGTTTATCTTGGTAAGGCTGAGGGCTTGGTAGCTCTTGGTTTCATCACAGCATACGTCTCCTTTGACCATAATGCAATGTGATTGCCTGACCCGCTTCGGGTCTGCCTCAAACTGTACATAAATCTCATGTTTTTGTAAACTCACAAATGCCACAAGAATTCAACCTGCAGGCACGATTAGCAATCTGTGCACAACCAGATCCACAGGAGCTTTATGTCTGAAAGGATTACCTGCTCCGTGTTTTTCCCTTATAAGTCAGTGTCTTTTTTATGCTGTTTGAAATAAATAACTAAATAAGCTCTCTGAGAATTATATGGATAAAATTGGTCACCAAAAAGTCCCAACATTTAGAAAGACGGATTAAATCTATTATTTCGCTTCTACTTAAAAATTGTGCAATACTTTGTTCATTGAGTAAAATCTTCAAAAACATTTATAGTTGAAGTTGAAACCCGGCTAAAATATAAGAGCTATGAATATTTTCCAAAGTTCTGCATGTCTATACTTTCATGTACAGTCATGTCAAAATCTTCTGCAAATCATTTATTCTACTAATGCCTAAAAATCAAGACAAAAAAACAAAAAAAAACATGCAGCTAACAAAAATGACCTGTTTGCATCTATATTTGCCTTTATAATAAAAGACAAATGAATAATGGCTTTCATCCACAATGAAACGTTGAACTTAGTAAATACAGAACGAGGCACAGTCATTTTCTAAAAGCATAGATGATATAGCAGATGAGAACAGGATCACAACTGGCTCACAATGGACACATGTTTGCTGAGTTAGGGGTTTTGCTCATATGATGGGAGAAGATCTGACCACGGTAAGAATCCAGAACCTTACCTCTGATGGAACCGTTGCAGATAGAAGAGGGGAAGGCCATCACTTTATAGAGGAGGAGTAAAGCAGGCATGAGATACTTCATCATCATTTCAAAATAATAACCTTTTATGGCATCTGATTAACTTATAATAAATTAATATCATTACCTACAGGATATAAAGTAAGGAAAATAAAAGTGATTTAGTTTCTGTTAAAAACAGGATCCCCTATTGGTTTAATATAAACACTGAACATTTTTAATTTAGATTTGACATCATTTCCTCCCCTATTTGGTAAATTTAAAACTCAGTAACTCATCAACTCTTTAAACATGAATGTTATTTAGAACAAAACAAAAGCCGATTCATATTATCAAGTGTTGCTTTCTGGTTTAAATTAGATGTTATTGAAGTCATGATGGTAAAATGAAAATGGGCTGTTTTGTTTCCGATACCAGAGATATAAGTACATACATGATTTAGTGTTCTTCTCCTTCTCTCTGTACAGCCTGTTGACACGCTCCACAAGCTCCCACTTCTCACAACAACCGGAGTAATTGACAAAATTCCTCGCCAGGATCTCCTTCAGCTGCCTGACGGACAGGCCCTTAATGTCCCTCACACTGGAGATGTCAGAGAGGGATGCTCTGGCTGCATGCCCAGTCTGAGGACTCATCTACAACAACAAAAACATACATATTTACATGAATAAAAAAGATTAAATGCAAGTTAAATTCTGCTTAATGGACAAACAAAGACATTTTCTAGTTCATCCAAGTTTCAATTTAGATAAAAAAATATCCAGGCTATTTTTTTACCACTGTAAAAAGCCGTAGCTACCTAAACTTTGACACGGAAAAACAGCAGGATGTGGATCACCTGATCACCAGATTGTTCACTGGAATCCGAGTTAAGGAGAGACGCCGGTGTGAAATCGCTCGAATCCTGCGGGAAAACAATAGTTTGTGAGGAATATGACAGATTACAGTTGATTTGGTAGAGTCGTTGTTGAAATGTGAACTTTCCATTAACAGAAAAAGTCATGACAACATAAACAGGTCATGTGAGGTTTTTACAGGGTATCCTGACAGGTCAGAGGTAAGCTTTGTTTGGCCTCGTTTCTAAAGCCATTTCACATGGCTTTAAAATGTAATCCCATCTACTGATGCGCTAAAAGAATTACAAACAGCTGAGGAGCACCGTTAAGGGTCAGAAATGTCACAACGTCGACATCTTGCAAGAGTTCAAGTGTCCTATTAGGTGATGAGGTACAGAGCCATACATGGGCGGTTCTAGACAAGGCCAACGGGGGCCAGTGACCCAGTAGATCATGTCCTGGCCCCTGTACTGAAGACATAATACTCAAAGAAGTTCTAACGATGATATGAACAGACACGGTTACCGATAGGCCCTTTGGATCTATTTAATTTTTTTCTTTGTAAATTCTGTTCTTCTAATTATTTAAAAACAATAAGGTGATGACTTCAGTGGTATCGAGATAGAATCCCAGTTTTCTTCTGATAAATTTTTTTTTCAAAACCAAAAAAAATATATATAAAATTTTACAGCTTAATTTATCAGTTTTTCTTGAGTTCTAATACAGATTTTTTTTAGAAAAGGGTTATTTTAACTTACATAGGGCTGCAACAACGAATCGATAAAAATCGACTTTTAAAAGCGTTGGCAACGAATTTCATCATCGATTAGTTGTGTCGCGCGATTAATGCGTCATCCGCCGTCATCACTGCCACTTGACTGAAACGGGGGAAGAAAAAAAATTACGGCAGAGCGAACCAGCGCTGCAGGTGCGCAGTGTTGCCAACTCAGCGACTTTGTCGCTATATTTAGCGACTTTTCAGACCCCTCCAGCGACTATTTTTTTTAAAAAGCGACTAGCGACAAATCTGGCGACTTTTTACGGTGTCACTGGCGGCTTTTGGAGACTCTTACGTGAAAGCATGCATCGTTCCTACTCTTATCCTGCAGCAGCAGCTGCTGCCGTGAGGCGCCTCCCTCATCCCAACCCCGTTCTCCCGCAGGAATCCCTCTCAGCGCTGCAGTCAGAGCTGCAGGATGTTTCAGCGTCCAGACTGCAAATGAAGCGCGCATGCACCGGGATTGACGGCGCAAATTGATCACAATAATTAAAATAGCCTTTATAAATAAATTAGCTTGCAAATTATGAGGGCAAGGCTTTTGAAGTTTAAATCTTCTGGCAAAGATAAAGAAGATCCTGCAATTTATGGAAGTAAAGCATAAAATCCAGCAAGATCAGTAATATGTCAATTAATTATACGCCACATTCCCATGTAAATATCTGTCTTTGGTGGATGTGTTTTTTTCCACCCCTAGTTCTCTCATTTTTATTCCAAATACAATTTATAATTTGAATCACAGGGCTATTTTTATCTCTATGGTTCAGTATTTTCTCAAGTAGCAACTTTAACTGCTATACTTTCCTGTCTTAAAAGGCAGAACTTTTCTAGTCTAAAAAAACTCATTTGATGAAATGGGGGGACCTATTGTTTGAACCCCTTAGGGGCTTTTAAAAACAAAAATGTCTTTTTTTGCGCTTTATGAAACAAAGTAGCCTATATTTTGTGGATGTACAGCCACATTTCTCATGTAAATTTGCGTAGTTTTAACACAAACATTTATTTTTCATATTGCACCAGGACAGTTAATGAGCAACCTGTACTTGTGTGCTTGTTTGTTCTGCTAAAATGTTTATTTTGGAATAAAGAGGTTAGTATAAAAAATATTTTTTGTCCGATTCATCGATTAATCGAAAAAATAATCGGCCGATTCATCGATTTTTAAAATAATCGTTAGTTGCAGCCCTAAACTTACATCAACTCAAAAATATGTAAAATTCCTAAATTCTGAATATATATATTGACCTAATAAGACATAGAACTTTAATTGAACCTAATTGAATAAAATGTCACTTCATGCAGCTATCTTAATATATTTGAATCCTTTGCTCTGTTTTTTATTTCATGCTTTTCTGTGTCCCCCATGAAAACACGATGGCCCCCTCCTGGCCCCCTGGTACATTTGGTCTGGAACTGCCACTGGAGCCATACATAGTCCTGTCTTTTTTATTATGGGTGTCCTTATAAAAACATTATGTTGTCATGACGCCACTGCAGCTGATACGACCCGATGCTATATCTGCACGAATTACTCTATCACTGATTTTTAGCGTGGCGTAATAGAAAAGGCTTAATCAAGTGATATTACTCAAACAGAAAATTAGAACAACTCACCTATCTATTATTAACCAACTGTTTATTAAACTTTAAATAGAAGAAGTCTTTTTATCAGCTTGCTTAGATTGTTTGGCTGATGTCGGAATGATTTCATCCATCAATATTGAATCTAGAGCAGACAAATTAATTGCATATAAAATATACTGGGTTCAAACACCTTTTTAGTGGTGAAACTCAAGTACTTTCAATGTCAGTTTCCAAGCTTTTCCATTACCATAACCAGTTGTAAAGATCATAATGTGATAGAGCTGGAATAATGTGAGAAGCTTCAGATTCTAACCTGGCTGGTATCGGAGCTTTCGCTCCTGCTGTGGGATTCCTCCTGAGAGGCAGCAGGCCGCTCAGAGGCAGGCTGTTCATTGAAAGCGGCTGATGCGCGATGGGTATGAAAGAGGAGGCTGGCTGTGTTAGGGTCCTCCATATCCTCCTCATCCTCTTCTTCCTCCTCCTCCTCCCCATCATCTTCGTCATCCTCCTCGATGCCCCGATGACAAAGAACCAGATCGACCAGGTCGTCCTTTTCCCTGCAGGTGTCAGTGGAGATGTTGCGCAGCATCAGGTACTGACGCAGGTCCCTCACTCGTAGGCGCATGAGCCGCGGCCGGTGGAACGCTGTGGCCTTCAGCAGATGGCAGGTGGTACAAACGCGTAGGTTCTCCTGGACCACGGAGCACAGAGAGCAGAAGCTCTTCTTGCAGTCAGAGCAGTTGTACTGGAATGGAAAGAAAATGAAGACAATCTGAGGGGACGTAGACGACACAGACCTTCTGCATTCAATGGGATACAGCCTGTACATCAATACCAGGTAAAAAAAAAGAAAAAAAAAAAAAAAGAACCGGGGGGAAAGACCATTCAGCAATTTTAGAACAACTTTACCTGAACCTACTGAGGAATACAATACTTTGCAAACTTTATTGACGGTTGATGTGGTTCAACAGAATAAAGCACCGCTATATTGCTGAAGAAGAGTTTCAACACAACATAATACTGCCACCACCGAGTTAGGCAGTAGGGATGGTAGGTTCAAGATAATGATGTCAAGTGTTACTCTTCTGCCACACAAACATTTTCATGTTAAACAAACGTTACATCTCGGATCGTTCTAAACAGTGCAGAAATTTTGGTATCAACCCAAGATTTAGATCGGATCCGAGAAATTTTGTGCATGTCGACGTAGCTAGTGAAATGAGAAAAATAGTCGGGTAGTTATTATATTCCAATGTCTATATTAGAAAAATCCAAATTTGAAGAAAGAGAAGATAAAACATCCTGATTTTATTTAAAATGGGTAATAACTTTGATCTAAAATTCAAAATTTACTCTGTTTACTTCTTAAAATGGTTTAATGTCGTAGGGAAGCGGCTGTTCCAACCGTTGCAGTTCCAAATTCTCCCGAGTGGTGCCCGACTTTACAAGAGTGAATAAAGTGAATGTCATTGGTCATTTATCAAGGGGGTGGGAGGTTGCCAAGCATTTTGATTATAGCCAGTTTGTCGGAAGCATCTTGCTAACCAGTTAGCAACTTAGTGCTAGTAGGTTCCCAATGGGAAATTACATTGGGACCAAGTAGCACTAAATTGCTGACTTAGCAACGACACTGTGAAGGAACGCTATGGACAGCAGAAATATGCAAGAGGAGCAGAGTTTAGTGTCGGAGGCAGTAGATGTGTCTCATCCGTTCTACATTTTTTATTAAAAGGAGGAAAGTGGGGACGAAGATGTTGTGGAAAAGGATGCCAGGGTGGCAGAAGCTTGGTTTGGTGTAGAAGGCTTACAGCCGTACATGTTTGAGCCCTTGCCTCGCAACGCTGCCACATCTGTTAGCTCTACGCCTGCCGGAGACACAGACGTCTGGGATGGAACTCCATGGGAAAGGAAATTATTCGTATTTCTTTTTTCAACCGTTGCGTATATTAGCTGCGACATATGAATCAAGATGCTATGACCGAAAAAATAGACCGACAGATGACCGTTGATATATGATTGGCCGAATTTAGGTTTACAGACTGACGTATAACTAACTGGTCTGCATAAAATAATGGGAAAAAAACACATATTTTAGGACAGGATTTTTTTTTTTATATGAATTTTCTAACTTTCGGGACAATATCATCTGATAAAGAGTACATTTATATACATGTTTAAGCCAGAATGATTCGACATTTAAATATGACATCCCTACGACTTTAAGCAGAGTATATTTCTGCCTGAAGTTAAATGATCTCTGTTTTGCATTTTTGGTAATAAACATTTCCATAGTAAAAGAACTTGACAGTTTTGATGCAAAAAGGGGCAGTTACAAATATATTAACAGTATTTAATATATCAAGTAAGACAAAATGATGTGTTTAATGGAGAAATCTGAAGCAACAAATCTCTTTGTCACAATTTCCAAAATTATTAATGTAGATCAAGAAAAAACAAACTACCTTTCTTACACCTATGATCTTATTTTAAGATATTTCTATTTCCTATTGAATGCTTGACAACTCTTTTTGATATATTGTATACATGTACCTAGAACCCCCCCCCCCCCCCCCCCCCCCTCCGACTCTTTAAGTTTAAAGAGTTCAGTTTTATTTTTTATATGTTGATAAAAAGTTGGAATATATCTACACCATGTCCTTAAATTAACCCAGAAGACTCACCTTCCTCCTGAAGACTGAGAAGGTCTGTCCACAAGCTTTGCAAACAAGGCTGGGGTTCCCTGAGCTGTTGGGCGGGTAGGTGGAATATCCCGCACTGGGGGCGAACCTGAAGGGCCCTGCACCTGCCCCAAACCCTGGCTGCTGGCCCCTGACGGCCCCTGTACCCATGACTTCATTCAGCAGACCACAGCATGAAGCCCACAATGAAGAAGCCTCGGCCTGAAACATGACAGCAGACTTATTATAAAGGTGTCAACTCAAGTCCACGTTGAACATAATCTTCCTAAATGTAAGCAACACCGTCAAAAATGAGCGGCTATTAAAATACGATGATTTCTAAACAGAGCAATCACAATAACAACAAAAAAGAAAATTATTATTATAAATTATAGTGACATTTTTTTTTAGTAAAACGCCAAAGATAGCCGAAACAATTGCGTATTGTTATAATAACACAACAAAAATGATAACAAGTATTAATAAAAAAAATCACCAAAAACGTATCCATAAACCAGCGAAGCATTTTAATGGCTAATATCCCGTTAGCACCATTATGTTAGCCAGGATTAGCTAGTTGTTACTATGGAAAACAGACACATTTTAAAACAATGCACCTTCATTGCAGCTCCGGTTCGGTAACAGACCCTTCACCCGGTGTTTTCATCGCAAAGAGGTATGTCACTTTTTAAGCAAAACAATCCAGCACTTTCAATGGCAGAAAACTACTCAGTACAGCTGCTATGATGCCGCTACTGCAGCTGCTTGGGGCGGCTTTAGCTGCTGTAAAACCAGCTGAGTAGCGCATTAGCGCCACCATCCGGAAGAAAGGAAACACGCAAGATTCCCTCGAATACGTTAGTTTGGAGGTCTTCAACAGGGGTCAGCGACCCCTAGGGGATCCACGGTAGTACTGCATGGGGGTCGCGAAAGTTTTGGTTGATTAGACTTTAAAAAAATATATATTTTATATTATATTTTATACATTTATATATTATAATTTTTCCACTAATTGAAATTATGGTTCAACACACTGCAGTAAACAGATAAATGGAGGAAGAAGATGTCTTTCAGTCATCAATGCAAACATTCAGCGACACACAGGAGCTCTTTTAAGCTGGACACCGTTTCATTCACAACACCTGTCCCATCAACCAGGAAACAGAACCAGAAACAGAAATACTTTAATTATCCTAGGGAGAAATTACTGTCGTTACATTACTCCATATGTAACAGAGGGACTATAGGACCAGTTTGATATAACACAATTTCATTAAATATATATAATTAGGGGTTCCCCTCTTCATCTCGCCATTAGTTTGGGGGTTCTTGGACTGGGAAACGTTGAAGACCCCTGCATAAATTGATAACCTCAGATTATTAATCCCAAGGGCTGTGGCGATTCTAGATTTACAAGAGTGGTGCAAAAATAAGGTGGCGCAAGTGTTTTTTCATAGAATAAAAGTATAAAAAACACACAAAAACAAACAAAAAAGGGCAAGAGCACATTGTTTTGAATATTAGGCAAGCCACAAAGCTAAGGTTGAGTACCCCTTTGCATCTACCAGATGACAAATGTGATCTTAATACGGTTGAATCTTAAAGTTGACTGTAATTTAAAAATAACTGATAATGTAAATTATAAAGGCCAAATATTGCATTGCTCCAAGGGACAATCTGTTATGGTTCCCTCTGTCAGCCCATGTCATTATAAAATTGATTTAGCATTAGACTGCAAAAACTGATCCAGGTAAGTAAAACATTTTTTGAAATAAGTGCCGTTAATTTGAGTAGGGAAATACAATGATCTGACCAAGGGATGAGTTTGTGTGTTTGTCCATCTGTCTGTGTACAAGATAACTTCAAAAAGTTAACGATTTTAATGAAATCTTTACCAGAGGTGCGCTTCATGCCAAGAAACAATCTATGACATTTAGGTGAGAGTCCAGTTTATAATCTGGATAAAGGACTTTTTAAAATGAATTTTTACCATTGAGATGGTGATTTAATGAGGAAACAAGCAGGTCCCTCTAAACCAGAGGGTGGCAGCAGTGATTATTGATAGCTTGTGTCAGTGAAGTTTTTTTAATTTTTTTTATCTTAATCATACATCAGCTTTTCCATTGGAAAGTTGCCTTACCCAGTAACTCAGATCAAGGGAAAATAGACTCAACTATAAAGAAAATTATTTACTTACATTTCAATTTTTGTCTGGAACTGCCCCTGCCTATGCAGGGTGAAAACCAAAACAAACCCTAAAGAGTATGGCGATATTTACAAAAATGTATAACAGGAAATGTAGAAAACAATGAAGAGGTTCCTCCCATCCCTTTTTAAACACCCCTGACAGACTAGCATGGTATGAATGGTTGGAGAATACAGGTCAATAAAAAAAAAAAAAAAAAACATTTTACTTAGAAGACCTTTAAAAGCTAAAGTAGCAGAGTCCAAATAATGTGAAATCTCTTGCTGACGTCATATCATGTGAGACATCTCCTCTCTAATCAAAAGAAACGCATCACTAGTATGAATTTAAGGCTTAACTGTATATTTCAGTTATATGTATAGTTTATTTGTATCCTTATATCTTACACTATATTGCCAAAAGTATTTGCTCACCTGCCTTGACTCACATATGAGCTTAAGTGACATCCCGTTCCTAATCCATAGGGTTCAATATGACGTCGGTCCACCCTTTGCAGCTAGAACAGCTTCAACTCTTCTGGGAAGGCTGTCCACAAGGTTTAGGAGTGTGTTTATGGGAATTTTTGACCATTCTTCCAGAAGCGCATTTGTGAGGTCGCACACTGATGTTGGACGAGAAGGCCTGGCTCTCAGTCTCCGCTCTAATTCATCCCAAAGGTGTTCTATCGGGTTGAGGTCAGGACTCTGTGCAGGCCAGTCAAGTTCATCCACACCAGACTCTGTCATCCATGTCTTTATGGACCTTGCTTTGTGCACTGGTGCACAGTCATGTTGGAAGAGGAAGGGGCCAGCTCCAAACTGTTCCCACAAAGTTGGGAGCATGGAATTGTCCAAAATGTCTTGGTATGCTGAAGCATTCAGAGTTCCTTTCACTGGAACTAAGGGGCCAAGCCCAGCTCCTGAAAAACAACCCCACACCATAATCCCCCCTCCACCAAACTTTACACTTGGCACAATGCAGTCAGACAAGTACCGTTCTCCTGGCAACCGCCAAACCCAGACCCGTCCATCAGATTGCCAGATGGAGAAGCGCGATTCGTCACTCCAGAGAACGCGTCTCCACTGCTCTAGAGTCCAGTGGCGGCGTGCTTTACACCACCGCATCCGACGCTTTGCATTGCACTTGGTGATGTATGGCTTGGATGCAGCTGCTCGACCATGGAAACCCATTCCATGAAGCTCTCTGCGCACTGTTCTTGAGCTAATCTGAAGGCCACATGAAGTTTGGAGGTCTGTAGTGATTGACTCTGCAGAAAGTTGGCGACCTCTTCGCACTATGCGCGTCAGCATCCGCTGACCCCGCTCCGTCAGTTTACGTGGCCTACCACTTCGTGGCTGAGTTGCTGTCGTTCCCAAACACTTCCATTTTCTTATAATACAGCTGACAGTTGACTGTGGAATATTTAGGAGCGAGGAAATTTCACGACTGGATTTGTTGCACAGGTGGCATCCTATCACAGTTCCACGCTGGGATTCACTGAGCTCCTGAGAGCGACCCATTCTTTCACAAATGTTTGTAAAAACAGTCTGCATGCCTAGGTGCTTGAATTTATACACCTGTGGCCATGGAAGTGATTGGAACACCTGATTCCAATAATTTGGATGGGTGAGCAAATACTTTTGGCAATATAGTGTATTTTACACTGCTTATATTTGAAGGGTTTAATTGTACTATGTGGGTTGTAATTTTATTTATTTTATTCAGTCATATTTTATTTTTGCTCTATTGTATGTATAATCTTATTTTCACCTCTCTTCTGTTAACAGTTGCACTGCAAGAAAATAATTTCCTGCAAAGGATTAATAAAATTATTCTGATTCAGGCAGATTCTTGTGCAACTCTTATACAGGGAATGGAATTAATTTATATACCTTAAGTTGTGTAATTTATGGCTTCATGCAACATGTTGATTTTAGGTAGACCCTTTTTCTTCAGGGTGTTTCCTTTTATTGCCTTTCACAGACCCCTCTTAACTAACACAATAAGGAAAAAAATACTTTTAACAGAAAGACGTACCGGTATTAGTCAGTTTTAATAGAGTAACACACCAGAAATAAGTTTTAAACCAAATTTTTTTAATGAACTAATACAGTATCATATCTTTCAGTAAACTCAATATAATCAGACTATAAATTAAAAAACAGATTTTACTTTATGCGCACAGGGAATGTGACAGAAAGAAAGAATTTTAAAATAAAAAGTCAAACATTCTCCTTATCTCTCAAAATGAAAATAATAAATACCTTTTGAACAATACCGCTGGCTGTAAAGTCACAAAAAAAATTGGAACAGGCAAATAGTCCCAAAGAAAGTTTACAGTATATCAGCTGGGAGTGGGCTCAATGTTCTCCTTCAGGCGTTAAGGATTTCTTTCAGGTGTGGAACAGCAGCATTGGCCATGGAAGGAAAAACAATAAGCTTTCTTTAAATCCTCTGTGTGTGAAAAATAAATATCGGCTCTTTATGAACAGCCATGACCCTGTAATCCTTCTCACAGCAGTCCAGCCTGCGGATCCTTCTGTTGAAGCTTGAGAATCAGTTCAAGCAGGTTCATCTGCATCGTCAGCTCCTGCATTACACAATTGATTAAAGAGCAGTTAGAGAGGATAGATCTGTGAATCTGATGAATGACTGACTCCTTAAAAAGTAATGTTTTCCATTGTGGCCTGTAAAGATGAATAGACATGAGAACATTAACCTGAGGATTAGTGGTGATGTAAAAGCCTGGAACGCCTGCCTTCTCCAACGTGTTCTGCTGGTCAGTCACTTTTTGATCGATTTCTGATACAATCTTCTTGTCCATCATCTTTTGCTCCTCGCGAACCCGAGCTTCCAAAGCCTGCAACACACCAGCAATGAAGGCAGCCCGACTTCCCTCTGTGTAAACATCCTAAAAAGAGGTGATATTTCTTACCTCAACTTCAGATTGCTGGGTTGATTTGAGAAGTGCAAGGTTGTGCGACTTGCATGACTGTATAGCCTCCTTGTGTTTTCGGACCAGATCTTGCTTTAGAGCTAAAGAATACAAAGAATGATATTTCATTGGTAATGCTAAATTCTAAGCACTAAGCTTCATTTAAGAAGAGCGCAGATCTTTATAAACACACAGGCATGAAGACGATTCATATGCAGATTCGAGGATATTCTGTTTTTAGGTAGGACTGCCACAGACCTTGATGTTCGCAGTGCAGCTTCTGCCTTTGGTTGTATAGATTTTTTTCCGTGAGATGTTGAATATCCAGAAGGCCCTGCACAATTTCATAGACTGTCCCATCAATGAGGGCCAACGCCAGGTCGCTCAGCGTGTTGTAGGACAGGCGCTGCTGGAAGGAGCTGATCGTGGAAACAAAAAGAGCAAATAAGAAAAACAAACAACCTGATAACTGATATTCAATTTTAAACATGAGGAGCTTTAAAGAAACGTAGCTGTCATATTTTCTACTATTGATAAATGTGATCTGTTAATAGTACAAAAGTTATTAACAGATTTGCAGCTTTCACAAAAAAAGAGTGTTTAAAACTAGTGTTGCGCCAATGCCATTTTTTGGCCCCTATACCTGGCTATGCAGTATCGTCCGATACCATCTGTTTGAAATTGATGTGTGTGTATATATGAAGAACTGCATACTACTTGGAAGTAAAATAATTACCATCATGGCTTTGTCAAGCTGCTGCCTACCTTTGTGAAGGTGGATCAGGCCCTGCCCGATACTGCTATCAGTGCAACACTATTTAATACAAGTTTTCAATTCCAACTGGCTTTCTCAATCTAAATTCTTCAATAGGAATTCATGTTTAAAGATGCTGATCAGGAAAATTGTGCCGTGGGAGAGTAAATTTAAAATTAGTTGGATGTGCCCAACAAATTAAAACATTGCTGCAGACTATATATCTACTATCTCAGCTTGCATTTACTACTTTGCACAGCTTTCTCCCTTGTTATAAGACACTTCTATTGCATTATCTTCTGCATGTAGACAGTTATGTTTATATTTCACTGGTATTTTTAATGTTGTTGCTGCAGCTTTAAGGAATGCAAACAGTTTGAATTTAAGTCAAAGGTAACACATGTATAAACAAAATAAAAAAAAACTATATGGAAATTACTGATGTGCTTACTTATAAATGACCATTTCCAATGTGATTGAATGAACAATATGTGAAAGTAACAAAGAACACTATATCAGCTGTTGACATGACTCAGAAGTGAGGAAGAGATGTTCTGAAGGGGTGACCATACCTCGGCAAGTCTTTGACTAAAGTTTGCAGTTCAGATAGGAGGTAATAATGTCTTTCCTGCAGTTTTGTTGGATCACTGTCGGTGACTCCGGGATAATCGTCCATGTCTCCCACTGAAAGTGTCACCCCCGGTGTCAGATGTTGGTCAAAACATTCAGTTACCAAACGTTACATATTCAGTTAGCCTCATTTAACTGAGTTAGTCTTAATTTTTTTTTTTTAAAGAAACGTCGCTGAGGGAATTTAAGCAACGTTTAAAACGAATTATTAATTTCTTACGTGACCAAAATTGAACACTTGCTATAAAACCCATAAAACTAAACACCACAACAGACTGATAGCTTTACCCGGGGATTCGTTCGTGTTCTGCTCAAGCTAAAAGGACCCCAAAGTAGCGGACTAATAACCTGCCTGTCTGTAATGTTGAGATTTTCTTCTTCTGTGTTTTTAAAGCCAGTTGACAAAAAACCTAAAGGTGCATTACCGTCACCTATTGACTGGAGTACTGATCAGGATTTAAGTTATAAATTTTATTACTTTAAAAATTCTAGTTATAATAAGAAAACTTAAATATATGTATTTAAACACAAACTATATCTCTATAAAATCTTTAAAGTAATACATTTTTTCCTATAACTATAAATAAAACATATTCTTACTGTATCCATATTGGTATATTCTAAAAAAGATATGCACAAATGTTTCCTGTCGTTATTTTATTTGGGTGTACTATTTAACCCCATATGAAAAAAAACTCAAATTTAAAATGTTTTCTTGTTTCTTTATTATATTATATTTATTAATATATTGTATTATATATTTACCCTTTTTACTTTAGATACTTTTATATTTAACTTTGCATTCCCGCGTTTTCCTATTTCTCTCACCATTTCGTAACCTAAAGCTTAACTCTCTGCCCACTCTTAACTTCAGTTTTACAAACTTTTACATTTAATTCCACATCAATGCTTTTTACTACATTTTTTCTGATCTATAAACCTAATGTGAAATAAAACCTGACCCATACTAGTTTATTTTAATTGAAAGAAAAAAACAAAAGCAGAAGAAACAATGGTAGTCTTATGATACTTTATGATATTTTATAAGAGAGATGCGGTGTACATGGATAAGGCAAAAGATACCTATGTACGATCTAGAGTCAGTCGGATTGAAGAGCAGAGGAAATATGGCTTTCTTTTGTACATTAGAAAAACCTAGAAAGGATTGGGATTCAATGGACTTAAATTTACAAAAGATGTATTCAAATTTAACAATCCTCTTTACATATCTCCACAGATAGAGAAAAAAATTATAATTTTTTTTAGATTAGAAAAAAAAAAACAGAGGAAAAGTTAAGAATTACTGACTTTGCAGTGAGAAATGAGGTGTGTGAAAGCTCACCTGGGTTGAATGTATGAAAAGCTCACTTCTATAGATATTTCAGGTGGATTTATGACCTAAACATGTTACCAGGAAGGAAACATGAAACTAGGGCTGCAACTAACGATTATTTTGCAAATCGATTAATCTGCGGATTGTTTTTTCAAATAATAATTGGATAGCAAAATGTTCTCTAAAGAACATTCTTTTTGCAAAATGAAACCAGGTGAAAATAAATCTTTTCCACTTGGGGAGTTCTGGATAGAGCGTATTGACAGAAGAAAAAGATTTTTATCTTAAATGCAAAATGTTTGCATATCTTTTTTTACAACTTTGGTATAATTGCTGCTCAAGGTGGATTTATTCTGTCAGCTAAAGGCATGTTTTAGAGTCTCTAAACTCGAGTTAACGATTAATCGATTACGTAATTAGTTGACCACTATTTCAATTACAATTAATCACTATTAATCCAATTAATTGTTTCAACCCTAAATTAAACAAGGCCTTATAAAACTAATCCAAAACCTAGAAAGTATTAGAAAAACCTTAACTTCAGATGTATTACACTTTCGAAATACAAACTTCAAGATCCTCCCAACAGTTTTGGCAAAAATGTTCAAATCTGGCTCTTCTTAACTGATTATTTCCACACAATCTGTGTTTTTTAACAGGGACTTCCATCCATAACAAAGATTAAAGGTTAAGGGCCTTCATGATTAAAGCCATCTAAGACAGAATGCTGGCATTATTTCATTTTTTAGATTTTCATAACTCATTTAATACTGCAAAACAAATATGTACTTTCCACTCATGAGACATTTTGGATTTGGTAAAAGGTTTCTTGATATGATTACAATTTTGATGAAGACAATGAATAAAAAGTTTCTAAAATACTGACATTGTTTGTTAAAAACGGAATCTTTATCCAGGCTGACATATCCTGCCAATCACTAGCTGCCCCTAAGAGATGTTGAGGAGATTAACAAGATCTATTTAAATCTCATTTGGAAAAATTAGCTTCACTATATTTGGAAAAAAGTTTTATTTAAAAAAAATTATAGAAGTGGTATCAAGGCAATCGGTTTTCAAAATAAGGAATGGAATATAGAAAATTTGATGGCTCCAGTCCCTTTTAAGAAATGTTGATCTTACTTATTAGTAATGTCCATATTTATCAAAGTTGAAGGTAATGAGTTTATAGTAAAATGTCTAAACTAATAGTTGTATTATGACAGTATAGAATTAAAGATTTATGGTGAATCCTACACATCTTGTATCATCCAAATCTATTAATGTTGATCCTTTTTCTCTTTTATTTATTATTATTATTATTTTTTTAACCTATTTGACCGCTTCATTTATGGCATATTTAGAATTTCTAGTCAGGAGCAGAACCAGGCCCAGTTAAACGACCTTCTGCACAGGTCGACTCAGGGTTCAAGGAGACAGAAGAAGACATAGAGAGGGAACATAGAAGCACTGATCTATAAAACCTTTCTATGCTAGAACATGTAACGATAAACTAGAATAGTAAACTAGATAAACTCTGAGTTGGTTTCCATGTCAAAGAGATGAAAGTGAGCACTTACAGAAATATTTCATTCAAATTTTAAGATTTATGTAAATTTATTACATAACAAATTAAATTTTTTTAGAAGATTTAAACTCAAACCTATTAAATAAACCTTATATGATGCATATTTATTTGTATAATAAAGCTTATGTATTTAAAAAATAGTATCATCAGGTTTATGTATTCAGTACTAATAAAACATGTTTACTCAAAAGTAATACTATAGTTTGTATTTATTTTAAATTTATTGTTTGAATTGGATAGAATTAACTTGATTATTATGCAATTCAAACAAATAAACTCTATATATTTGAAATAAGTAACTAATCATTATTAATTTTGACTAAGTATAGGCTACTTTATTTATTCTAAATACATATCCTGACAGTTGTATGTATTTTAAATAGATAAACCATATCAAATGAATACATTTGCATCGTGTAAGGTTTATAAAATAAGTGTGTGTTAAAATGTTGGAAAAAAGGTAAAAGGGAATTTGTGAATTATGGTACATACATCTTGAAATTAGGAAGAAATATATTTGTGAGTGTAGTCACAGTAAATTATTACACTATAGGATAAAGAGTATCTATACATTTAAGCTGAAGAAAAGTCACATTTTCTTACTACAGCTTCCAAGATATGGGACCATTTATATTTCATTTTTGCTGGCTTCCTAACAGTGCACTTTAGCAGTTAAAGATACTTTTGTCTGCTTTGGTACTTAATACATATCACAGACAGATGGCGCTGTATACCAAAATAAGGGAGTGACAAAATGAAACATCTATAACAGGAGTTTTCAATGTTTTCCAGGGCAAGGACCCCCAAACTGATAGCCAAATGGAGTGGGGCCCCCCTAATTATATATATTGTTTAAAATTATTTTATATCAAACTGGTCCTATAGTCACTGTATTATAGATGGAATAATAACGAAAGTCATTTCTCCCTGGGATTATTAAAGTATTTCTGATTCTGATTCCTGGTTGATGGGACACGTGTTGTGAATGAAACGGTGTCCAGCTTGAAAGAGCTCCTGTGTGTCGCTGAATGTGTGCATTGATGACTGAAAGACATCTTCTGCCTCCTTTTATCTGTTTACTACAGTGTGTTGAATTCATGTTCATGTATACCGGTATTTAAAGACATTTCAATAAGTGGAAAAATTGAAGGGGGGAATATATAAAAAAATATTTTAGGTTACACCTATCCTATACCTGTTTGACATCTTTTCTCTGGCTAATTTGTCATTTATGTTGAAGACTATCTGAAAATATAACATATTTTTTTAGAACTTTAAACAATGTTATATTGTTCATTCATATTTCCAAAAAGAAGAAAAAAACTTTTTAAGATTAGATATTTTATGCTTCAAATCTTGATATTCTTTCTTTGAAATTTTGAAGAACTAAAAAAATCTAGTCAGTTTCTGTTCTTACTATTAAACTTATTGGAACAACAATGACAAGAAATGTTTTTTTATATCTTCTCATTTCCACTCTTGTCAGATTTTTGACTTATATTTGCTCAGAAACACAGATCTGCATTGATGACTGAAAGACATCTTCTGCCTCAATTTATCTTACTACAGTGTGTTGAATTCATGTTAATGTGTATTTAAAGACATTTCACTTAGTGGAAAAAAAAAGATTGCAGGGGGGAATATATATAAAAAAAAGTCTAATCAACCATCCAGCACCTCCTTGGACCCCCCAGTGGTCACAGACTCCCTGTTGAAGACCTCTGATCTATACTACTACAAGTGTTTTCTCAATAAAGCTACATTTCTATTCAGAAGACATTAAATAGTTTTTAAATTGAAAAAGACGAAGAACCTAGCATTGTTGTTTTGTAAACATGCAGCCATTACAGTTTAATTTATTGTTTTTTTTATCTTTATTTTTTCCCTCCTCATCAACATTAAATTAAAAACCAAACAAGAAAGATGGTTAGAGTGTTTACCCTTTTGAGACGAAATGATTTGGTATAAAACAAGTGTTTGTAGAGGCGACCATATGATGGTGTGTTTACATTGGGCCAGTGGCGGAGCTAGATGGGGGGCCAGGGGTGGCCATGGCCACTCTTGGGCACTTATTGGCCATCCCATTGCCACCCCTACCATTTTCTTCCCTCTGATACAGATGGTGGCAGCAGTACTACTCTCAAGTGGAATATTCAGACATTTAAATTTTCACATATCAACAGTTACTTGACAACAAAAACTCTGTGGTTAATTAAAGATGATAAGTACAGAAATCATGCTATTTTTGTCACAGTCTTGGTTTTCCATTTGTTGTCCTCTGCTGCCCTCTTGTGTCCTCTTTTCCCTAGCTCTGTTTTCTGCTCTGCCCTCAACTGTTTTCAATCCCCTCGTTAGCCCTCTCTTTGTCTCTGTCCCCTTTAAAAGCCTCCCTCTTCAGTTCCTGTTTGCTGGATCCTCGTCTAACATCTGTCTGCGTACCTCGTCTCTCCCTGGCTCCTAGAGTTTGGTTTTCCCCTGATGTCTCTCTGGTTCTGGTTCGTCTGTTATTTCTGTTGGATTTTTGATTCCTGCCTCAGTTCCTGTAAACCTCATTAAACCCACCTATATTCACCTCTACCTACTTGCCTCTGCATTTGGGTCCTCAATCCAACACCAAATCCTGACAATTTTCAGAACTAGATTTTGTGTTGTATGGGGTAAAGAGAAAATTATGTCTCTGTAAGTCATCCAGGATCTTCAGTGAAATCATAGATAAAAACTATTTTGATAAAAACTTATTAAATAATCAATTTATGTAGATATTAGTGCTTTTAAATATCAATAATATGCAGAATGATTGTTGATAAAAGTAGGTGGGTAATGACAATGGAAAAGATGTTCGCCCCAGAACTCAAACCTTAAAGAATTATTTCCACTATACCTTTTATCTAGAAAGCACGGATGTTTAGATATATGCCTTTATTTGTTAGCAAGGCTGTAGGAAAGTGTAGGTGGTCTTTATTTAGAAAATATGGATATTGTGTTGTTAATTTCCCTGTAGGAACAGCATAGGTTGACCCTGAGGTTCTGGCACCTATGCGCTTTCGGACACCCCTCAGTGTACATTGGTTATTGCCTGGCCACCCTTCTAAAAATGTTCTGGCTACGCCTCTGCATTGGGCTCGCGGCTTTAACGCGCTCCGCTCCGCTCCGCTGACTGGACTGTGACGCGCGCCTGGGTCGCGCGCTGCTGGTGGGCAGAGCGCCGTCACGAGCTGAAGGTGTAATGAAACGGAGAAAACTCACTCCCAGGAAAGCAGAGGGCTATTTATACCAGCTCGCATGGCAACATAACAGACACCCGCTGGATAAATAAATGATTGTCGCGAAAATGGCCCAAAACACGTCTCTTTATTTTCGGATTGTCGAGGGTAGGAACCTCCCGGCCAAAGACGTGTAAGTAATTTCTGAATGGCATGCGCTTCTGTGTTGCAGCCCCACCTGATAACAACCTGCGTCTGATATCTGCCTTTATTTTTAACTCTATTTTTGTTTCTCATTTGAATAATTCTAAATCCACGTGAGAAACCTGCAGGAACTGAGCCCAACATCATCATAAAAAAAGAAGGAAATAGGCTATATTTCAATAAATTAACATGTCTTTATTCTACCATATTTTATTCTCCAATTTTTAGGTCTGGGACGAGTGATCCTTACTGCATCGTTAAAGTTGACAATGAAGTTGTAGTCAGGTGAGTTATGTTTTTTTCAATCAGTATTTAAATCATTGAGGGTTACAAACAGCAGCAACCTAGTCCAGATGTTCAGTTTATTAGAGATAGGCTCTGATTATTATACAGTATTCTACACATCTGGAAGGTGTGCTCAAACGCCCACATCATGGCCCCCTCAACACCAAGAACCTGATACTGGTCTGGCATTTAAACACCCTCAGGTAACCATGGTGAACATGCATCAATTATTGCAGGGAGCACCTGTAAGAAAAGAGCTTTCTAGTGAGGTGAGGAGAATTATATCTGTTCATAGATGTCTCTGAGGTTGATTGCTCTCAAAATCTTAAAAGATGAATACATAAAAAAAAATGCAGAAATCTTAGAAAGAATAAAGGAAGTATGAGTTGAGTTGTTCCATCTGGAGTGTGTAAAACTGCTTAGTGTTTCACTGCAGGCACTCTCACTGTTTTACTCCTCACTTGCTGTGTTATTGTCAGTTGCCTTTTGAGTGTGATGTTCATGGATGATGATGAGTCTGATCGGTTGTGCTGAGAAATTATGAGTACACAAGGCTTTTAATGCACTCATCATGACAGAGTCAGGGGATGACATTTCTGTTAACCCTTTGTATTGTTTTGTGTTTATTTATTGGGGATTAACAATGATAATATATCAAAAACTACTATATTTGATCCCTTTGCATTAAATATAAATAAGATGTTTAAAACATTGAAGTTAATGAAATTGTTGTCAATAAACAATAGACGCAATCAGAGTAAAGTTAAATTCTAAAAACTGAAATCCTGACAATCAAACTAAAATAATTAAGTCTGAAATTTTGAGGCCATTAAAACACATGCTTTTTATTTTCTTTATCTGTGAAAGCATAACCCTCACCACTGGACAAATTACGTTACCCTAGATACGGCAGTAAATCCAAGGCCCAGTTATCCCCAAACACAGAGCTATATTGTAGAAATATATTTTACTCTATATTTTTTATCCTCATGTCACCTTATTTTGGGAAATGTCTCTATTATTTTAAGTTTAAGTATTTAATAGGGCATTATATTATTAATTTGTGCATTTTGCAATTTAATGGTATATTTAATATTCAAATGTGTTAGACAAATAAATAAAAAGATGTTACATCTATTTATTTCATAGTGCATTCATTTATTTAATGGGCCCTTTTACAAGATATATTTTTGCTCACCGTATATGTCAGAGATCACATTTCCTGTCAAGGCTCAGAACAGGGGACCAAGTATTCAAGACAGACAGTCAGATGATTCAAAAGCGTTTATTTAAAAAACACTGGATCTGCAATAACAGCGAGGGCTTCTAAGGCAGGAACCTCTCCAGGAGGAAAAGTCAGGTTAGTGACCACGTTAATCTGACAGAGGATGATTTTGAACGTGAGTCACTAACCTGGTTTTATAGTTCAGTCTGCGCCAAGATCATAATATTTCAATGATTGTGAAAACCATATTGTAACTCCCCCATTCGCAGAGGGGCTACTGACCACTACTGTGGGAACCCTGGTTTAAACTTACCGTATTGGAAAATTCAGCTGCAAAAGACAGTTTTGAACCCATACTGGGCAGCACTAAGACAATTATAGGTTGATTATTGTGGAATTAAACAGGTTTACATGAATTACACTGTTTGCAGAGTAGCAGATTGCTTTCATAGTGATAGATGACCTCTTGTATTAAAAAAATAAAATAAATAAATAAGCTGCATAGTTATGCTGTAGACTGCACGGTGATGTGATCGTTAGCACCATTACTGAGCAGAAAGAAGGTGCTGGGCTATAATCTGAAGCTGTGGTTTTTCTGCAAGGACGTTGCAGGTTTCCCTCCACATAATTCAGCTTTTTACCACAGTCCAAAACTATTTAGTGTCGCAAAAATCTGTCTCTCTGTATCACCTTCAGGTCTTTAAGGTTGTGGATGGCTGTTTGTCCTGTGTGTCTCTGTAATGGTGATAAACACCAGCCCCTTAAACCATCCCCCCTACCACCACACACTCAGGGGGCATATTTGACTGATAGAAGAAAAATAGATACTTCTTTTTATATACTCTACTTGGAAACCTGAAATTACCTTTTGGTCTAATTAAATATAGCCTTCGTTCATGCGTGTCTATCAAACTGCAGATATGCAGCAATGTGTCTTACAGAGACATTTGTCAGCCTCTAAAAAGCATCTGAAACTGCTTCTTTGAACATACTAGATCACCTCTTTATGCATGCCTCAGTGCGCTCTCAATCATGTTTGGGAGGTTATTTTGAAAGCTGTTTATATATCTGGGCTCCCACTCATACATTTTCATAATTAGTATAAAAAATGCACAGAAGATCACATAATATTGTTGATCTAGACTTAAAATATGATACATGTATATGTATTGCTGTCATAAATAACTATTGTAATTTTTATATATATATCTGTTCCACATTACCAGGTAACATTTAAAAATAAATATTCATAACTTGAGAAATGTTGTACGTTATATCAAATTATTCAAAATTGCATAGTATTATGTTGGGATTCTTACTACAGACCACCAAGCAGCATTGAAAGGACATTTTTCTTTCATTTGCCATCAGTATATAGCCTGGGTGCCATTCCCAACTTAGTCCCGCCCACAAGGTTTGAGGTCGGGAAGTTCGGTCTGGCTCTGCTCCATAGTAGCGCGAGTATTATCGCCCACTGTCAGGCGATCCAATCAAATTGTCAGGGCGGGCTTTATACTATGATGGACAGATGATCAACAGTAACATAATCAACCACGTGACCAATGCGCGCTTGGGTGACAACAACAATGGCTGCCGCCGGAGAGTTGAGGTGAGTAGATTCTGCTATTAGGTCTGTTCTAGAAGATATCGACAGCAATTTAATTTTAAAAGAGGAACAGAGAAACGCGATCAAGGCTCATCTTCTTATTCTAGGCGTGAAACTGCACGCTTTGATTTTTGTTGACAACAACTATGCGTTGCTTAACATACGTCACGCACTCCGTTGCTCTTATTGGTTGTATGTCTGTCCAATTGAGTGCAGAGGCATTTTTTTTCCTGGTTTGTTCAAAACACGCCCCATAATCACAGCTCTATGGAGCAGCATCAGACTCATATTCTGACTAGAATTGAGTAGGACTACGTCAGGCTAATCAGTATATGCCACACCTCCTCACCTCCACAACCCATTATTAAATCCAGTGTATTTATCTGCCTTCAGAAGGGAAACAATTTGACAAATTTATTAATTAATTTTTGGGGTGTACCAAAACATTTTCCTTTATCTGACACAATGCCAGGATTTGAATATTTACTTATATTAACATTTACGTGATAAAATATATACGCAAAAATCATTATTATTTTAAATTCCTATTTTGCACAGTGTAATATTAGGAAAGGCTTGTTTTTAGGTAGCATTGGTTAAACACAGAACCATAGTTGGCAACAATAGGTATAAGAACAACTGAGCCATTTATTAGTAACCAGTGGTTTACTTAGACATTTAGTTCATTAAGCTAAACGTCTAAGTATTCTTACACATAATATTATATACATATTACATACATATTACATATTACATATTATATATTTAAACTAAATTATAAATAAAAAAACTGGAACCTTGTGTTTGATGAGTTTTTGCAGTCAGCTGCTGTTGCTGTGACCACTTGAGCTCTATGTGAGGGAAAAGTGGATTAAATGTTGGATTGAAGTGATTCTATCAGTGTGCTTAAAGCAGGGATTTTAGACTGGTAATCATTTTTAGCTGTTTTCAAAAATATTTCTCATACCAACATGGCATCAGAATATCTCTAGTAATAAATAGACCTGTGTTTAATTTAGTCTCAGTACGGATGTAGTTGGTCTCAAAGGTTTATTAGGGAAAATTGACAAAAAAAATGTAATCAGCATTATTGAGACCAAGGAACACAGCAGAGAGATGACTCTCCATTGGCCTGGTAATTGGTTATTTTGTTCTTTTGATTTGTGATTTTGTCGCTTTGGGAATTCCATATTTAGTCCCTTTTTGGAAATTTTTTCATTTCATTTTCATGCATTTGAATTTGGTTCTTAGCTGCAATCTTCAGGTGCCGTTTTTAGTGTGCAGGCTTTAAAAAAATGTATTTTATAGAGAAAATCAATCTTTCATTGAGGTCTGTGTTCTGTTTGCTTTATGTTGTTCCTGTTTTTTTTTTTTTTTTTTTTTTTTTTACAACCCACTAGTTGTACAGTATTTAGTTTCATTATGTTTTGTTCTGTTTTCAGTTTGTAGACTTTCCCTGCATCTGTAACTTTTCTTCCCTAGATCCTTATATATTTATTGTGTTTATAATTCAGTGTCTCTCAGCCAGTAATTTTTTTGCTTCTCACACCTCCCACATGGTTCTTATTCTGCAAAGACTCCTGTCTATACTCTTAAGTGCTCTTTGTCAGATCATTCCATCCAGCTTTGTCAAGTTCCTGCTTGCGGCTGATTTTAACCTGTTATTTCATCTTTAACGGGATATTGTGTTTCTTGAAATTGTTACTTCAGTTCTCTCGTAAAGCCTTTTTTGTATTTTTCCTCTACATAATTTCTGCTGTTGGCTTCTCTTGGATCATTATTATGTCAGGGTTTGGCTAAAAAAACAATATTCTTAACTTTGAAAATCTCATGATAGAGCGTTGTTCAATCTATCATCTGATAAATGAAAAAATGGAGTGCAAATATACCAAGACATGACCTTTAACCTGAACTGAAAGGCTCAGTAAAGAGAACATTACTCAGAGAAGTAGCCAAGAGGTCGTGGGTAAGTCTGAAGAAACTGTAGAGATCTACAGCTTAAGCTGATGACAGCAAAACTAATTTTGAAGTGTGGCCTAAACAAAGAGCTTTTTCAAAGAAAGCTAGGAGAGATCTAGTGTGCTGTTTGCTACAAGCTATGTGGAGGACACTGAAAACATGTTTAAAAATTACTCTGGTCAGATGAGAATATTATTTAACTTCACATCCTAAATGGTCTGTATGGTGTATAAATAACACTGTACATTAACCTGAACATACTCACTCCCCAGTGAAACATGGTGGTGGCAGCATCATGCTGTCACTGCATGGATGCTTTTCTTCAATATATAAGGAAGTTGGTAAGAGTTGAGCTGCACAGAGAGCAATCTTGAAAGACAAGCTTATATAGGTTCAAGAAGACATAAGACTAAGATGGAGGTTCTCTTTTTTATGGAATGGAGGAAATCTAATATCCATATTCTTTTATCTAAACCGGGGGTCTGCAACCTTTAAAATCCAAACATCCATTTTGCCCCATGTCTGGCTGAGAAAAGGTCATTTAGAGCTGAAATCTGTTGCCGTTTCAAACAAGCAACAGGTTTTGTATTTTAAGCTAAAGAAAAACATAAAATATTTAATAAAGATGAAGCATACATTTTCTTCCATAGGATATTATTTGATGTAAAAAAAAAAATAACGAAAAAATAAAAGAATAATTTCTAAGCTAATGATAAAAAAGTGGATACAAAAAACATTTCTATTGTTCTTTAAATTCCATCAAATACACATTAAAAAAACTACTCAAAAGCTTCTAAAAGTGATATTTGTCACTATTAAGAGCCATTCTTGAAGCTACATAGACAATATATGATTTAATTATCAATTGTACAGTTTGATGGTATAAATTATTTAAAAATAATATGCTAAATAAATTATTATTACATCTACTTTTAGTTCCTCTAAGATTTAAACGACAAAGTCTTGATCTAAAACCAGCTGAGAAAATGTGCCTTGGAACTTGATGTCCTCAGATCCTCTCCATCAAATCCTCAAAATCTTAGTAATGATTATATAATTTTTTTAATAATTGGCAAATAAATTAAGCTCTAAATGTGAAAATTTGCAAATGATCCAAATGACTTGTAGCTGCAATCACAGCCCAAGAAAGCTAGGTTGCAGATTTCATTTTTGTAAAGCATAGAAGGCCATATGTTATTTTCCTTCTGCTTCAACAATACAATCAAATACATCCAAGATCGTGGTTTAAGGAATGTGAATATATTTGAACAGTACTTTAGAAGTTAGAGTTACAATATTCAGACATTAATGTAAAAGATTTCAGTGTTAATTTCTCAGCAGATGTTTTGAACCTCTCTTTGCAGGACGGCAACAGTGTGGAAGAATCTCAATCCTTTCTGGGGTGAAGAGTACACGTTGCACCTCCCAATGGGCTTTCATTCACTGTCGTTTCTTGTAATGGACGAAGACACTATTGGGTAACAGCTTTAGATATAGTTCATTCTTAAGTATCCTCATGTCAGGCAGGGTTTAATCATGAAATGCAAGTTTAGATAAACTTCTGAATGATTAAACATCAGGCAAAGGTTTTGTAGATCAAGCTTATGTTTTTGTAATCATTTCTTTTGGACTATTAGGGCTGGGATTTTTATTTACCTTACAGCTTTGATTAATTGTAATTTTATTTCATTATGTAATTTTTATTCCTGCTTTGCAGACACGATGATGTTATTGGAAAAATCACACTGAGCAAAGAAGCTATCGGATCTCAAGCTAAAGGTATGACTGATAACATAATAAGCCTCATCCTGGAATCAGTGTAGAACATGATTAGAGGTCAAAGGTTAAACATACATGGATTTCCCAAGATACTGAGGAGTCAAATGTCGGTTTTTAGTCTGGGAATGTTTATTGGTGTACCCTCCCACAGTTAATTTCATTTATTCATGTTGATTAATCACTCTAATATATGGCCTCTGCAGCCGTTGGGTTTTATTTATTTTTTTGCATCATAAACCAATAGACCAGCAATTGCATTCAAACCGCCTTATGCCGTAAAAGGCCTGGTTCCCTGTCAGAAAATCTTCCCTTTGAAGTCCCAGGGTTTACCCAGCGTCAACTCTTGCACCTTCTGTAACGTCTTGGCTAACCATATGGCATATAAACATGAAACCCTTTGATAGCGCAGTAGTTTCTCTGTAATGCTTTAGTTTATCATGTTATGTTTGCTGCATACAGAAACGGTGCTGTTGAGAGCCACCTGGCATGGCCTTCGTTCCAGTGAGTCATTGCTACATGGCGGCTGTGAGTCACTGACTCCCTCGCTGGATTTTTCTCACAGCCTGGCCTTGATTTCATTGGTTTTTCTCTTGTTTTTATGTTTCCGAATAATTGAAAATCAATCTCAACACAACCAACTAACCTGACAGGTGATAGGGTAGCTGCTAGAGCCGCTTCATAATTTTGTTTCCATCCATCACCCCACAAACATCAATCAGGCGAAGCATTATGACCACTGACAGGTGAAACCAATGTGAACAAAGATGTATCAGAAGCAAGGAAATGAGGAAGTTGGTAGAATTTGAGTCAGCATGATGGCCACTGTTGGTATATCACTATTTATTCATGCATCACCTGCTTTATACAAAATAAATGAAGAAAAGTAAAGACAAGGCATGCATAGACAGTTTGAATTTTTTTTTTATATTCTGCAGCAGTTGGTGTCTGTCTTAGTTGTTCTTTAAGGATCAATGATAAACCTACAGTGTCATGGTTTCCCTGATGCACGGTATGGAGCAAATTCCAAGATTTTCCGAAAAAGTTAAAAAACAATCCACAGGACTTTCTTTCCAACTTTGAAAACGCTATCATTGCAACCCCCACCTTTTTTTTTTCTTTTATAACCTAATTTATACAACATTCAGCAGTCTAATGGCAGCAGGGAAGAAACTATTCTGGAATCTGCTGGACCTGCATCGGATGCTTTGAAGTTTCTTCCCTGAAGGCAGCAGGGAGAACAGTCCATAGTGGGGGGTGAGGGGTCATTGATGATGTTAACGGCTCGGAATACGCAGTGATGGGATGAAATGTCTTTAATGGAGGGAAGAGGAGCCCCCATGATCCTCTCTGCTGTTCTCACCACTCTTCTCACCTTCTTCCAGTCTGAGGCGCTACAGCCTCCACACCACACAGTGAGACAGCTGGTCAGAAAGCTCTCTATGGTGCTTCTGTAGAAGGTGGTGAGGATGGGTGGGGGCAGGTGGGCTCTCCTCATCCTCCGCAGGAAGTAGATGAGCTTCTGTGCCCTTTTCAGTGAGGAGGTGTTTACAGTCCAGTCGAGGGTGTCAGTTCAACTTCAGTATAAAAATACCATTGTTTCAAAACTGGCTATACTTCCAGTAGACGGATAGATAGTTGGCATCAACAGTTGTTCAGAGATGTCCCCACAAGCCTTTTCAATTTTTGTAATCCAACAGGCTACAAACCTTAGACAGAAGCATTGTGTTTTTATCAGTCTGCCAATATTGGAGCTTTTAGGGCAAGACTGATATATTTCGATATTCCTTTTTTGCCTGATATCAGACTGATATCTGATATTGAAATCAGATTCAAACATCCCTAATTATATTTCTATTAAGGTTTTTTTCTGCACACTTTGAGGAAAAACATTCGAAAATGTTGATTAAAATGGCAGATGTTAAATAACTTCCTTAATAAAGTCTTTATACTAGCTTAAGGTGGATTTTTTTGTCTTGTTTTGCTCTTCCAAAAAATAGTTAAAGCTTGAAATGGGACATGGAAACAGAAGTCGCGAAGGTGTTCCTGAAATGCCTAATAAACTGTTTCCGCTGTCAGCATATTTCTTGATATTCTGTATGTCTCCTGACACCATGCAACATTGCTAGTGCTAGTTGAAATGACAAAACATTTAACAATGCACATTCCTGAAAACCTCTCTCAGTTTTTCCCAGATGTCCTAATAATGCTTGTTTTCAACCTGTGCTTCCAGTTTATTCCTCCCATGTGCAAACGCAACTTCTGAAGGGATTACGGTTTGCGTAGCTTAGTTTATTCACTTAAACAACAGTAGATTGGAAAGGCCCTATTTTTTTTCTTTTAAAAACATTTTAAAAGTTTGCTCAAAATTAGCATGACAGCTGTATAGAAACTTACCATTTGTTTGCAACAAACACGGTAGAATGACATTGATAATGTGGAGTCAAGCATGTGGCGATATTCACCAACATCATTACTTAAAGCAGCTCCAGTCTGGAATTTATAGTTCGCAGGTAGATAACAGACTGAAAGGAAAATAGAGATCTGATACCAAAAACATAGCTCATGGTGCTACAGTGGCAGAAAAAACACACAATTTTAAGATAAGGTACAAAAATGAATGCAAACAATGTCTAGACAAACAACAAGAACAAAGCAAGGTCTTAAAACACACTACTGGAATAATGAAACAATATATTTTATTTTACAGATGTAGTAAATGGAGCCTAGCTAAGATGTAAAGAAACAAGCAAAGCAGTAAAAGGGGACCTGGCTCTGCAACAGGAAGTGGGAAGTACTATACAGAAGAAAGTTGCTTCCTTTAAACCCCATGACGTGAAAATGAAGGCATGTCAGTTTGTGAAAATGTTTTTTCATTCTAACACTAGTTTTGTTTAGGCCAGAAGGCATTTGTTTGTTTTCACAGTGAAACACAGACTAGTGCTCTGTCGGGGAAGTTCTTTTATCTCTTGGTCTGGCTGATGTCCCAGATATGGCTCTCTGAGGAAACATGTAAAACAAGTTCTGGAACAAGATTTTGTGCCAGAATGAAACATTGTTTTTATGAAACTTGCATTTAAAATGAAAACAAATGAAAAGCAGAAGAAAATAAAATAAAAAATATATATATATGTATGTATGTATGTGTGTGTGTGTGTGTGTGTGTGTGTGTGTGTGTGTGTGTGTGTATGAGATGCTACAGGATCATAGTTCTATTATCAGACCTGTCAACAGCTCAACAAAACAGAAAGCAATGTAATGTAACCTCCACCAGTGACTTTATTTCCTCATATCTAAAATACTTGATCTGCTTTGGACAATACCTAAATAGTGATAAGTTCAGCATCAAAAGTTAAGGTACTTTTTTGTAATTTGGAATACAAGTCTAAGGATTGCATTGAATGTTAGTTTGCAATATTTCGGATGAAGCTGCTGTTGTGAGCATTTAGTGAGGATAATTTCAGCTGTTTAGAGCTTAACCTCCTAAGCTGTTACTCCTTCCTGAGCTGTTTTGCAGACTGGGATTGGAGGGGAAGCTGATAAAATCAGCATTTCCAGGTTTTATAATACATTAACGTAAATCATACTTAAACTTTTTTTTGTTTTAATGTTTTAAATCTTTTCTTTTTTTTTACTTTGTGCAACAATTTTTGTATGTTAAGCCTATTATAAATATTATACTTTATTATTAGTTTTGTTTGTAATGATCATAATTAGCTCCAACTCCTTGGCTTCAAACAACAGTTTTCTTTTTTAGCAACACTGCTCCTCCAAACTGCCAGTAGAACGCGCAATTTCCTCATTCAACCGGGTCAATCCGGTTGTGCATGTTTTAACCACTATAGATCACCTACAACACACCTGCTGATTGTACATGCCATGTTTGCTATTTGCAAGCTATTCTGTTTACAAAATCTTAATTTGGAATTGTTAAAGGTATACATACACCATATGGGGCAGGATATGATTCCCCATGAGACACATTCCCCACTGTAAAACATAGTGAGAGCAGTGTGATCCTGTGGTAATACTTCTGTACAACAATTACAGTGAAGTTTTAGCTGTTTTGTTAAAGAGGGGCAACAGTTATGTCTCTAGATCTTCAAGGCTTGAAAGGAAGAAATTGCTTAAGACTAATGATATAATATTAACGAGCAAACATTTTCTTTCCTTTGTTCAAATTTAGACCTAATTGTACATTACTCTGTGTTGCTCTGGCATATCAATTTCCTGTGTAGCTGTAACATATTTAAAAAGTATTCATACTTTTGCAAAAGACTTTATGGATATTTTTTTACATCCGTCTGCTGCCTTGCTGCAGATTTCTGTAAAAATCAGCATCTGTCTGTTTGCTCTTTTCAGGGCTCGATAGTTGGATGAACCTGACGAGGGTTGATCCCGATGAGGAAGTTCAAGGAGAGATCCACCTGAGTCTAGAGCTCCTCAGGGACACTAAGAAGAGCAGCTTACGGTGCCAGGTCATCGAAGCCAGGTAAAATAAAAACTATTAATTGTGAGGATGCTAATGTCAGCAGAAGGATCTCAATTGACAAAATGTAACTTTATGCAATAATTTGTAAAAGAAAAGCCATATAATCTTCACCATAGTTGGTTTCTGGGGCAAAGTGTCTTGCTAAAGCACCACTCATCTTGTGATAAAACCTTCTCACCATCACACTCACTTCATTCTGAATCACTCTGCCACCATCACCCCACTCACTGCCCCATCTGCGTCCCAATCTCTCAGACGCTAATAAATCTGTCAATCAGGATTTGACACTGGTTTTCCACCAAGCTCAGATACAGTAGCTCTTAGTGTAGTCTGAAAAAACAACTTACCACTAAATGAACCAAGATGATTAGAATAAAAAAGGATAATTGGTTTAGATTGAGAGTTTTCTTCACTAGTGCTGTTCTGGTATGCTGATATCCACAGAGACTTGGCTCCAAGAGACATTTCTGGAACATCGGATCCTTTTGGAAGAGTTATATTCAACAACCACAGTGCAGAGACCTCGGTGAGCTCATCATCTGCCATGAACATGAAACATGAAATTCACTAAACCAAAAGGTTTTATATCGGGTTAATAATCCATTAGAAATTTTATTTTTACATGGTAAAGGATCACATGACACACTTTTATACATGATTAAAGTTATAGATAAAGGATCAACAGCAGACCCCTTTGAACAAGTAGTTGCCTTATTACAGTTGTCACCAGTTTTTCACAATAATAAGATGGATAATCAATCACATTTAAATGTTTAACAGAGAAATTCTCACATCTATGGAAGCAAATGCGTCCTAGTTTTTTTCTTATCAAAATTGATTGATATTTTTTTTTTATATTCAGTTAAAGCTTGATTTTTGACTTTTCAATAATATTGAAAATAAACCTGTCAAACTACATTTTCTTTTCCAAACTTGCTCAATTAGTAAATTTTTTAAATGTTAAATTAAATAAAGTTTAACATTGTAGTTTTGAGAGAGATCTCAGCTGCATCTTTTGACTCATGAATAAAATTACTATTAGATCTCCAAGACTGTTTTTTCTTTTACTTTAGTAAAAGCTTCTGAAATCAATTTTGCAATGTCAGATTTCTACATTAAAAGCATTCACAAAAATACTTTAATTTAAAAGTCAGAACTGGATTTTTTGACATAACATTAAGGACCTGAGGTTGCTCATTTTGTTGCTATATAGATATAGTGGAGGATGTTCTTTTTCTGGGTGAATCATCAAAATAAGTGGTCCTCCTAATTGTCAATCATTCTGGTGATATGTTTACGTCAGGCCGTCCTACGTGCTCATACCCATTTTCACTAAGTCTGGAGAGTCTGACATGGTGGAAAATGTTAAATGTGTTGGGGGGGAAAGTAAGCTTTTATGAGTGATGTAAACAGCAACTATTAAACAGAGTGTGCACGAGGAGAAATGGGTACAGGGTTGTGAATGTGCATTTAATTTAAGTTATAAATAAAATTACGTTTAACGTTTTATTTTCAAATTATTTACTTAAGTTAATTTGAACATTTATAATCCAGAATTAAGAAGACTGGGCAAAAATGGTGTCTAAAAGCATGAAAAACAACAACTGCAGATCATGATGATTCTTTCAACATTTAAGAAATTGTTATGAACTGAAAAGACAGAAGCAGAACTTTGGTTAATATCTTGTCCCTTACAAAAAAAAAAATAGGATTTAAAAAATACCCCCATCATATTCAAGATGAAACATGTTGGTGGTAGTGTGATGGTCAAGGGGCTGCTTTGCTGCTTCAGGACTTTGCTGTAAGAAAATGGAACAAAAAAATCTGCTCTCTGTCAGAAAAATTAAAATTAAAATATCTACTGATACAAACAGTTTGTTGAAATTTGTCATTTCAATTTTGTAGATTTTCTCCTATCAACCTCCACGCTGGGATTTCTTACAGTTTTTCCAAATCCTGGTTATAGATTATCAAGAAGACCCGTTTCCCTCACTGGGGAGAAACCTTGGAGCTGGAGCTGGATGCAGAGGAGCTGAGTGAGGAGGGGACTGTGACTGTGGAGGTCTGGGACTGGGACATGGTGGGAAAAAATGACTTTCTGGGAAAGGTTAGGATATGTTGATTTTTAAAAAAAATCCACTATGTCACTAAATCCATTACGGCTGAACCTTATTACATTTTTAGGTATTACAACCACAAATCTCAGTGTGTTGTAATATATTTTTTTGGATTAGACCAAGAAAAAAGAATGCATACTTGTATAATGGAAGAAAATGAATATATCACACATATAGTTTTATTCTTTTACCCTACACTTCATGCTGTTTTATTTGTGGTGCATGCTTACCATTGTTTCCTGGCAACATGTTTATTAAAGTTTGGTGTTATATCTTGAGCAATGGGAGCTCAATGAGTCAAGACAGCCTCTGTGCATCGTCTGACTCATCTTCATCACTCAAAATAGGTTTTTCTTCAGGTCTGTATCACCAAAGCTCTGGAGGACTCTAGGAGCAAAATTAAACTATGTTACCTTGTAAGGCTGACTCTGTGCTACATGATTTAACCAAAAGCACCATGAATTTGTTTGCTGCATTCAACTTCTGCAAACATCAACACTACCGTCTGCTACGTTGGATAATAGGATATGTTTTGTCATTTATGTGAGGGCTGTGTAGTTTACTGGTTCACCCAGCCAGAGTGGTAACAGAAATATTAAATTATTTTGCCCGCTGCTTGGGTTTTGCAGGCTTTCAGGTGTCTGTTTCACAAAACAGGTTTATTGAAAACTCAGTTTTTTAAACCTGAAATCAGGTAAACTCTGAGTTTTCAGTTTTTCCAAGGGAGTTTCTTCAACCTGTTTCTGTTACCATAGTAACATTCTCCCCCAAGATAACAGTTTCTTTCAGTAAACTCAGAGTACCGGTCATAACTTGTATTATTTTATTTAGGAAGAAATGTATTTCAGATATCATACATTAGTAGCCATTCAAAATTTCCCCACTCTCCTTGATGGACCCTTGGCTGGTCCCCTACAATTCATTTTTAAACATCAATCTTTGTAATAAAATATTCTTTCAGTCATGATTTGTGGATATTAAGATCTAAAGAGAAGCGTCATCTCCTGGTCAGACCCTGTAATTCAATGAAAGGGTCCAGTCAGAGTGAAAAAAAATGCACGGCAAGGAGAAGACCAGTGGCTAGAAGTTGGAGGGGATTTTGCTGGGAGTCGCAGGGAAGTGGGCTGCCATTCTGGTAGCATTTGACTGGGAAGGGCCATTTAAATAATAAATTATTCCATAAACAGTCAAGCTGATAAATGTCAAAATGGCCACTTAAAATATGTAAACATTTCTACATATATAAAACTTAATTCTTACTAATAGAATGTTGTCTTTTACTTTCTGAAATTCAGTTTTTCCGGGAAAAATCTAGTTTAGAAAATCTTTTATCACAGTTCTGACAAGCAGTGAGTACACTTACCAAAAATGGTAAGACTATCAAGACTTCATCAGATGTTTACTCAGGTAAAAGTAAAAAGTAACATTTGAAGAAATTACAAAAGTAAGAACAAAAACCTAATAAAAAGCTACTAAAGTAACTGATCTACTCATAACCATGATCATAAAAAGTGATTTTATATTTTTTTAGTTATAAAACTTAAAAAAATCAGTAATTGTAATATGTAACAAAAGGGATACTGTTTACTGTATTTTCACTTAAGCTCCACATAACAGCAGATTCAGAAGATGAAATAAAAAACAAACAAATCATTAAGCCTTTAGTACAAAATAATAGGAACATCTGTCCTTTAATGGTGCATATTTATTTAGAACAAGCTTGTTTTCATTAACTAAAGTTACTGCCAATGGATGGGGTAGCCAGAAATTTTACTGATATTTTATCAAGTAAGAGTTAAAAGTACAAGGGTGTAAAACTACTCCTAAAAGTATTTTTTTTTTTCAAAGTAACTCAACAAATGTAACTGAATTAATGTAATTATTAACTATCCACCTCTAGTTCTGACTACGAATGTCATTTTGACCAGAAATAATTCCTTTTAAGTGATCTACAAATGGAACAACAGGGAGGAGAGTGCTTTTAATAAATGTAAAAACGGCCTGCCATAGTAAACTTCATATAAACCTACAATATTCTTCTTCGCCATCTTCCTCTCCTTTGCAGCTGTAGCACTGTTGCTTGTTCTTTTTAACACATTCCCCATTTATTTTTTCATTTTTGCACTAAAACCTCTAGTTCTAGTGGTTGGAAATTGCAAATTTCTGTTGCCATGGTGACTAATTGAATTGGTGCTCCACTGATAATGGCTTTTCATACTTGTTACGCAGGTGTTCACCTCTGAGTGGACCTACTCACAGTTGATTAAACTAACTTATAGCAGCTTTTGTGAAATCGAAAACTCAGAGTTCCCGACTTTAGGCTAAACCAATTCAGAGTTGAAGATTTGAGTCTGAGTTTGTTAAACCTGCTTTATGAAACGGACCCCAGCTTGACATATCTGCTCTAAAATGTCTACTTTTTAGCTCTCTCCCTCTTCCCATTGACCAACTCAATGTCCATGTTCAAATAAGCATCTCCACAGCAAAATGCTGTTATCGCCATGTTTCACAATGGGTAGGTTTTTACAAAATGGACTGTGTAAAGCTTTATTTGACTAAAAGCTTTCTACTTGCCACTTTGCTTTTATAATCAGAATTATATAGTGAGTCTTGTGGGTGCGCTCCCATCTGATTCCTTCAGTTCTCAATCCCTGCAGCTGCTTCATTATTCACTAGGACCAAAGAGTCACTTCTCTAAATAATGTTTTCCTTGCCTAATCTGTTAGTTTTGGAACAAGGTCATGTCTTAATGGGTTTGCAGCTGTTTCATGTGCTTTTTTTTCTTTTCTCATTGGCTCTAAAATATGTGAATCAGATTTTGCAGCTTATAGTCACATTTTGCTTGAAGTACTCCACATCCTCTTGGGTCAGTATTTTGTTGTATTTTTTTGATTAAAACTTTTTAATCAAAAGACTTTTTAAAATATTCTTTTCCTCCCACTACAGTATGCACTTCTATTGGTCTGTCGATCCCACACTGAAGTTTGTCTTTGTAACGTGTCAAATCTTAGAAATTTCTCATCACAACACTGCAACCTGTGTTCTAGGCAGAAGTCGCATCCCTGTTTGTTCTCTCTCTCTTCACAGGTGGAAATCCCTTTTGCTTGTTTGCACAAGACACCTCTGCTGGAGGGCTGGTTTCGTTTGCTGCCCCTGGGAAACAATGAGGCTGATGCTGGGTGAGAATTATGGGCGTGTTTTATTGCAATGAGGCTATTTTATGTGTGCACACCTAAAGTATTTAGCTTTTAGTATGCTTTTTTTTTTATTTTACATGCACAGAAGGACAGATGGTTGCTCACTTCCATGCTTTCTTTCATGCATTTAAATGAAGAGTCACAGGCGGAGGGTCAGGTCTCGGACAGCATGTGTTCCTTAAGATCATTTAAGAACAAAGGGCGTAATAAAATGCAGAAGAGATGTCACATTAGGTGAAATTTGCAGACTTATTAAGAGTTGTCTCATGATTTCTTTGGCTTTGTTTAGGGTGTCTTACGGTTCTCTGTACAGGTATGATAAAAGGAAAATTCATCTACGAATTTAAATATATTCAATAAAGAGACTTGATTTAGTTTGGGGTAAGTGCAAGAGATTATTCCCAGTTGTTGAGTTAAATCTTTTGCTCTCATTTGTTCTCAGCGGCAAGCTGGGAGCGCTGCGCCTGAAGGTGCGTCTGGTGGAGGACCGGATCCTGCCGTCTACATACTACCAGCCACTCATTGAACTGCTGGTTGAGTCGGTAATCTCCCCCACAGAGGTCAGCATCGCAGCTCGTCCTCATCACGGATATTCATTCGTTCACCCCCATCATGACCAAAGACACTTCTCCATGCGTTGCATTTCGTTCCTCCGTCTGTTTTTTTCCCCCCAAAGGTGTGTTTCTCAGTGTTTAATGAAGGTTTTCCTTTCATCAGGTGGAAGACAGTAGTGCCCTGACCATGCTGGAGGAGGTGACCACTGTGGAGAGCAGGCAGGATGTCGCAATGACTCTGGTGAAGATCTACCTTGGACAAGGACTGGTGGTGCCGTTCCTTGATTATCTAAATACCAGAGAGGTCAACCATACGAGTAAGGACAAACTGGTTGAAAACATCTCATAGTCAGGGATATGTTTTCAGGGAAATAGCACAAACAAACACTATTAATGGGTTATATTTTATACATCCTCAGCTTTGACTCATTTTTGGAAAAATCTTTGGATGAGTCAGTCTTTTGATTGTTGTTTTATGGTTGAACTGTATTTTCAGACATACATATTTAGGCTTTAGACACATAACATGTACTGGTCACATTTATTTGTTCCTCAAGCCAATATATACATACATTTTTTTTAGCGGCAAAAAAATATTACACAAGAACAAATTTCAACTAATTTAGAAAGGAAAGAAACATGTTAAATGTTTTTAAATGACCACTAGCAGAATTTTGGAACCTCTAAGACTTTAATTGATGTAAATAAAGCATTTTTTCCCTGTTTACTCTGGATTGTAGTTTCTAGACACTTCTGCGTAGTGATCCATGTCTTTCTTTTTTTTTTTCTGTTGTAAAAATATGCAGTAAACAGAGGCCCACTTTGCTTTTATCCAAATGCCACTAGGCTGGATTTGGGGTGCCAAGTGAATTTTACCATGAAGAATGAGCAGAATGTCTAGTAGAGGTAAAATTTAATCTAGAAAATGTCACTTTTAAAGGAGAAGTAATTGGTAATATACTTATACAGTCCTTCTGAAATTTTCTTTGAAATGATAATAAATGATTTTTAGAAGAAAAATCAACTATATAAAGATCATTCTGACCCCTTTTCATAGTTCTTTTTTTTCTCCTATGTGTACACTCAAGAATTTGACATGTTTATTTGCACATTCACGTGGCTGTAGCTTTAGCAACATTAGCAGTTGGCCGTGGTTCATTTACCATTGGTTCCTGGTGTCTTAAAAAAAGGTAAAAGTTACACAAGCAGCAACACTTACTGACGGCCTGCAGGAGCCTAACATGAAAAACGGAGTTAAAAAATAACAGTCACTGAATACATAAAGTAGCTTTACAGAAAAAGTGTCACAAAATAATACTCCATTATGAGATAAATGATGAAATAAAGAATTAAATTATGTAATTAATTAATCTTTGAATTAATAAAATTATTTGAAATATAATATACCGGTAATTAAAATAAGATAAAAACAATTTAACATTTTTATTTTGTTTTATTTAATGGGGATATTTATTTATGTAATAAAATATTTATTAGCAAATTTTTCAACAGCAGTATTTATTTATTTATTTTTGAATGATAGATGGAATCGCCTCTTTTGGTGGAAAAGAGGAAGGAAAAATGAGGTGGGCTTTTACAAACGACGTGTAAAGGGCGACGATGATAGTGCTTTGGGAAGAGCTCACTCTTGTTGGCTTTTCTAGTTCGGGCAAAAAACACACCTGAAAAAAAGATAATTTTCACACCGGATTTCCCAGCAGCTTTTAGTTTTAGCTAAATCCCAACACACACGTTTTAACATAAAAGGTCAGATTTCTGGGCAATGGCTTCTTTATAGAAAAAAAGCGCAGCAAAGAGTACCATCAGTTTCCATAAAAACCATTAGAAGTGCCAGGATAATCAGGAACTAACATTTTGTTTGTTAGTGAACTAGACTGACAGCAGAGCTTGATATAATTTAGATCATCTTAAGTTTTTATAAACTTTCCTTGTAATCTATGGTGTATTGTACATTGTTCAGATGTTAATGTCGGATTATTAGTTCTTGTGCTCCGTTCTTAGATCATTGGTTCAGATTCTTCTTTAGCTTCAGTCATTAGCTTTTGTCTAATACTGTTCCCCTGGTGTCCTGTCTAGATCCCTGTGTGTTCATTTCTTTCTTAATTAGTGATGTTCCCTCAGGTCCTGACTTCAGGTCCTCACCCAGCTGCAATGCTCTTTATTATTTGAGTTCCTGTGTCGTTGATCGCCTACCCAGCAGTTTTAAGCCAATCAGTTTTCTCCAACATCCATCTGTTCCCTTGGTTACTCACCGTGTCACTTTGTCCTCTTGTCCCTCACCCTTTTCCTTTCACTTTATCCCTGCTGTTCCTTTCTGATATCCTCCAGTTTTTTCTGCCTGTTTTCTATAGTCGTATTTTTTAATTAAATAAGCATAGCAAACAACAACTGGCAGACACACTCAGGCCCTCAGCCAAACTTAAAAAGAGAAACCTGACACTTGACAGACGCACTAACCTGCTGGATGGGAGTGATGGCGGGAATAGAGCCTGTCCTTTGCTACCATCACATTAATGTAAACATGTTGAGTTTATCTTTTTTTTTTTTTTCTGGGACTCAACGCTTTCTTCAGATGAAGTGAACATTTAACAAACACACAAGGTTAATTTTGCATTAAAGATAAGTGTTACCATGGCAGGAAATTCCACTTTAAAGGGACCTAATCACATGCTATGACTATGAAAAAAACACACAAGATAGATTCGCTGTTAAGTCTCTTGGCTATTCTAGTCTAGGAGATATTAGGGAAAAACGAGGTGCAAAACATATTAATAAAGTACAATTTGTCAAAAGGGCGCAATAATTTAATAAGTGAACTACTGATTAAAAAAATTATAAGGTCAAAATAGGTGATTAGGCCCTTGTAAGTATGATGGAGGGTCTGTGATTTGGTGAGCCTGTTGCTTTTCCAAAAGCATTGGGCACCTTGCTGAAGAGCAGGGTGTTATAAACTTTCTGAAATACCAGGTGATTTAGAAAAGAAATGTATTGAACAACCGGTATTCTGAAACTCAGTTCTCATTTTTTCACCCTCTGTGCTTCTGTTTATGTATTTAATAGAAGCAAGTATATACATTTAACATGTCAAAGACTATTTGTAGCTGTTGCTAATTTGAAATGCTCGTCCCTAGAAGGGCCTTTAACATTATGGGAAAAGACTAAACTAAAAGTAGTTGTGTTTAAAGGATTTATTATTTTTTAATGTTTAATGCAACTAAGATAAAAGATGATTTCATTGTGAGGTTTTTTTCCCATGGTGCCAAGAAACGAGCTTGGCACTGTATCTCAACGATGCTCCTCCAAATTGTTGTTCTAAATGTATTTCATTTTCGGTCACAGACTGAAAAATGTGTTTTTACTGTTAGTGCTTCTCGCTCCTCAGACTCTCTAAAGGCTGCTCCGGTTGACATCAAGGTCTCTGAACAACACAGTTATTGTCTGCGTGTGGGCGGTAAAAAGCCCACCAGCACTATATTTACCACCCTGATGGCAATCATTTACACACCCCAACAGTCTTTTGGTGGCTTGTCCAACGTCTGGTTTAGTCATGTTTTCGCCTCCGCACTGTAAACCCCAGAGATATTTTCACACAGAGTTGTGTTCTGGATTTCAAGCTCTGCCAGTGTAGTTCAAGATAATAAGTGTAGTACCCAAGTTTCCATAGCAACTGCACATGATTCAATTGGCCACTGCTTGATCCGGAATAGATGCTGCAAACAGGCAGACATTAAAATTAGGGGCAAAGTGAGAAAGGCATATTTTATACCTCTTTGGTGTGGGAATAAATTCAGTGCTGCCATTCTTGTAGGTTCAAATGTTTTATACGACCACACACACTCCAGTCACTCCTGTTTTACTACTGCAGCTTAAAAAGATTTACAGAGATGAAGCAGCAAAGTCAGGCTGCTGTCCTTCATTACACCATGCTGTTTTCTTTGTTTGCCAATTAATGAATGAGGAGGTTTTATTTCTACAGAAACATTTAGAAATGACATGCAATTTGCTGTGCTCTTGATTTAATTTTTTTTATTTTTGATGGTTTTATTTCAGCTCTATCATGTTCCTGTTGAAAGATTGTGCAGCTATTACTTGCACTATGGTCCCTCAATGTATCACTGAACACCTGATTTTCTTTTTATACGGACACAATTTCGAGTTTGCAAAAATACAAGCCAATAGCTAAAACATGATTTGTATAAAAAGGTGAATGATGAGGAAAAGAGAAACAAAAATCAAATCTAACCTTTGTTAATTTTTTTAGGCTCAAATCAACTGCTTCATTAACTGTCCAACATACTTTCTATTTTTGCTTTAGTAATTTCCTTTCTGTTTTGTTTTGACAGCTGATCCAAACACCCTGTTTCGCTCCAACTCACTTGCCTCCAAAGCCATGGAACAATTCATGAAGGTGTGAAAAACCTTTTTTTTTATTTATGCAAAAGTTTTTCTTTTGTATTTTGTTTGGAATGCAATATTTGTGTTTGATTAATGACAACAACACTATAGTCCCTGTTTGCAGTTTTGGTATTTATTATCTAAATTGCAGTGCCCTTTTAAAGTCTTAATAACACCTTAAAACTTTCAAAATGAGAAAAATCAGAACTGCATCAGAACTGCAATGAGACCATGTTTTCTCTCCATTGTTCATCCATCCAAAGCTGAATAAGTTTGCATAATGTTTATTTAGATTTGGAAGTTGGTAAAAATTCTGTCCATTGATGCGGAATGTACATAACCTGAAAAAACATATTTGCATTGGTCTATCTACCACATACATAAAAATATATATATATATATAGATATATATAGATATATATCTATATATATATCTATATATATATAATATATATAGATATATATAGATATTTTTTTGTTTGTTTTGTTTTGTGACCATAAAAAAAAAGCTTAAGGTGTTTTAATGCTCTTGCTGGGCTCTGCAATGTAATTGCACATTTATTGCATCCCAATGTATGCTGTTAACTTTCTGCACTTTGGAGAATCTGTAGGACTTCCTCATAGTTAGAACGAACCCTGTTCCAGTGATATAAATGTAAAGCGCTGAGTAAATTATACTGTCTTGCTGCCAGGCCGTTGGCATGCTGTATCTGCATGAAGTGTTGAAACCCATCATCAATCGCATCTTTGATGAAAGGAAGTACATTGAGCTGGACCCATGTAAGATTGACCTGAACCGCACAAGGTAAACAGATCTACTGTAAAACATTATACTGGATCACACTGTTAATGCCAAAATCTAATTGTGGAACTGATTCATAGGGCCAAACGTCTGTTTAAAAGGTTGTTTTTAATGAGTAAGATGTATAAATTAAAGTTAAAATACATTAAATTAAAAAAAGAACTTTATAAACAGGGAGGGATTGTTGCTTGGCAACAGCCATGATCCCCCAGAGATGTCTCTCTATTTCTGATTTGAAGAGAGAGAGAGAGAGAGAGATATCCAGGATGTAACATCTTCTGTGGCTGCATTGAATGCCTACCCTAATCTTTTTTTCCCATTTTCCATCCTGATTTATATCCTGTTTAACATTTTCCGTGTGACACAAACTAGCTGTGTTCCTGAATCTTTCTAATATCTGCTGCTTTCATCTGTTGAAATTATCCAGAACTAGGAGGTCATCTGTTTTGTGTACAGAGGGGATACAGGCCTTTAGTTCCTTTGTGTTGCAACCAACTCTAATAAAAAATAAATCTGTCTGTTTTCTGTAACAAATCTTTTTGGTCTGAAGACGGATTTCATTTAAGAGTGGAGTGTCAGAAGCAGAGGTTCGGGACTACAGCGTCGAGATGCTGCAGACCTATTTAAGCAGCATCATCGAATCGATCGTCAACTCCGTCGATCAGTGTCCTTCGGTCATGAGAGTGGCCTTCAAACAACTTCACAAGAGAGTCGAGGAACAATTCACAGAGCCTGAAAATGAGGTCAGTGTGGAGCCAAGCATTGAAACGCTGGGAGAGATCCTCTGGGAAATCATTCTCACTACATGTTTTCTTCTAAACCCAGGATGTAAAATACCTGGCCATCAGCGGGTTCTTCTTCCTGCGTTTCTTTGCTCCTGCTATCCTGACGCCAAAGCTGTTCCAGCTGAGAGACCAGCACGCTGACACACGCACAAGCAGAACGTTGTTACTACTCGCCAAGGTAGGAGTGCGAGCACTGACATATGGACGGACATGAATATTTTGTAGCATATTTAGAATATATCCAGACATCACACTTAAGTGAGAAAAAAGCAAACAGTAAAGTGTTGGTTTCCTAGACGTCTGCAGGGAGGAGAGGCTAAAAAATGCACATTATCTGGAGTAGTATCACTTTTTAACTTTTTAACTGAGAGACACGAGAGCCATTCTTTTAGAAAAGTATTCATATCAATCAAACATTTTCCCATTTTCTCACAATAAAATCACAAAATGAATGTATTTTATTGGAAATTTATGTTATAGACCAACAACAAGCCTGGGCAGTGAAAGTAAAATGGTGAAAATAGTCCTTCTTTTTCGGGCGGCTCAGTGGCGCAGTGGTTAGCACTGCTGCCTTGCTGCAAGAAGGTTCCGGGTTCGATCGGTCTTTCTGCATGGAGTTTGCATGTTCTCCTTGAGCATGCATGGGTTCTTTCCAGGTACTCTGGCTTCCTCCCACAGTCCAAAAACATGACTGTTAGGTTAATTGGCTTCTCTAAATTCTCCTTAGGTGTGAGTGTGTGTGTGAATGGTTGTTTGTCCTGTTTGTCTCTCTGTTGCACTGCGATGGACTGCAGACCTGTCCAGGGTGTACCCCGCCTCTCACCCGTAGACAGCGGAGGAGAAAGGCACCAGCACCCCTCATGACCCTGCTTGGGATAAGCTTCACAGAAAATGAATTTGATGGATTGATTCCTAAAAAAAAAAAAACCAAACGCGTTTTTATTAATCCGCTTCACTCCGATACAACAAGCTAAATTCCAAAAGCACACTTCTTTTTTTGGTCATCTGTCAACCATGACCCCAAGAATATTTATTGTAGTTCTGGACTATAATATGAAAAAAGTTGGAAAAATTTAAAGGAGTGAGAATACTACAGATAAGACAGCAGTGGTTTAAATAAAGCAGCGTCGCATCATGCTTTGTTAATAGATTTTGTGACAAACCCCCAGCCGTAGAAAACCATTAGCAGACTGTGAGAGTGAGCTAACCACACCTTTAAATGAAGGAGACCAACCAGCGTCGCTTTACTCAACACCCACCATATCTTTAAAAATAGGGACCCCCTGTCAAGATCACTTGTTAGTTGTTGAAACCTCATGTTCTCTCCGACATGGGCTAATGTGGTTGCTGTCCGTGGTGCTGAAGTGCTGTTGCCATGAGTCTGCTACAGAGAGCTATATTTACCTCCAACCAGTCTGCGACCAACCAGTCTGCGGTTCAAAGCCGAGCATCAGAGGGGGCCTTAGAGAGGGGCTTCCTTGTGGCCCCAGGCAAGGTGTGGGCCACACAAAGGGCCTCACAGCATGTTGGGCCTCAGGGACCCTTTTGATCTTTGACTTTGAGACCTGCTGCCAGTGGGCAGGTTTCTGATGGGATGAAAGATATTGGTAGAAAGCAGATTGAATGTGTTTATGGTCCTCAGGCACTGCAGAGTATGGGCAACCTGGGCCTTCAGCTGGGTCATGGGAAGGAGCAGTGGATGGCACCTCTTCATCCGATCATCCTCCGCAGCGTGGCCTCCGTCAAGGACTTTCTGGATAAGCTGATCGACATCGATCATGATATCGGTAATGAAGGCCTAACTGAGTGTCACACTATGCCTGTAACCAACCAGCAGCAGGCCAGCTGTCAGATGTGCATCTCACATCTGATATGACCATTATACTGTTGCTCTGTTGTCGTGAAATATTTATCACTGGCTGGAAGTCTGGAAAGGGTATATTACCTGTATACACAATTCTCGATACCTGCCAGGTCTTGGCTGCTCTTTGCCAAGCGGTAAGGTTGTTGTTACAGTTATGCTACAGGAAAGTTATTTTTCACAGCTCCTCTTTTTCTTCCAGTGCCAGTTTGACTTTTAATGCTCCTTAGGTGGAGATGTGGAGATATAACAGATGGAAGTGCTCACTCCTTTTATGAGGTTATCCTTTTTGTAGACGTTAACATTCACCAGGCAATCCGATTCTTATCTGTTTAATGACTTAGCACCACCTTGTGTCCGTCGAGTTGAGCATGTTGTTTCTCTCTCCTCTCCACAGTGTCTGCAGTGCCTCAGAGGGCTGTGTTCATGCCCTCAGTGACAGTGAAGGAGGGATATCTACACAAACACAAAGCAGAGGGGCCACAGCTGCTGTCCCGCTTTGCCTTCAAGAAACGCTACTTCTGGCTGACCAGCGAGACCCTGTCCTACGCCAAGACATCTGATTGGCAGGTTGGTGAAATCTATCAACATACACTGACTGCAAATGTATCCATTATTACCAATCTTGTCCTGTTCAACTCCTAAATTAAAAAGGATGTCCTAACTTTCAATGTTCTGCATTAAAACCAACATAAAGTAGCCATTAATTGTGAAAGGGAAGGATATAAAAAAAAGCATTCTGAAAAGATGGTGTAGATATGTTATTCAAGCCTGTTTAGTTGGATGACTTTAAATAAAGGTCACTATAATCAAAAACCTTAGTTTGACAGAGAACATTAGTGAACAAACAGCATCATGAAGACCAATAAACAGGATAGTCAGGGATAAAGTTGTGGAGAAGTTTAAAGCTGAAAGACTGTAAAGTCTAAAGGGATGATTCAATTCCTAAATCCATTATTTATCCTAAAGGGAAATTAAATGTTGGAGTAACTCATTGGAATTTTTTCTACATATTGTTGTATATTCTGATCGTTCTAAGCAGGGAGGATCTTCTGTAGTATCTGTATTGTACTGAGTCTGGAGAAACCTCTGACAGAACACACTGTTGTTTAACAGGCTTCTGAAGAAGATGCTCAGGGTATTTTGAAACATTTACTTTATGAAAACTCTTCTTTGTTAAATCATCTCCAGAGTTTCAAGAGGTCTTTCTAGAACAGAACAACTTCTTTCAGGAGTTTGTCCTGCCTCTCTGATGGCAGAAGAGCTCAAACTCTCCTCAATAGACTTATAAAAGATATGCAGACTTTTGCTACAAACACTGAATCTTCTTCAGGAAGTGAAGTCTACTCTGTCCTTTCTTGTAGACAGGCTTTACAGTGAGCCAAAGACCATATAGGGAACAAAGAAAACATTTGGAAGGTCATCCTCTGAACAGATTAAATTAATAATACAAACTTTAGTTTGTGCTGAAACACTTGAACCCTGAAAATACTGTCCTAAAACAGAGACTTGGTGGTGGGAGCATCATACTGTGGACGTGCATTTTTTCAGGGACATGGGTCAGAATTGATGGGACAGCAGAGCGAACTGCTGGACAAGTTGATAAAAGCTTATAAGACTTTGCCAAAGACTGGAGGCTGTGATTAACCTTCAAACAAAAAGTGTATCATATTTGATACAAGAGTTCTTTAGACTTCTAAATCATGAGTGAGTAAGGATATTCTTTTGAGGACCAGAATGTTCACATTCTGGATAAAGAAAATAGGTGGTTTGAGAGGGGCGTGAAGGAAGCCATCTATGTTAAGAGAGAAAAACCAACTTTAAACAGAGGAGGTGGACTCAGATTCCAGCTTCCAAAAACATACAATTCAATCATAGACATGATCCCTTCCAGATATCACCAAACCCCCCACCCCATCACAGAGGAACGAGGGACCTACCCGCTCCAGCCGGTGAACAATAACGACCGACTCTTAACAATCATAGACAGGTTTCAGACAATCCCCCCCTTAACGGCAACCCCCCCCCCCCCCCCCCCCCTTTTAACGACCGACCCCTAGAATCATAGACAGGTTTCAGATATTACAGGCTGACGATGGAACCAAACGACCCATTCATCGTTTACCATTTGCATGTTTCCAAACGATACAAGGCTTTGTCTATATAAGACTCAATCTCAGAGAAAGCTTCCTGGAGAGGTGGCGAAACGTCTTCAAATCTTGGAAACCAAGTCCAGTGGATATTTTTTGAATTTTTACAGAATAAATCATGAGTGATATTTTTGCTCTTGGAAAGGACTCTGTAATATCCAGAAAAATATATGACAAATTGTACAGAAATGCCAAATGTATCATAAATGATGCAGATCACTTACCTAATTTAACTAACTATTGACACATTTTCAATGAAAACTCTAGTTTAAAAGAAATTAATGTTCAGCCAATTACTTTGTGATCTAGGCTCTAAAGAGTTAACCTAACATAAAGCTAACAGCTGGATTTAGATCAAAGTAAATATTTATATGTTGGCTTAGTCATAGTTGCTGAGAATATGTGTCTGGACTTAAAAATAGATGTCCATAGATGATCTTCATCTACTAGCACTGAATCTGAGCTATTTTACAGAAAAAAAAACATTGGGAAAATGTTTAATCTCTAGATGTGCAAAACTGAAAGAGACTTACCCCAAAGCACTTGCAGATATATTAGCAAAGATAGGAGGTTCTACAAAATGTTGATCAAAATGAGCAGAGTACAAATTGACACCATATACTTTTTGTAACAGATTTGTAATTTGCTAAGAAAAATGTGGCAGTAAATATATATAAAAAATGGCAATAAGTTTCATAAAAAAATGTAAAGACAAGTTTTATATTGTAACGTGATAAATTGGGGAAAGGTTGAAAGGGTATGAATACTTCTGTTAGACTATATGGGTTAAACAATAGGCGATTGTGTTGCTGACTGTTTTTGAATCCAACCATAGGCTGTTATTTTCCCTTTGTTTTCTGTTGAAGGGTTTCCCTTCAGGGACACCCTGAACAGCAGCTGGAATAGAGAACAGTTTCTTCAAGTTTCTAACTGTGACACTTTGATGAATTAGCAATGAAAAAACTGTTATTCATCGGCCAGATCAAAGTCAAGCGAGACTGAGTAATTGATTTCAGAAGCTGGCTCGCTGTCTTATCATCAAATGCTTTCAGGTTGTAGCTTTGAACGCAAATTTATCAGTATTGAGGAAACGAGAAAATGAAGAAACCTTTTAGTCATTCCCTTCGTGTTTTGATGTTTTAGTGAGATCATCATCAGAGTAATTACCATGCAGAGTCTAATCTTGCAATAATGATCTCCTCTTATTTATTATCCACAGGCTATAAGAGAGAGAGGGAAACATGGCTGGGGAGAACCCGGCCTGCCTCCTTAAAAGCCCTCTCTTTGAGCCAGTTCCTGCTTTGTGTGATCGGAATAAAAGGCGAGGGTTAATTGAAGGCTCTGGATATTCATGCTAACATTGCAAATCAGATTGCAGACAATGTCCTAGCTCCTTTCCTCCATGGTTGGAGCACTCCATTCGCAGTGAGCTGAGCTCCCGCTGGAAATGGCTGATTTACACTTAAAAGTAGCCTTCGCTTTTACGCCAATCTCGTCTTCACGGCCTTCCTCTGAGCTTTTCTGCTCTCCAAAACACAACCGATTCTAGGTTTTTTTTTTTTTTATCATACAAAAAGCAAAAAAAAAAAAAAAATGTGAAGAAGAGTGACACGTTATTATTGGCATGTGTTGATTGTTGCAGTGGTGTTGTTGCTGAACTGTTGCAGGTGCGCTCCTCAATACCTATTCAGCGTGTGTGTGCCGTGGAGAGGGTGGATGAAAATGCCTTTCAGCAGCAGAATGTAATGCAGGTCATTACACAGGACAACGAAGGAAAGATGAACACCATGTACATCCAGTGCAAGGTGCGCTAGTGATTGTTCACCCCTTCCAGTTCATCACCTTTTATATGTTTTTTAACCTCAGTGATCCACTTATTAGTTGACAGTTCAAATATTAATCAGCCTTGTTCTATAGCATAAAGGAATTTAAGTCAATCTGTTTCTTTTTACTGAGAGATGGCTTTTCCTTGTGTTAACAGAATGTGAATGAGCTGAACCAGTGGCTGTCTGCCATAAGGAAAGTCAGCATCTACAATGAGAGGATGCTGCCTTCTTTTCACCCGGGCGTTCATCGCAGCAGCAAGTGGACCTGCTGCCTGCAGGCGGACCGCGCTGGTGAATCCCAATATTTCAATTCCTATTGCTGTCAAAGGATTCATACTACTTTAGCCGTTTTCACATTTGTTCACATTACAACCACAGAACTTCATTTATTTTATTAGGATTATAATAAGTAACCTTATTTTGAGGTGGATTCAAAATGATATATGGTCAAGGATATAGTGCATATATATATATATATATATATATATATATATATATATATATATATATATATATGCACTATATCTTTGACCATTTATCATTTTTAATACATACATATATGTATACGTAGGGTTGGGAATTGAAAAGATTTTCACGATTCCGATTCCCTTTTCGATTCTATGAAACGATTCGATTCTTTATCGATTCTTTTTTCGATTCCAATTTGGGGAAAAAAGGAGAACAAACAGTTTGATTATCAGAATCAACTTTGTTTACTTAACTATTGCACAATCTTACAAAATCAACAAGATCAAGATGTCCACAGGAAATGTGAAACTGGAGTAACATCCGTGTTTAAATGAAAAATGAATACAAGAACAAACTTAATAACCAACAATGTCTAATAACAAATGATGGGATGATAACCTATTTTAAATAACAAAAAATACTAATTATAAAACAGTAGTAGGGAAAATTAACAGTTATTTTGCAGAAAGATGAGCATATCTGCTTTTTCTGGAAGGATACAGGATCTTTCAGGGCTTATGGTGTCTCCAGCCATGGAGGACACCCTCTCAGATGGGGTGGAGGAAGCCTGCACACAGAGGTAGTTTTCAGCCAGTCCAGATAGCAAGGGCAGCGTATCTTGCTTGTTCCACCACCACAGTGTGGCGCTATCCCTGCAGGGGATGGAGGGCAAGCTTTTATAGAGCTGGATTTCCTGATCTACCCTCTGGGCTAAGGAAAGACGGGGCTTTGATTCACAAAGTGACCGCAGCTCGTTGTCTTCCTCCTCGAATAGTTCTTCCAACTTGCGTAACTTGCGTAACTTGCGTAACTTACGTAACTTACGTGACGTACCTAAAAAACGTGACGTAAGTCGTGCTCCCCAGAGCCGGCGCTCTAGGCTCTGGTGCTGCGGGAATCGAAAAAAGAATCGTTCAGCGAGCTGCCAAACGATGCCATGGAATCGGAAAATACGGAACCGGTTCTGAACAGGAACCGGTTTTCGATTCCCATCCCTATGTATACGTATTATATATGCTATATAAAACCATTTATAATCATTTATAAAGCAAAATAAAGTTTTTTTTCTCTATATTTTAAATATTTGTTTTACTAAAACTACTTTTTAGATTAATTATTAAATAAATAAAAAAATAAATTACTTAAAATAACCTGAATAGCTTAAATAACCTAAAAATAACTTTGCTGTGGGCTCTTTCTGTGACTTCCCTTTAGCAATTGCTTTCTCCTTCTTGTTACCTTTCAATTCACACTGAATATGCGTTCACTACTAGTTCTCCTTCTGTTTTTGAGCTGAGGATCTCCAGCTCTCCTCTTGCCATTGTCTTCCAACTTCCTGATGATGGGTTGACTAGTGCTCTCTGGGAAATCCAAAGCTTGCAGGATTATTGTCTATCCTAACTCTGCTTTAAGATTCTGGAGTTTTGTTTGCTTTAGTTTTCGCGAAAGCTGTCACATAACAGAACAAATCACACACAAGTCTTTCAAATTATGTTACTCGTTTTGTAAAAAAAAAACAAAAAAACAAAACATCTAATTAAGAATACCATCTATAATTTTAAGCTGTTTATTTTATAAAAGATAATACTGATAAAAGATTTCCCTCCACTTTTACATTTATACACCTTGTGTTGAACTTAAACCCCCAATTTATGCTTGTAGTAATATAAGGTTGAAAAGGCGAAGGAGTAAGAATACTACGGAAAGCTCTGTATCACCCACTGTCAGGAAATGACATGTTCTGTCTTTGGTAATTTTGGTGAAAGGTAAAATCCATTTTCACTTACTCCCTGAGGTCAGTGAGTTTTGTATTTACTAAATCAGTCATCTCAACTTATAGCCTTTGTGGTTTTGCTGCTTAATTCTTGAGCTATTTCTGGCAGCGTTTTTGTCACATGACCTGTTAGTGTCTGTTACCTGCCTGTTAACTCTACATAGATATGCTCAGATCTATTAACGGACATTTAAAAGCGCTTCACAAAATTAAAGCCACGTCATCAACTCTCCTACAGGTTATTTTCACCACGATGAACTGCTGGTTAGATTTCTTGCTGAGAAGCTGCTCTTTAATAAAAGGCGGCATTTTAGTTACAGGCTGCAGCAGAACCCACTCGGCCGTAACTCTGGGCGACTGGAGCGACCCGCTGGACCCAGATGTGGAGACTCAGATGATATTCAAGCAGCTTCTCCAGGGCAGAGACAAACTCAGGTCAGTTTCTTCAGCATGGATGCAGCTCATATTCCGGTCACTAGAGGTCTATGTTGCAACACAGGATTGCACTGCTCAGCCTCTGCTGACTGTATTGAGATTAGCAGGGAGATGTCTGTCTGTCCAAGAATATCAGAACTTTACAGAGGTGAAAATAAGGTAACACAACTCCATTATTTTGCAGGAAAAAATACCTGGAGCAGGAAGAAGCAGATCAGACATCAAGCAATAAGGAAAAGAGGATAAACCCTGATATTCACCCAGGTAACATTAGACTTGAATGACAAAAGAATGATTAGAGATGAGTGTTTCGATAGTTTATTTTCACTGTTTTTATAGAAAAAAATCTATATTTAGCTTTTTGAGTTTTTTTATTTTTGCATTCTTAAGGAAGGCTAATTGCATTACTTTCCATCTCCTAGATGGTGCTGAATGCAACGCTCAGCAGATGAAGCCTGGTCAGAGTGTCGCTGCTCGGCTGCTGGTGGTGATAGAGGATCTGGAGCAAGCTCATGCCACCTTCCAACTGAGAGAAAAAGAGGACGCCACTAGAGTCATCCTCAATCCCTAGGCTGCACGCGGCCTCTGATCTATTAACGCCTGAAAGGAGTGTAGGGCGGGTGGAGGAGGAGGAGGAAGTTTTAGCTAAACACTCTCCAGACTGTCGCAGAGGAGAAGCCGCGGCCCTGTCCAGCTTTTTCCCGGCTATAAGGAGCAGTGGAGAGTCTTACGCTTTTTAATCGTCTGTTCTGTCTCAAGGTCACAGATGAGGAAGATGAAGCCACACGATAATAAACAGGAGGGGGACTTTGCAGCATGATCTAATGTGATATTGTTTCTATAGATAAGAAGCACTCTGTTGCATGGCTTGCCCCCTACTTGTGAAATATGGAAAACTTTATATTTCCAGATATTGTACAGGACTTTTTATTTTTATGCAAAAGGCTCATTATAGTGTAATGTACAGTACCTAAATGTAAGGTGATTTATGTCTTGTGTTTTGTACACTGACTGAGGGATTCATCGCCGAGGCAACTCTGTAGCAGTTAATTTACAATCACAGGTCATTCCACTACAAGATTATTTTATTTTTGAGTCTAAAGGGAGCAGGATAAGTACTGCTTTCATGTTACCTTGGACCCATTTTACAAAACAACAAGCTTTTGTTTGGTGCTGTAGCCATTTAATGATATAAATTGAGCCGTGATGTATTTTTTTTTATTTGCATTTTTAGTTTCTTGTCCGTACATTTGATGTAGCCATTTTGAAATTTACATGAGTTATAATTGAAGTGACAAGGCTCAGACATGTTAGAGATGCCAAATTGGGTTTGACAAACCTGAACCGCTTAACTGAGAAAAAGATTTCTGCAGATTTACTGTTTGAGGAGCAGCCATGATCAGATATTTGATTGGGAAAAAAACTCACCAGGTTTTAGAAAATTTACAATTTGATTTGATTTTCTGCCAAACAGGTGGTACCATGTCTGAGTTTTTATATCCTTATATATTGAAGTTTCTGGTTATACCAAGAAAAAAATGTAGAAAAGAAATTTTCCCTCATTACAAGCACAAACCTTATTGTTTTTGATTGTGATTCTCTTAGGCTGAACAACACGTTGACTCATGATTGCCAGCCCCCAGAATCTCTGCTTTTATTAGCTTTATATTGACACAAACATTTTTGTTCATTCTTTGCAAAAAGCCTTTAAGCTCTGTGGGAATAATGTGTGAACATCAGATTTAGAATCTATTCTCATATTTTCAGTTGTTTTCAGGTCTGGACTGTCACTGGGGCATTTTACCACACAGTCATGCTTTGATTTAAACCACTCCATTGTACCTCTGGTTACGTTTTTTGAGCTGCTTTCCTGCTGGAAGGTCAACCTCCATCTGTCTCAAACTCTTTGCAAGCTTTTATTGATTTTCTTTCACAAAAGTCAAGGATTTAACTCCATTTTGCCAAACACTCTAAGAAGCTTTTCTTTCATTGATTAAGAATAGCATCGCCTGCAGCATCATGCTGCCATTGCCATGTTTCAGTAAGCAATTGGCGTCTTTTAAAAAGAGGTGATATGCAGGGTTGGCTTTCTGGATAACATTGCATTTTGAAATCTGTTCTCCTTCGTTTTCCCCCTGAATTTTGTGTTCTTTATGTGGCAAAATGGGACTTAATTTGGCTATTAAATTAAAACTTTGTTAGATTGCCAACTAATAGCTGTCCTGTCAACAGATTCGCACATCTAAACTGTGAATCTCTGCTGCTCTTTAACACCATGGAGCTCTTGGATGCTTCTTTGATCCTTGTCTGACCTGTCAGTTTAGATGGCCATGTCTCTGTAGGTTGGCAGACGTGCCAAACTCTCAATATTCCTGTTCCTTTTTTTGACAAATCTCTAAGGCCTTCAAAAATAACTGGCTTTAAACTGAGAATAGATTGTCTTTTGTTGCAATGAAGCCTATTTCCAGAATCCAAGTTGCTATCTAGTTTGTGGTTTTAAGGTTACAATTGACAATGAAGTTTGTGGTTTTACTGTGATAAAAATGTGGAAAGGTTTTTGGGCACGAATGTTTTTGCAGGACATCATGCGTACACTGTCATATTTCCAAGAGTGCATAAAATGTTCTAGGTCACGTTATCTAAAACAATAAGAAAAATAGAGGTTATGTGACATTTTAAGATTTTTTAAAGATAATTATTTTATTTTGCATTTGAACACAGAGAGAGCCGAGTATCATAAATAAAGTATTACTTGGATTTTTTTAAAGTCTGTCCATTGGGAAATGGATTTAACAAGATTTTCAGATTTGCATATCATAAAAAGCCATATTTTCAAAGAAATTCAAGCACATATGCCGAGGTTTTTATTCCTGTGGCTGGAGAGTAGAAAAGAACTTAAAATGACATAAACATGATGCCTTTTGATGATCAGTTGATTGTCTTTTCTTAACGAATAAACATAACAGACCTTTTTTCTTTCCGTTTTTTTATTTATCCTGCTTTGACTGAATCGTCTGCCTTTGTAAAAATGAAAGTATTTATTTGCCACTTGATGCTTTTTAAAAAAAATAAACCATAATAAAACATTACTGGAAGGACAAAACACCTAGCTTGATATGTTTTTTTTTTTTTTTTTTGAAGCACGCAGTACTGATTCATGCTAGGTGAATTTGTAACTATGACACTTTTATTTAATCACTTCGCCCATTGTGATACAAAAGAAATAAAGCGGCCCCTGAAATTAGTCCACAGGCTACTGATCTAATTAAATGTAACCACATCTATTCATCTGTGAATTAACAAATAATGTGAAGTTGCTGCCGTAATGCTAACCCATGAATGCTTTATTTATAGATTCCACACTTCTCCACCAGTTAAAACCATGAACCAGGGAGGAGCTGATCCAGAAGCTTCTGGGTCTGTGCTAATGAAAGCCGGTGTTGGATGGGTGGGTTGAATGAATCCAGACACCAGCAGATCCCAGAGCTCAGTTTTATTTCCCCCAACCACAGCTCCAACAGTCGGTAACAAAAATGACCATAAAGCAGATTTACTGCCAGTGAAAAGCCTCCGTGCAGCTCCCCCGAAGCTCATTTTGATCCATGGAACGAGGAGCAGAGCAGAGAGCTGTCTGTGGAGCAGTACAAACAAGAGCACCTCACACCTCCCAGTGGTAATTCAGAAATGGGGGGAAAAAATGAGGCAGAGTCGAGGTGAGAAAATCCCCAGAGCCCCAAAGGGCACATTTATTTATTTTTTTCCACAAGGAACACACAAACATGCAACAAGGTCATCACGATTCAATAAAGACTGTTTGATTAAGAAGCCCTTTATAGTTTAATCAGTGTCTCTCTATAGCTTGCATTTTGTTATTGTCACACTGCTTAAAGTTTATTTAAACCACAATTAAGAGTCATCCAAAAATATTTAGTACAATGGCGCACATAAATGCCTTACGAAAATCTGATGTTTTATGGGGTTTGTAGAGTGGAGAAGTGAATGTCAATGCTGTCTCAGCATCTCAATAAATCAATAAATCACTATTACTTGTAATAAAATCCAAGAGTAAAATCCTTAGCTTGCATTGAACAGAAAATCTTAGGTTTTGGCCCATAGAGTCATGGATAAGCAACTGATATTAGAAAATCAGTGACACATTTCAAATGAAAGAGGTTATTGTTCAGAATGTACTGTAGTAAAGCATTTTAATGGAAAGTTTGGTGGAAGGAAAAAAAAACAGCAACAACAAGAAAACGGAAGAGGGATAATTGGTAAAGACGCTTTTCAAAGAGTGCAGTGTGAAAGTATTTTGTTGGAAAGTTAAATGGAAGGAAAACTGTAAAAGAAAGGTTCATAAGCAACAAAACTATAACATAAGCTAAGGAAAGCTAATGGAAAGTTAGGGGAAAAAACCTGTAAAGTGCATAAGCAACAGATCATTGCTATAGATGCTGCCTGTTTACAATGTGAGCTAATGTAGAGTTGAAAGGACATAAAAAGTGGGATGATTACACTGAGCTTTTTGTGTGTTAAAGACAACCTGCTGGACAACCGTAAAACAAGCAGTCCGCTCCATGACTGTGTAGGCCAGAACCTGTTTTATTTCTATACGAAATACCATTTCTAATTGGGTCTTGTGTAATATTTACTCTCTGAGAAATCAAATGTGACATTTTCATCCATTATAAGCTAAAATGATGAAAAAGTAACAGAGATATTCACACTCAAAATATACCAGACAGAGTGCAATGAAACAATATATGTGTTTAACTTGCTAATAAAATAAAATGTAATTTTAATAACATTTCAATCTAAAATAAATACTAATATGGGCTATAGGATCTTTCTAAATAAAGAAATTAATCACCAGAAAAAAAAGTGGTATTCTTTCAAAATACACGATGTTTTCATACAAAGAGTGCTATGCATGCACCTCTAGAAGAACATTACTGCATCTTGACATGAACCTAAGCTTTGTCCACTGGTCATCCTCATACACTCACATCTCTCTCATACACACACAAACCCTCACATCACATACATAGAAAGACTGAAACTATATCTCAACAGTTTGCAGCAGACACTACAAGAGAGTACAGCTGTAAATATATATCATAGCAAATAGATTTGATCACTTATCCCAGCTCTAGACAAAAGCAGAACGATGTAATGGAAAAACAGCATGAAGCAGTAATGTTACATCTTTTCTTTTCAAAGACAATCATTAAAAATACATAAAAATATACGTTTTCAAATACATAGCATATTAACATCCTCAAACTGCACCCCCCCTCTGCTCGTTAACAAGGAGGTAGGCGAACTATAACGGAAACATCTACCGTCATAAAAAAAAAACAACAAACAAAAAAAAAAAATCTGCCTTCCTGCTACAAACAAGCCATGTACGAGAGCTTCAAAATAGGAAATTGCATAAAAGCCTTCTCTTTCTTCTTTATTCACTTTTCTACCTGAAACTTTATCCAACATTAAAAAAGAAAATCCCTGATTCAAAGTTTTGTCCACCGCCGTCCCATTTTTAAAAGCGGATGTCAGAAAGGTGAAAATCACACCTGGATCGGACGCAGTGGTGACTGTATTTAACGCTTGGGTAAGACATTACATGTTAATCATTTGGAAGTTATTTTAACCATTTCTGTCAAGAATAATTAGAGAAAAACAGATAACACCAAATATGATAAGACAGTTTAGTAAAATAGTGACTGAAGGGAAATAAATGTTTGATGGTTAATGTTTTTGGTTTGATTGCAGGACCTATAGATTATGTGATCTCTAGGAGCCCGTATGCATGTTTTCTAGCTAATAACTTGGAAGAGGGATCTTTATCCTGCTGTATCTGCACACAGGAGCATAACTTTAAACTTAAGCAACTGTCTCAGCTCCTGCTTATGACCACATTAGAGGTGTGTTGTACAGTCACTGCTAGGAATTCACTGATAATTGACGCCTAATGCTGCAGATTTAGGGGTACCGCGATAACAACAAGGCTCCTGTTTTAGATGGCTAATAAATAATTCATGGAAATGTCATTAATTTATCTCTAAACACTTTAGAATGAATTTATTAGTGTTTATTATGCATTCGACATATGCATGCTAAAACAATGTTTATGAATGATTATTCTGCTCACATGGGAACTTAATCTGAAATGTTGAATATAAGCAATGCTAAATAAAATACATAGATGAACCGATTAGGACCACTATTTTGCAAAAAAAGAAATAAGTTTTGTCTTTTGCTTGCCCCTAATTAACACAAAACAAAGTGTTTCCAGATTAATCACTTAAACTTATTAAAAGCAATTTTAAGGGAGTCTTATTGTACGGAAAACTGACAGAGGATTGCAGCTGCTGTGTATTTTTGTTCTGTTCTGTAATTTGAAGGTTATT